AGATTAATAGGAATAGTAAGAATAGTTAGAGAGTCTACTATTCTAACTATTCCCTTTAACATAACACTACTATATAAGTAGATAGATAGTTCTTAGATAGGAGCTTCGTGCTCAACTTAATATAGTATTTGTTATATACTATAACATGTTTTACGAAAGTCTTTGTGTCTAATCCCCTACCTCCTCTGTTAAGTAAACTAACGCAACGAAACCTCTATGAGTCTTATAGTTTAAGACCTAGCGTTACAATACAGCCTTCGATTAACGGGGCGTAAAGTCAGTGCGAAGTCATCTCAGGAAATTTTCAAAAGCCACTTCTATAACAAGACGATTACGACGAGTTCGAGCGAGCAGCTTCACCGGGCTGTCTCTATGACGCAATGGCACGGATTTAGTTGCCTCCTTAAGCATCTCACTTTAGTCACGAAACCCTTCGTTGTTTGCGTTAGGCAGGTTATTCAGGATAGGATGCCCTAACGAGTGCTGTGCCACAGCTAAATACTGATACCTTAGAGTGTACTTCACCAACTCTTCCTTAGGAAAATCGGGAGCAGTCTTACCGTTAATCGGAACAACCTTATCCTTCTCGTAAAACAGCTTGACGTATTGCACCTTCCACTCCTTGCCCTCCAGCTTGCAGAAGAAGATGAATCGACAGTCGCAGTTAATGTCGATGGGGATATCCTTCATTGTGAATCGCTACGTGATCGTAGCCTTCATCTTGCCGATGCCTCGACCATTGCTAAGATCGACATTAGCAAGGGTGCCCGTCTCCCTATGTGCGATGAAGCCGCCATTTGCACGGCCGTTAATGGAGACTTCAATGAACTTCTCAATCGGGAGTCCGCCAGACCAAGCTGTACAATCGCGTTAAACGGATGGGGGTACTGCCATTCTCGGAACTTCGTCGACTTACTGGTCCAAACGTAGGCGCTATCCCTAGTGAAGAGGCTACGGTAATTGTGCCATTTAGAAAAGTCTCTGTAGACTGGCCAGCCTCTGCAAAGCTCGGTTATACATTGTCTTGCAAGTATCTCTCCCGTGCTACCATTAATAGACGTAGATCTGTTCTAGGAGAAGAAGTAGATTAGTACACATAAGATTAGAGACCTAACAAATCACAAACCTTTTTGATAGGTACCTTTAAGCAAATGCTAAGTGCCTGGTTAGGTGGAAGGGATGCTCGTTTTACATGACGGGTTCTAGCTGTAGCAAGGTCTAGACGTCTTGTAGCCACGCAGTAAGCAGTAATTCCGCTTACTGACATTAGAGTCTTTTGCAGATTTTTCATGCTGTAGCAATCGAATCTGGATAGTTTCAACTGTTATCTTCCTGAGGTCACGCACAACCACTCTCGCTACTGAACGAGCGAGGCGGATGCTGTGCATATTCTTTCCAAGACGAGCATGAGGGGGCATGGTTGGTGCACAGATGACTTGCTTTGTACCAAAAATTCAATCCAGCAATCCGACTCGTGTTGTCTCTACGTCTCTACATGCCGTTGGTCTAAGGTTTTCACCAACTACCTAGTAATCAACCAGTAACCACCTAAGAACCTTCCAGAAACCGCCCAGAAACCCTGCAGTAATAGCTTTGCAACCGCTCAGTAACCGCCCTAACGTCCAAACAGTCTAACGCTTCCTTTGGTCTCTGCCATCCTGTATCCCGCACACTTTAACTCTACATCGTTCTGTCCAACCATCCAGCAACCACGTGAAAAACATCCAGCAATAGCTTCGCAACCCCTCCACAACTGCTCCGCAACCCGTTCCACCAGTTTTACGCAGCAGGCAAGAATGATGGCAGACCCACCGACAGATCTAGTCCCCGTCTACGTCAGCCGGTGCATGGATCGTTCTCACCATACAGTGCCTCCCCCGCATCTGCACCGCGAGCGGATTTCGGCGAAGACAATGACCTTGACGATGTCAGATCTTCCCAGCCTACACAATGAGACATTGGTCCGTTTCCTGAAAACTCAGACTCACTGTTCTTGCGCTACCTCGGACTCGATTATGTCTCTCTCTTGCACTGTTGACAAAAGCGTATCCCTTCTGGCAGTTAGAGATCATGTACTTCGCAAGCATATTCTTTAAGGATCCACGACGCTTGATGGAATTGGACAGTATCCGGGCCATTGCAACGGAATGGCGCAGAATATTTCCAAAGCTTTGAGGAATGCCCTGTCCAGCGGATATCTACTCTCCGTATATGCAGGAAGATGATTTGAACGGGGAATCAGAAGGAGACAGGGCCAGTGTGAGCGCTGATGAAGAGATGTCAGATTTGAACGAAGAATTAGAAGGAGACATGGCCAGTGTGGCCGCTGATGAAGAGATGTTAGACTTAGACGAAGAATCAGAAAGAGACTGGGCCAGTGTGAGTGCTGATGAAGAGTTGTCACTAAGTGAGCCCGGGCTTGACTTTGACGACTACGAGTCTGATTGGTTTATTTTACGGACGAAGCTATAGAAGGTTCTTGGTTACGCGGTCATCGATGATAAGATCGAAAATATGTGGCAAAAGAAACTAGAAATCGAGTCAATTAGCTGGCCTGTAGTACCTTTAATGGCGTTTTCCGACCCAGACGCGCACACCCTACTCACCTTCGCTCACCTTTGCTCACCTAGGTACCGGATTATCCATAGCCATATAAAGTCACGGTGCATCGCGTTCATCACGTCTTAATAGAAGACCTACTTCGTGCGTGTCGACGTAGCCGCCATTAGGTAGCTGAGGGGGACAACCGGATTATCATGAGCCATCAAAAACCGAAGGGCGGCGACGCTCACCCGCTAGTCCAAATGGCACCGTCTTAAGTATAAATCCACTTTAAGCTCGCGTAACACCTGGACGATAGTCTCAATCGTGCCAATAGGCATAGCGTGGAATCCGAGCCTTAAGGGTCATCTTGGGGTGTGCCGAGAGGTGAGCAGGGTGAGCAGCGTGAGGCGAGGTTATGTTTTCGCGTCAATTTCGTGTCACTCTCGTATTAGCTTCGTAATAGTACCAGAGTACTGCCGTTTTGGCTTACGTACCTTGTATAGCTGTCTTGCTCTTATTTTCCTAATTTCTTATGTGAGCGGCATATGCTCGAATGGCGACGGCATATGAGCTGCCATTTTGGGAGAAAACTGTGATAGGGGTAAAGCATTTTCCGACCATGTTTCGGCGTAACTTAGACCCGGGTTTTGGCTTTGAAAATTCCCGTGAGCTTTTCGAAGTCCCTTCTTCTCTTAGCAAGCTAAGAAGTACCAAAGTCAATGAGTATACGTGTGTGAAGCTGATTTCGAACTCTCCTGTACCATTTAATTCCACGACTTCAAAATGTCAGACCCGCACGCACACAAAGACGACCAAAGTCTTAGCCCCCACAAAGAGCACGCCAACCTTCCCCGAGGCTACCGCATACTTGCCGGTCACCCCTCCATCCCAGAATACCTCGCCCTCCGCCGCCAAGCTGGAGGTCTCTCCCCAAAGACCGCAATTCAAGCTGAAAAGGCCATGGGTGGAAGCTGGTACGCCGCCTACATCGTCTCCACTAAAGCCAATCCTGATGCCACACAGCACCTTAACGAGTCGCAAGCCGATTTGATGAACAGAAATGAAGGGGAGACTGCCGTTGCTATGGCGAGGGTAATTGGCGATGGGGGGTGGTACTTTCACATTATTGATTTTGCTGTATTGCCAAAACATCAGAGAAAGGGGTTGGGCCAGGCACTAATGGCGGATATACTTAACAGGATTCGGAAGGAAGCGCCACCGGGGGCCTATGTCAATCTTATTGCGAATGATAAGGGACAGGCGCTATATGGAAAGTTTGGGTTCAAGGAGCCAGTGGGAGATCTTGGCATGGAATTGAGGATGGAGTACCCAGAGGGAGCTGGGCCGGATGATGAGAAGATTCCTAGAGTGGATGAGACCCGGGCTGGTTAGGGAAAAGATGATGGCAAGGATGAGAAGACGGCGAATAAGGAAGTCTAGGTGGCTATAAGTAGTAGTAGTACAGTTTTCCCCTCAACGAAAATTCTTCTAACAGCTTCGTTAAGTAGCTCGTTATGTTTTCTACTGCGATATCGAGGACGTCGATTGAGTTCGAGAACCGAAATAGAAGAACATTAACGACGACTCCATGGCCGACCGCATCGATCTCCCTTCCAAGGGTGCTTAGTGAGGAGTAGATTAGAGAAGAGTACTATAAGGCGAGAGGGTTTTGCTTAGGACTATTAGCAGGCTAGCTAGGAGACAAGAGAACAACGGAGGCCAGTATTTGCAACAGATGGTGAAAGTCGGGGAGGGAGCTACCCTTCTATAGAGCGCGAAAACGGACCTAACGGCACTGTGCTGGTAAGGTAATTGCCGGTGAGCTAATCGACGGGTGGCTTTATTACCACATGAGCTATTACCACATGAGCCAGAACATGTAAATTATAAATCGAATTTGATTTACGTCGTAACATAAACAGCACACCGTCTATGCCATTACTCCGCCAAATAGTTATATGGCCTCTCACTATCTATCATCTACGGTACTGACTGTCCAACCAAGTGAAAAACCTATCGACTGCTGGGTTGGCGTGTAAATTTCCCCAAGTGGGATCTAGAGCTCTTAGTCCGAGGAGATGCTTAGGTTTGTCGAGACAGTCAATCTTATTGATTGCGATCATAAAGCTGACTTTGCATCAGCATTTTGAAGCCGTCAAGGTGGTGGACGAGCCTCGATATGGATTTGCAATCCCTGATCCCTGTTGTTGATGATGAAAGGCGCTTTGCCACCCACAATTGTTATTGCCATGTAAGCACCGCCTCAAATCTCATTTTAGTTGATTCTCTAACCCAGGCAATAGATCTCAAAGCGATGCAATTTCCGGAATCACATTGACAATCGGCTACCTTGCTGCGCTGATTGCAGTCACATCGCAATGTCTAATGCCACGTGCCAAATTTATGAAGATCATGTTTTTTAATCTAATCGCAGCCTGCGTAGCTGCCTCACTTTGTTGTTTGGTCAGTTATTGTGCTGTTAAGGGTAGACAGAACAGTACACCTGCAGACGCTCTAGAGAGTGTTAAATCTGGATACAACAGCGATGCTTGCGCTATTTCTGCTGTATTCCTGATTGTCATCATATGGTATGTTATTACTCCCTCATATATTTCCCACGGCACCTTGCTAGGATAGGATTAACTCGTTACGCTATAGGGGCGCAAATTCCCTTCGCGCCTGGCGACCTATGGAAATGCAGGATCCGATGGTTGTCTTTTCGATTTTCTCTGTTGTCACGATCACTAGGACTGGAACCTTCCTGACAGTAAGCCAAGGGTTGGAATTCATTGCAAGACTACTCAAAGGCTTTTTAATCGGGTTTGCCGTCTCAACTGGCGTTTCATTATTGATCCTCCCTATTACTAGCAGAGACCACGTCTTTCAAGACCTCAGAGAATCTGTCGCCCAGGTCGAAGTGATACTTCAGTTACTAATCTCCTTTGTTGGAGAAAGCTCGACGACGGAGCTGTGCACGGATCATGGTCTGTTAAGTCGACCACGAACAGCTCGAAGCACGCGCGAGATAGGAAACGAGAACGATTCCACCTCATCGTCGGGCATGGAGATCGAGCAGAAGCAACTAAAAGAGTCGATGGATAAGCTGAACGCCCTGCACAGCAAGCTTCGAGAGGATCTATTTTATGCCAATGATGAAATTGCATGGGGAAAGCTATCTGCTGGGGATATCAGTACAATAGCAGACATGTTCCAAAACATTATGTTACCGCTCTCTGGAATGGCGATTTTACCGGAGACTCTTGAGATGATTGTGCAAAACAAACCTCTTTGCGAGATCTGTACCATGGCTAGAGGGTCAGATAATGAAACTACAAAACAGATGGAAACGCGGAAAGTTGTGGATACGCTACGCAAGAGTCTGATGCACTCTACTAATATTATCACAACCGGTCTCCAGTTCTTCCTGCTTGTATTCGAATTTATCAAACCTGAGCGGTTGGACAAGCAGCGAAGGTCTCAGAATATGGGGTCGGAGGGAAGAGACGAGGAGTCAAATGGAGAATATCTTGATCCACTGCAGCCTGACTTTGCAGCTCGGTTTGAACGAGCTGTTCATGAGTTCCATTTCCGTCGCAAGCACATCCTAGAGGCGTTATCGTCATTGGAAGCATTCTCAGGAGCAGACAAGTTACCCGATGAACTTGAGTCCTCAAGAAACCGCTCGAGCTTCATCACATCAGGTCCGGATATTCGGCAAGAATTCTTCTTAGTCCTCTACGTTGGTCACCTGCAGGACAGCCTTCTTAACGCCACAATTGAGCTTATAACATTCGCGAGCAGTAATGTATCGCATGGGACAAAGAAACGAAACCGATTAATATTCCCTAAGCAGAACATCATCCGAGGATGGTTTTTTCTAGCTTCAGAAAGAAGACAGTCCGATTCAGTTCGTAGACAGTCTTATCACGTTGACCCATCTTCGGTTCGCCAGGGTCAAGAAATGGAACATTTTCCGGACCCCGAACATCTCCCACCAGCGAACGCCTGGGAAAAGGGAAGTAATGTGCTCCGTTGGATATCACATAAGGGTAGATCTGAGTTCAGCATGTTCGGCTTTCGCGTGGCTGCTGCTTCCTTCTCAGTCGCAATTCTGGCCTTTTTGCATCAAACGCAGACCTTTTTTATCCGTCAACGGTGCATCTGGGCCATGATTGTGATTGTCATCGGAATGAGCCCGACGAGCGGACAGTCGATGTTTGGATTTATAGCGCGAATTGCGGCCACAGTTATTTCAGTAGTACTCAGCATTTTCGTTTGGTATATTGTCGATGGGAAGACAATAGGAGTGATTATCTTTCTTTATCTCGCAAATATATTCGAGGTAGGATACGCATCAGCGCTGTTCAATACAAGTTATTGCTAATCTTTCTTTCACCTAAACAGTATTATTTCTACGTCAAGAAGCCACAGTTCTTTGGTCCGTCTGTGATTGCCATTGTTACTTTGAATGTCATAATCGGATATGAGCTCCAGGTTAGTTTTAGGAGCAATACTGCCATACCACAGTAGTTGACTGACCTTTTCCATAGGTTCGAAAGCTAGGTCTTGAAGTTGCCACCTCGAACGGCCAGCCATACTATCCCATTTACCTATTTGCTCCTTATAAACTAGCAGCTGTGGCAGCAGGATGTGCCATCTCCTTTTTCTGGGCCATTTTCCCATACCCCATCACCGCCAAGTCGAAAGTAAGAAAGCTCCTTGGACGAAGTCTCTTTGTCCTTGCAAAGTTCTATTCCGCCATGCATACTACCATCGAGTTATGGATGAGCGACGAATTAGGCGACATCCAGAACCGTCATTCACCGTCTTTTAAACTTCAAGCTGCTCGCCATGAACTCTTCCAAGAAGAAATGCTGCTTTTGAATAGCCTTCGTGTGCACAGTCATTTTACTACATTCGAACCCGCAATCGGTGGAAAGTTCCCGAAGCAGGTCTATGATAGCATCATCTTGGAGATACAGAGGATTCTCACCAACATGTCCTTAATGGCCCATACAACGCAAAACCTTAAAGCTTTGCCCTTCGAATCGGAGGGCGGCAATTCTATGAGCGAAGATGACAAGTGGATATCACAGCTAGCGAGGATCGCGTTAGAATCTGCTGATTTTAAGTCTCATAGTACCACGTCACTACTGTGTCACCTCTCTGGTTCGATCATGAGTGGTGAACCGCTGCCTCCGTATTTGTCCACATTACATTCATTCCCTCTCGCACGACAACTGCAGGAGACCGATAGCGATTTGCTCAACATCCGGCACGTGGAGGACCCTGCGTTCTCTGCTTTCGTTTCGTTGGAGGTATTACGGTCGCAAATCGGGTTCAGCTTGAAGAATATCCTAGAGTAAGTATCGAAAGCACTTTATTTTATCGTCTCATCTGTTGACAATGTATTAGTCATGTTAAATCACTTGTTGGGGAGTTGACCTTTGACTTCCATGTCATGCAAACGCCAGAGTACTTGGAGTCGACTCAGTTAACAACATCAAATGGGAATCTGGATGAGGATGGCCAAGAATGAAGATATATTTGTCTTCCTTAGCAGTAAATATTAGCTGAGGGAAAACGGATCGGAGGGGTCTATCTAGCCTATTTGGTCTATTTTGAAGGTGCTCAATAATTTCAATTCCGTTAATCGTCACAACTTGTCATCTAATGCATAGCGAAGGACGAAAGAGCTCTGGCTCTAAGAGGATGGTGGCTTCTTGGTTGGAAGGCCCTACGGCCATAATTTTCTTCTACCTTGATTTTCATCGTCGGTTCATATCCCGATGGAAATAGAGCGAGGGAGTATCGGCCTAAGCATCCGCGGGGGAATGCCTTGATTAGAAGGACAAAACTAAGTATTAAAGTGTTCGATAGAAGGCGAAACTGATAGTACATAGAGACAGAGCCTTAAACCAGCGATATTAGTGAAGTCTTACAGAAAAAGCCCGTCTCCTTATAAAAGGCTAAATATATATTTTGTAATTTATTATTAGATAGTTGTTAAGATATTCAGGTACAAGATCTATGATATTGGATGTATAATGGGGTGGGCCATCGCTTGGGTGGGCCACTGGCATGTGAAATACGTTAAACACATTAGTATTTATAGTATTTTTAATGCTATCTCTATCCGCTATAAGTGTTTATACTCTTATATTAGCCTCCCTAGCGACCTTTCGCGTTCTATTTAACCAATGTAGGACAGCGACAGGCATCCACCCCGCCACGGCAATAATGGCACAGTACACTCCCGCCGTAGCTGCGAAATTAAGAGTCTCGAACATAACCGGGATATAAAACGGCCCAATGAACCCCCAGATCTGTCGCAACAGATTAACAAAGAGTCCCACCTCCGACGACCTCAACGGACAGCTATCGACAGCATACGTGATTAGCGTCGTAGTGATAATCTGATTCCCGAACGACGCAATTGCCGCCCCCACCATAGGCGTGACATTCCACACGCCATCCTCCGCGTTCTGTAGCTGCACGCCCCACACGACGAGGCCGGTGACCACGGCGGCGAAGCCGGGGTAGGCGAGCCAGAGGCGCTGGGTGGCGACGCGGACGCCGGCGCGCGCGGAGTAACGTGCTAGGAACCAATCGGAGGCGGGGCCGGAGAACTGCTCGCCGAGGATGGAGCCGAGGATGATGGCGAGGTATTGGAGGCCAACACCTTGGGCGTCGAGGTGGAATTTCTCGCCGACGGCAAGGGGCATCATGACGATGATTGCGATGTTGGCGTAGCAGAAGACGAGTGCGTATGCGATGGCTGGGATGAGGACGGAGGGGTGCAGGGCGAGGTTGAGGTAGGAGAGGAAGGATGTGAGAGTGAAGGGGGCGGGGTTAATACGGCGGATCTTGAAGGAATCGGCCCATGAGGCAGGCTTGGCGGCTTTGATGGTTGCAGCTGGGCTTGTCGAGGTGGAGGTGCTAGTAGAAGAGGTGGGGGTTCGGAAGCCCATGGTTTCGGATCCGAGGAAGAGATAGCCTAGGAATTGGCAGAAATTGACGATGGCGAAGATACCGAACATCCATTGGTAGGGCGCGCGCTGAATGAGGAAGCCGTAGAGGAAGGGGCCGAGGGGTGTGCCGATGGTGGTCATCAGGGTCCACCATCCCATCTTTTGGGCACGCTCGTGGCGGAAGAAGATGTCGGTGACAACGCCGCTACCGATACCAAGAGGAGGACAGATGAAGATTGTGTTGAGGATACGGGTTACCATTTGGGTGGCGTAGGTGTGGCAAAAGCAGCCGCCGATGTTGCAGATGCAGGCGCCTAGGACGGAGACGAGGAATATGGGTTTGCGGCCGAAGCGGACGGCGATGGGTGACCAGATTTGGGGGAAGATACCCATTGTAAGGATCTGGAGTGGTTAGGATGAGATGTGTGATGTATTGAGGGGGACCAACTTGGACAGATGTCAGATAGGAGGCTTGGTGGATAGAGATGCCGTACTTTTCAGCGAAAACGGAGTAGGCGGGGATGATGGCAGCAGCGGAAAAGGTTGCCATCATGGTGTGGAAAGCGACCATTAGCATGTTCATGTTCTTCATCCACAGCGGCCAATTAAGGGGGTCTTGTGGTAAAGAGGAAGGGAGAGGGTCAAGCTCTAGAGTGCCGTGTCGTTGCACAATGTATGCTTTGAGCTCTTCGCTAATGTATGAGCCGCATGTTTGGGTGGCGTCTTCGTTATGGGTGTGTATCATCTCCTTGCCCTCAGGGCAGGGTGATTGGCGGGTTTCCTCCATTGACGAGGCGTTAAAGGTTGTCAAGAACTCCAAGAGAGAAAGGGAATAACGAGAGAAAGGACAAGGAAAGCTAAGTGAGAGTAGCGGAAGAAGTTAGGGTCTTTTCACGATTCAGGAGAGGAATGGAGGAACAGGAATATGACAGCTGACGGGAGGAAGATTTTATAAGGAGCAACGAGAGTTTTATGCACGACATTGGAAAGGTCTCTCTGCTCTCCGCACTCACAAGTTGGAAATGGGGGGAGAGGGGATAGATTGTGGAGAGTTGTGAGGGGAAGATGGAGTGTGGAGGTGGAGGAAGACGGAGTGTGGAGGTGGAGGACAAGCACGGAAATGGACTTTATTGGACGTATACCCACCTTGGGTCCGTAGTGTTTGAAGATACAGTGAACTTCGAAGGCGGGAGATTCGGAATACCCCATTTCTGAACTGAGTATCTGTTTTCCTATCCCAGGGTAGTTGCCGTTTTTTTAGGGAAAGATATCGTTAGGATATTGACACTGCGGAGAACTTCCGCGGTGGGGATGTGTGTAGTCCACGAGTCAATCGATATTAATCACCCTATCAGATGATAGACTCACATGTAGGGCCTATATACCGCAATTTAACCTTATCCTACAGCCTTGACCCTAATTGTGATTTCCTGAGCGCAAACCAACTTTGTTGAATTCTATAGGGCTACAGCCTTTACTTATGCCGTGGCCCCGAAACCTATTCTACATACGAAGCTACACAAAAGCAGGTCACCTGACCTTTGCTTAGTGTCTCGGGAAAGCCATATCTGACGACATTAAGCTCTTGGTCCGGCATAGTAGTCTTGATTTCCCTGAAATTCAGTGATCCACGACCTAATAATCCTCCATCCACTGACCCTCCACCCAATTATCCTCACTCGATGATTCTCAACGGGATCATCGGGTGGTGAGATATCATAGATACCATCGGGTGGTACCATGGGGTGAGAATAGTTAGATCCACCTGGTGCAGGTGCAACTATATTGGGTATATATTGTATGAATTATATGGAGACTTTGGAACGACTTTCTTTGAGCTAATGATGTTGATGGGGTAGGTGCTCTATATATGACGCGGGCCAGAACAGACACAACCGAAGAATAACGGGAGCTGTATGGAGAACTTAGGGAAATGGTAAGCGACTATGCTTAGTTTAGTGATAGCTTGGCACATCCCCCAGCGATATTGTAGGAAGGCTGGGAAGTGGAGAAGTGGAACCAACCGGTACCCCGCGGTTTCTCCGTAGTGGCATGAAAATACGGCAATTGACATTACAGTGAAGGCGTAAGCCACAACCAGAATCCAAGAACCTCAGTTACCCCGGCTGAGAGTATGTCCGGCAATACTCTCAGCCGGGGTAAATGTAGCCTCAAATCTCGGCATCGGTAGTCAATCAAAAATTCGACATCTCCAACGTATAAACCTTGAATCTCTTTCAATGCTGTATACGTTTCAAGGTAGATATCTGCTGTTAAAAATAAGCCGCAGCTGGCAGATATTTGAGCACATCTTTAGTGTGTCCCTTATACACCCTTCTCCCGCCCTACAGGAAACATGACTCAGCATGTCGACGTCCTGATCTGTGGTAGCGGCTCTGCTGGGATCTGCGCAGCAACATGGCTCGCCCGATATGGGCTTCGGTGCAAAATCCCCGAATCACATGGTTACGAAGTCAAGGGAGTCCAGGTTGATAGTAAGGCAGCTGCAGATCTAGAGTCCTACCCTGTGACTGTGGTTGCTCTGAAAGATGTAGTAGAGGAAACTTTCAAGGCAAAGTATGCACTAGTGAGTATTGCCTAGCCCTGATATAGTATTAATTCTCATCCTACTAGGCATGTACTGCGGCTATGACCGTGACTGCTTGTGAGAGCCTCTGGGATCAAGGATGACGTTATCAGAGGGACGAGTTTGCGAATTGACAGGAATCCTTCGAACACAACCGACGTCTATCGTCCAGGGTCGCTTCCGCGGCTAAAACCATCTGTCAGTATTCTGCTCCCGTATTCCCGCCAAAGGGTCATTGCTTTACATACACTGCCACTGGACACGACTGTCTCCATCTGTGACGATGAGAGTAATACTGGCTTGTTTGGAGAGAAAGGACTCTGACCATCGTATTTGTTATCATGTTTGCAGTTGGAGCAAGTAAGGTAAATGGAAATTTTGACGGTGACTATATAAATTGCGAAGATGGAATTCGCCTTAAATAAGTTATGTGAAAGTAATAGATCCATCAAAACATCCTAAGAAGCCTCCGCTGGAAACTCAGTTGAAACTCTTTTAGCAAGCCACTCGTCTGTTGTCACCGTCTGACCCCATTCTCCAACCATATTCTGAGCCCATTTACCCTTCGCCTCACACCCAGGGAGAGTTTCAATAATAAACTCTGGGTCAGGCATCCCAAAAAAAGCCAAGGAATATCGATCTACAACTGAGCCGGCAGCAAGTGGAACAGAATCTTTTCTGTTGCCTATCATAGATTCTCTCGGAGCCACGACTTGATGCAAAGCGCTCTTCGATCTCCCATTTGTTTGCCGGTCAAGAATATCGCCGACGTCGACAATGATCTTCCCTTGCTTTGGGATCACGGGCCTGAAAGCCTCACCATCGTGGATTTCGAGGCCACCGATACTATCGTTAAAAACGATCGTCAGCTGTTGAAAGTCTGTGTGAGCGTTCATCCGGTGAACCTCACGGCTTTTGAGCGGGCCAACCTCCATTGAGGGAAAATAGTTGAAGCTCATGTGGCAGAAATCGCAGGTGTGCTGGTTTGAGAGATATTTCGGACTACCAAGTTTCAATAACTCCGAAATGTTCTCCAATAGCTGGTGATCCAGGCGAGTACATGCGTCCCACCACGAGTCGTAGAAGCTTCGGAATCCAGGAAAGATGTCCTCAGGGAGCCAGAGGTTTCGGCCAACATCGACTTGTAAGTCATGTGGATTGCACAGTTCAAGACCCTCGTGCCTCTCCGGTGTGGTCTTGCGTAGCTCCTCTAGCTCCGCGGTGTCCCAAACCAGCTGGCTGACCAATACCTGTCCAATTTCGAGGAATCCTAGATAGTCATTGACGGCACCACTTGGGGGATGGGCGATGCGTTTCTTTACATCATGCGGAAGCGCGAAAAAGCGTCTCGACTAGATATGTTAACAATTATTCTAAGATGAGAATCCATGGCGTCTACTTACCCATTCAAAAGCCTCGTCGATAAGTTTTTGCGGAATACTATGATTGGAGAGGTATATGAAACCTAAAGACTGGAAGGCATCGTCCAAGTATTTGAAGGCCACTGAGCGCTCATTTTGAGTGCCATTTAACTGGCGGAAATCAATGACGGGAATGTCTGCGGGCTCATCGAGATATGTTTCGACACGATGCATATTTGGTGATGTTTGGCAGGTGATGTGTGGGACAGGACTAAGGTGTTGCTGGAGAATAGATATGGTCCTATAATTTTAACAATTCTAAATAGTCCATTTAAACGGAAATTGGGTTTGATCTGGTCCGGAAGTCGAGCTAGAAACTCTGAACAGCTTTTCCTAGTTTTGGGGTCACTCACGCAATGCACGTCTCACAGCAACTGTAGCACCACAGCTAAAGTAAGACTTCTGGGCTGGATTCGAACGAAACTAGTAACCTGGAAAAAAATTGAGTCTTAGTTGACTTATTGCTGCAAATATTACCTCATCGCCTAGAACTTCAACTGGGGTTGCGCTTCTACGGTGCAAGCTCAGCTTGTCTCAAACCCCTTTCCGGGGACTAAATTGGCCAATATAAGTGGCCACTGCATATAAGTCTCTTACTAGACCTATGATACCACTCTCTACCACTATAATATGTAGGTGCCTATTTGTGTGGAGCCCTTTAGTAACCGCGGAGAAATTGGGATCTATATGTCTTTTCTAAAGGCGCTGTTTGTTGTAGTGTGCGTTGTAGCACAATATGCTCCGGCCGGCATCGGAATCCTGCCCTATTGCGAATGGACAATTCCAAGGTAAGCTGAAAACGCAAATGAGTAATATAATATTGGAAATATACTGCATTGTAAGAGAATATGAATCCACTGTAGTACCTAACGCGATAATCCATGCGACGATCTTTGTGGCACGAGGAGCGCGGTTTTATATCTCTCACGACTAGCCGTATTATGTATGACTAGTCAGATTATACGTTATTTTGAAAATTGTATTTTCAATGACTGCTCAAAACTTTTATTTCCTAAAAACGAAGATTTGTGCTAAGATGACGCAGCAACAGGACCTGGCTTCTCTTGACGTTCATACTCAAGAGTAACTCTCTTATTCATCCAGTCACCTGCGGTCATGTTGTCCTCCCATTCCAAAGACTCCCATTTCCCCTTCTTCTCGCACCCAGGCAGTGACTCTACCAACATCTCATAATCAGGGTGCGCATAGAAAGCAATTGCATGTCTATCAACCACTGTGTCGTTGTCCACTTCCTTCCCATACATAGATTGCCGTGGACCAGTCACATGGTGTAGAGCACTCTTCCACCTCCCATTGGACTGTTTCTCAAGCATGTCCCCAATATGCACAATTACAGTTCCTGCCTTTGGAAGCACAGGCCTATAAATGCCGGCTTCATCATCGTGAATTTCCAGGCCGCCCACCATGTCTTGGAACAGTATGGTCAATTGCCCAAAGTCGGTGTGGGCGTTCAGACGTCTTGCTTCGCGGTTCATCAGGGGGGAGGTGGGCATGGAAAGGTAGTGCAACCAGCTCATGTGGCTGCAGTTGCGGCCGGGAGTCTGTTGCTTGGACAGAAACTCTCGGTCTTTGATTTCCAAGATTTCACAAAGGTAACCCATCAGTTGGTGTTCCTGACGAACACAATGGTCCCACCACTTTTCGATAAAGCCTCAGAACCCAGGGAAAATATCCTCGGGCAGTAGACGGTTTGGATACGGGTTTGCAGTTGGATCATTAGTGGTGTATGGGTTACCGATCTCGAGGATTTCCTTTTGTTCCGGTTTGGCGGTATTGCGGATATTTTCAACCTTTTCGGCATCCCAGATTCCTTGACTGACTAGGCCGAGACCAACCTCTGCAAACCCTCGGTGATCAGTTGCACTTCCGGGGTGGGCAATCAGTTGCTTGACGTGATGTGGGAGATCGAAGAAGCGTTTGGACTGGAAGGATTAGCGAGGGCAAAAAAACGGAGGAGGAAGATAGACTTACCTATGCGAAAGCTTCCGCGACCATTTCCTGCGGAATGCTATGGTTTGATAGGTAGATGAATGCAAAAGTTTGGAACGCATCGTCGAGCTGCTTGAGTGCTGCATTGCGCTCTTGTGGTGTTCCGCTAGAGAGCAAGTTGAAATCGACAACAGGAATGTTCGCGGGTTCAACAGTCTGAGTAGAAACAGTCATTGTGAAAATAATTTTCTGTTGTAAAGTAGGGATATAGAATTGGCTTTCCGTTTAAAACCGTCTTATGGGCGTCAATGTGAGCTTTATATATGTGTGAGTGATCTTGACACTATGGAAAGCCCTTGGTAACTGGATCATAAAGCATACCTGTCAAGTATCACGGCTACGGCAAAAGGGCTGATGGGTTATTATTACAGTGCAAAGCTTTCAGAGAAATTATATACATAAATACTAATAACAGCGGTAAATACTGACATAGATCGGCAAGTGCATTGTCTTGCATTCAATTTTCAGCTTCAAACTTGCGAAATGTACTGTATTCATTGCATTTGAAACAAACATATCAATTTTTTCTAGAAATATATCGATTTTTCTGGCAACCTGCATGTCACCTGTGTCTATAGAACCCCATATTATAGCAGATGCACTGTGGTGCGTTCACCTTTCAGCTTACTCAGAACTCGTTATGGCGTGATGTGGTTATTGTATTTGAAATATATTGGTTTTTTTCTAGGAGCCCGCATACCGCCCCTGCGACTTCAGAGCCATATAGCTTAGCAACTGCATTCATTGCCTTGCATCTAATTTTCAGCTTACTCAAGACTTGCCGTGGCATGTCGTGTTCATTGCTTTGAAACGTATCGGGTTTTCGTACCAACCCGCATACCGCCCCTGCGTCTTCAGAAATCCGTTGGCAAACGTGAATGACGAAATAACATACGCCTGGCAGACCGTGGTGCAATTGAAGCCGTTTAAAACATATCAGGTAGTATTATACCACTTCCCATACTTCTCAAAATTCTCATTCTATTTTCTCATCATCTGGTCAACGACATGGACACTCATGTAGTTGTGGCCGATCTTCTACGCATGGAAGGCCAGAAGCCTTCAATCCGATTTGAAGATGTTCAGCTATGCTCCGTTTTGCACAATCATGACGACCATCCTGTTATTGGCTTCTATAAGCTCCGCAATCGCAGTGTGAAGGCGAGAAATGACCACAACTCCGTTTCTCACGAGAAACACTGCAAAGCAATGTCAAAAAGTTTCCATACTGCCACCATATTGTCACAACTTCTCAATGGGAGGCTACAAGTCACTACTCGCCAAGAAGAGACAGAGATCTCTACGGAAAGAAATATACCTTCTATGATTGTTGGAGATACAGTCATCATTGCGGATGAAACTTTCTCTAATCCGCAAGAAGTAGGCGCTCATAGTTGGAACATGTTCTTATCAATGAACTTTCTCTTTCCGAAGGCCCAAATCGGCTGGAAATACGGCCTCACGTCTACGTCCACTCAGTTCATGCAAATATCTTGTCCGAATTTAAAATCCGATGACTCTCTCTTCACAAAAATGGGGACCCTAATCTACGACAATATGGATATAGTATCTGGCATGTGTCTCTTCAACGGAACAATTCTAAAAACCAGTATTTCTGAAGAAGAGGGTGGCGTGGATCCCGACAAAATCACACACATCAAGCCTACAATTAACGAGACGGATTATATTGCTCGGTCATCATCTGCCATCGCGGATATAGCATCAATGCTTACCGCCAGGATCCGAGAACAAAACTCCAAACAACTAGTTCGCATCAAGTTGGATAATCCCAGTTTTCAGTACTATCATGAGGTTGTCGATAAGTTCGAGAAGCATCTTTGTACTGGCATAGAAGCACTAATATGGATGGAGGCCGTTGATATTCGGCATGGCCAGATAGCCAAAGTGTTCACGAACTCTGTCCAACACCAGCTTCGACGGCGAGGCGTAAGCCCTGACAGCTATGAAATCAATATACCCTCGAGAATCACTTCCTTTGCTCTGTCAATTAGGGAGGCTTTGCAGGATCAGAAATGCCCTTCTTTGCAAACTGTTCTAGAAATACTTGATTCTGAAAAAGATGGGCTCTGGCGAGCTTTCTACCAGTTCGTTCCGGTAAAGGAGAAGCCTCAAGATTGGAAAGACTTGAGCTACCTATTCTACGTCTTTGAGGTGATCAAGTCAGCGCTTGTCGAGTCAAACACAGGATATCAAGCCGCCTCCAGACTCGATAGAACAAGCGACACCCAGCCTCCATTGAATGATCAATTAGTTGTGAAGTCTGCGAAGAAGAGGAACTCAAAAGTTCAATCAAACTCTCGTCGATTGATCATAAACATTGATGACTCTGCAGAACGTCGAATCTACTCCTGGTCACAGGAAATGCTGATGAAGATCCGACAATCTCATTGCAACATGTCAAATTCGACACTGGTCGAGGTATATCTGTGTAGAAGGGTTTTCGTCAACGGCAATAAAACCAGGAACCGGCTGTACCATCAAGATCCTATGCCCATAGCTCCTATGCTATCTCGTTTATCGGAGCATGGTGGTGATGGAGGCCAGTTAATGAAGCCATTCGATATGGTTCATCAACTTTATGGATCTGATTGTGCCCAAAATCTTGAGTTGTTATTTTCTCAAGTAGGCTTGTAGGGATTGATTGATATGTGCGTTCTAATTAGAAATATGATTGCATTCAACTTTGAAAACCTCTAAAACTACCCATGCTTGCTCAAATATCCTCAACAATCATGTTAACTTCTCCACATTTCAGCTATTATTCTAAGTTCTTGCTAATTCCTCGAGTCTGTGGTTGTATGTGGGAGGTAGGTGAATACAGGGAATATGAGGTGCTGTTGTGTTGTAGTGGGAATGTGGTGGGAAAATTTACCTCGCCACAACAACATACTAATCTCGATTCCAAAAAACTCTGACTGAGACCATGATTTAGCTGGCTTAGGTTCGGATCGAATATTACGGGATACATGAGGTAGTCACAAAAGTGTAGATCAAGTTACTTCACATTCAGCCTTGTTATTTTTCGGGCAGTTAAGGAATGACATTATATTAGTTGATAAGAAATTAGTAAAATACAACGGTATACCCCCCCCCCCCCCTTCCTCTTTCTTCTCGACAGATGAGTCTTTGCAGGTCGCCCGCCTTCCTCCCATTTCTCGCATTTATCTCGTCTTCCCTCCTATATTTCTATTTAGCTGTCATTTCCTAGTACCTAATCCCCAACCCGCTCGAAGGTTGGTGCTAGTTGTAAAGCAAATCTTGTGCTGTCTAGCCAACTGTTCCCGTTGTCGTGTTTCGATACTGCTGCGTAGGATTTAGTTGTGTCGCATATTCCTGTGTTGTTGCATACTGCTGTGACGGTTGGGAATATGTAGATGTTGCCGCCGTGCCTTGAGTCTGCTGTGGCTGGACATATGTTGCAGGTTCGGTTCGGTACTGGGCAGTTTCCGCTGGTGTGGTTCGGTACTCTCTGGTTTGGTTGAAATTCTCATGGTAAACGGGGGCTACGCCGCTGTTGACATGGGTGTCTTCCTGTCTCTTGATCCTTGGAGTCTCCTCGTGGACTTCACGGCGGGAGCGGTGTTTCGTCAAAAAGTAAAGGCCCTATGGAGATATCAGTTATTTGTTGAGATGTGAGAATACTGAAATGAGAAATCTTACCAGTAGGAAGCTGAGGAGCCAGAAGATGCCTCCAATGAAACTCCATGCAAGAGTTGCTCTCCAGCTGCTACATCCAGCGCCATTAAAGCGATTAAATGTCCCTGCAGGTTGTAGATACCATCTTCCCCATGCCCAACTCCAGCTGGTTCTGAACCAGCTTGAGTTGCAGCCTGAGCTTCCAAGCTATTCATATATGTTAGCTTTATGAACCAAATAAGAACTAGCGTTGGATAGGTAGTAACCCACATTTATAAGAAGTCCAAAGGCAACCATCCATAAGATGAACATGATGAGATCGAGAGGGAAGGCGTAGAATTGGTATTTGAGAGGTAGCATGAAGAGTAAAGAGAAGAATATAGCGATTCCAGCAATGGTGATCGCATATATGATTCGACGGCTATTGAAACCACCTCCCTCGTGAAGGTTATGAAGGTAGCGGCCTAACAATCCAGCGACTATGGCGGCAGAGATGAGTTGCATGAGACGAAAGAATACAGATGCAAATCTTGATCCCTTAGACCCCCCATCGGAGGACCTGGACCTATTACCACCACTTGGAAAAAGACCCATCGTTGAAAATAATGTGGTGTTTTGGACTCGGTAAGTTGTTCGAAATTTGAAGCCGCAATATTAAAGGAGAGAGCTTCCGGTAAAGTTATACATTGGGAGGCTCGCTGGCTATATAGCTACTCGCAGGCATGTTCGGCAGCGTGAGAACCTGGTATCTTCGTATTGCCAAAAGAGGAGTTGGCTAGACCGCAGAATCCTCAACTTCCAAGAAAATATGGCGGGAGATAGACGAAATGTTTAACCTAACTAATCAGTTTGACCTCCTTGAGACTCATAAGTGGTAGATCAAGCTACCCATGACAGCATAGCTATGAAACTTTAATGTAAGCGTGGGAATCAAAATTGTTTTGTCCTCTATCGTAGACTGCTGGCCAACTAACCAACAGCTTCTTTCATCCCATGCCTCGCCACTGCCTTGATATAAGGACTTCAGCAGCATACAAAGGCAGATTTTGTGTAGCTGTAATCGCGCCCTACAATTACGTTGTGCCATCCCGTTTGGAATCGGGGTCAAATCAGAAGCAGAGTTAAGTTAGATGACGTTTAAGAAGTATTTTGGGTATGTATAAAAGTATACTCTTTAACTGCAGGTTTGATGAACTTGGCCAAATGAACTGATTCCTTCAGATCATCTTTTCAGACTCCACTTTAACCGCAACGCATCCTTTCATTTATATCCGCGGTGGATTTCAAACCTTATCGGCGACCCTGCAGCGGCATCCGCCCGGCCTGACAGATTCAGACTTGGGGTCTACTCGGGTCCTGGTGCTACATTGACGCTAATCGGTCCGTTTGCAGCAGCATTAAATGGCACTTTGAACATTATGACATCATTGTAACTTGGAACTGGAATTAGTCGCCATACAGCGTATAAGAACAATAAGGGAATAAGCGGGGTCATGACAGCGATTGATATTGTACAAGTTGGTCATGTGTTGTTGCCATTGACTGACTGACGTAATCATCGGTGACATCAACCCGTTCTCACTTCAGGCTATCACTTTGTATGCGCAGGGCAAGGCACTCCAGCTAGGAACTGCATGGAGAAAAACAGAATATGTACCGTTCAAATAATATCCAATAATATCTCTGCAGTCTCCGAACTATATGTAAGCTGGCCGTTATAGCTTATTGCCGTGATTGGGGCCAACGCCGCCAAATTATCGACAAGTTAAATAATTTAATTTCAAATACGCAGCTCAAAATAGCTGAATGAAAGTACAAGTTACCTCCATCCATTCAAATAATTCACAAACAAGCCTTAAAATTCCACACATACGTGAGCTTAACTTATCTTAACTCTCGAAACCTCTTCTGGCCCGTGTAACTTGGCTTCGAGCGAGCTGACCAGCAAGACAAAGTATCGCAACTTAATTCTTCAGTTGCGTCGATATACTTTTGAACAGTAAGATTAGCTTGTTTCAATGCGGGAAAACGGTAACATATGGTTAATTTGTCTACTGCCACCGCATACACCACAGTCAGCTGATGGTGCAGGAACTGATCCAGAATTAAGATCTACGTATAGGAGGTCAGCACTTGCTCTAGCTTGAACAAGTTGGAAAGCAGTGATTATACCAGAGCCACATTAGCATTCGGAGGCGTATTCGACCGCAGCATAGTTCGATCCAGCATGAAAATTAATGCAAGCCTCAGCAGTCATGTCTGTTGTGCTGGACTAGCTGTTGCCTGTCAAAGCCCGAGAAACTGTTGGCTCAGTGTAGCATCCCAGGGATTTGTATTGATTGTTTCTAGGGAAGGGCAATGGCGGTGTATTCAAAAAGTTTAGGCTACAGGCAGCTACATTTCCGCCTAGGCTATAATATTATTAGATCAAAGGCTTCTATTCCGTTGAAATATATGCTTAAAAGACGACCAAGTATTATCAGAAGGTACTACAACATGATTAAAGCCAGTTGGTGTGATGCATCCAGGAAGCTGTGAAATCCCATCCTGGACCGGTTCGCATGAATAGACTGGGCTTGTCTCTGGAAAGGTTGCCGCAAACTCGGTATCATTGCTCACAAGCAAAGGAGGACACTCTTCGACGACTCTAAAAGGCGGTATCAGCCTAGAATTTAAGTAGCAGATAGAATTATCTCACCCATCTTCGTTAGCAAGCAAGCACTCTGAAATAGCCGATGTGAGGGTCGGGATATCCCAGCCTAAATAGAGGTCAGATAATGATTACTGTAGGAATCTTTCCATTCCACAAACATTAATAAAGTCACCTATTTCGGATGTTAATTTGGTATTTTAAGTGGTAGATGTGACATAGACATACCGTGGAACCCGTACCCAGTCTCATCTCCGTTAGCGAAAACAAAATTTCCCCCGTCTTGGACTATGTCGCTCACTGTGTAGGGAACTTCTATGAACAAGACAGGTAGGAGTAGGTGGGCAGATTCCATTATCTATTCCGGATAATGGAATCTGCCCACCTACTCCTATAGATAGGCCATGTGGAATTGATCGTCCTGCCGATGTGTATTAGCAACGGTATCATCAATTAAAACTCAGCGGAGTTTTAATGGCGTCAAATCGTGGCTTTCAAGAGGCTGACCTTGTACCTAGCACGACGTTAATATTTCTTCTGTAGGCCTTTCGACTTATTTTGATAAATAACTCACAAATTAACACCATCCCAGCAGGATTAGAAGGTAATCTGCGCTCGATGCCATTGGGACTACATGGAAATTAGCCAATGCAGTAAACCTCAGGCCATCGTTGCTACTACCAGTTGGTATCCGACATGTAATGAGTCTCTGGCCTTGGATTGTTATAGTCAACGCATGCGAATGTGACTCGGTTTGCAATAGGGATATCTGGATACATGGCATTGCCGTAGGCCATTGTACTGGCATCGTAGGATCTGGCGTTGTTATTACTAGAGAGAAATTTGAGCCCCTTTGGGAATGGGGCTGCCAGATTGCTGCCAGCTGCGTTCTTGCCCTGTCAAAATAGATAAGCTAAGAAGTAAAACTGATACGCATCGAGGCTTACTCCTCCAAGGTAGTATACGGCCATACCTCCGTTAGGACTGATGGTAGAGTCAGCACCTTGCAATGTCCTAGCAATACAAATATAGCTTACACTTTTTCAAATTGCCCATTGGAATGCAGATAGTATAATTGCGGATTCCAATATGCGCTCCTGAGCACCATTAGAAGCCAATATCTTGGAGTGGTTGTGCTGGATGACCCTAGTTGTCGGCTGTTTTATCATTTTTATCTGCACAAGTCATCATAACTGGGGGAAGAAAGCACCTTGAACTTGACAGCTTGTGCACGGCAAAGCTGCTAGACTGTAATGAGTAGAATTGATGTTGATATTGCTAGCTCCTGAAATTTTGTGGACATGCTGACTGACTCCACCATAGCTAATGACGGGGTCCTGGTAAACCATCATCAGCAAATAATACGATCAGTGGATCGCATTATTTGCATGCAATCAAAACTTACAATTCGGCCCATTTGAGCAACACCACAGCTCACTGTTAGTTGTTAGTATCACTTGAACAGAATTTTGGTTAATTAATTTTGATTCTCACTTAGCCAGAAACCAAAAGCTGGCTGCACTAAGTTGAAAGCCACAGTGGAAGCTACCGCCAAAGACCATGCTGGTGCCATTTATCACGGTAGGTGTAGTATATAACTTTGTTTCAAGAATGCTATAGTCATTCATAGAAAAAATGAAGCCAGATAACGAGATGGTTAACGGGACATTAAATATTCTTATAAGTGCGCCAAAAGATTATAAATTATGAACACAGAGAAATTCTCCAATGTAGGGATGAACACAAACCAAAATCATGGAATGTGGGTTCACAAAAAGGTCACCAGGCTGAATAATTATTAGAAGTGTCAAGCTAGCTATGCAGTTGGGCAGAAGCTCTCGAGATTTTACGCCGAATACAAAACTTGGCTTAGAAATTTAAGAAACATACTGCAAGAACATGACGCGGAATACCGGCACAGCGCAATAAAACCCACATAGAGAGGTGTTTATTAGCCTTCAATCTAAGCCATGCGTGCGGCTAGCTACTGAGGGATTCTCTAAGCTGTCGCACCTACGAAATAGTACGGCTTGGCTTCGATACTAGAACATTTGATACCCCTGTCAAGGAGAAGTTTGAATGGCTCAGCGGATTCCGGGAAAGCCCCTGTACGTTGCACATGAGATGCAACCTGTCAAAAATAAGGTGTGTGATGGGCTGGGGTAACAGTTACTCTATTCGTTAGCGTGTTAGAGCCACCCTTGCATGCCGAATATTCACGAGAAACCGCCCGACAATTGAGGGGAACCTAGTCTCATAGTATGTCCATTGTGGGATAGAACTGTGTTATATCGAATTACATTAGAGCTATGAGGTTTTGTAGAGATAACGACTGGGATTTATTCGGACGGTCCCGAGAGTAGTACTGGAGGTTGATTCTTGCCAGGCTTTCGTGAAAGACCCCTGAAGGATGTTAGAATGCCGTCCGAGCCAGCCTTGGCACTGGCCTAAAGCAATGAACACCAGCCATTGTTTGCTGGCTGATATTTGATGGCGGCATATGTAACCATGACTCAGAAATATATGATGAATTCCTTAAGAAATTGGCGATTGCCTCTGTAAGTCATGATGGTTCTCGTGAACTACTGCCGCTACTACGGCCGCCATGGTCGCCAAAACGCGAACCCGACTCGGCCTCACAACTCAACCATGCCTATCAGCTAGTATGACAGTGCAACAGGGCCTTCTTTCTACACTTACATCACCCAAAAAATGACAGACCTAGGGGCAAGCAGATATGGGCATCGAGCTCATATTTTAGGCCACTGGCTGGTTATTTCGCTGGTCTAAATGTGGCAAAGCCCTGGTTTAGACCACATTGCTATTTCTCCTACCAATCGACAACATCGTACGATGTGCCAAATCCAAAACTTATGTATGACATAAATAGACTAAAAGTTCCCAATGACATAAATAGATTGAAAATCTCTAGCGATCAGCTAACAATATTATTGCACTCCTAAATCCGTGACTTTTCTCTTCATCTACTGTTTATTTTTTACGCATGTCAAACAAGTTGATAATGGCTTCACCCCCACAATTTAAAGAGTAGGTAGTAGGCTAGTACCTATCGGGGTGTCTTGCTAAAATTTGCTATAGTGAAATAAACCCGCGCCGAGGCCATAAAGGCTCTGATATCATAGGGCCCCGGAATCCTAATCGAGAGCACCAGGAGCCCGATTTGGTTTCTCCTCCATCAATAGATGCAGGTTAGTAACGAAGCCACTGGAGACGATACAATACTTACTGATATTTATAGGGAAGCTCGCAAATATGAAATGGTTCGTTTAACAAAACACCTTTAACATAATTCAGTGTTTTTTTAACTGTTGAAAAAGGTCGTTCGCAGATTCTCATATGCGTTTAGAAGAAGGAGGGTGGGCCCGAGAGACTACAGTTAGAGAGCTTCCTACGTCGACCGAGCTAGCCGCTGTAAATATGAGACTCGAAGAAGGTGTCTATCGTGAGTTACACTGGCAAACAGAGGCCGAGTGGGCGTATGTTTTGGAAGGGTCTTGCCGGATCACTGTCCTCGACACAGAGGGTGGTTGTTATATTGATGACTTGCAAAAAGGCAATCTGTGGTATTTTACAACTGGATTCCCACACAGCATTCAAGGTGCGGTTCAGGGCTTTTGATAATGACTTTCCCACAAATATGGACTAGGAATTGGGAAAGAGGGCACAGAGTTCTTGCTTATCTTCGATGACGGCAACTTTTCTGAGGATTCGACTTTCCTTCTGACAGACTGGCTTGCCCACTCTGATAAAAACGTTCTAGCAAAGAATTTTAATATCCCTCGAGGAGTATTCAATAACCTTTCCCAGAAGGGTGAGCATTTTTAACCCTGTAAGCAAAACCTCGCTGATCTTTGGTAGAGAAATACATATTCCGAGGCACAATCGCACCGCCTCTAGACGAAGACAGAAAGCAAGTCAACCCCTCTAAGCACCGATTCACACACCGTATGCTAGAGCAGGAGCCTATCAAATTCGCCGGAGGGGAAGTACGAATAGCAGACACGAAGAACTTCCCTATCTCGCAATCTGTCGCCGCTGCGCACGTACTCATTAATCCTCATGGCCTGCGAACCATGCATTGGCACCCGAATGCCTCTGAATGGTCATATTTTATTCGAGGAAAGGCGCGAGTAACTATCTTTGCCTCGAACGGGACGGCCCGCACCTTCAATTACCAAGCAGGAGATATCGGCATAGTCCCTCGAAACATGGCGCACTTTGTAGAAAATATTGGTGACGAGCCTGTCGAGATGCTGGAGGTCTTTCGCGCGTCTACATTTCAGGACTTTTCACTTGAGCAGTGGCTCGCTCAGACTCCACAGACCATGGTGGTTGAACATCTTAATTTAGATGGAGGTAACGCGAAGAGGTTCCTCGACTCGCTCAGCAAAACGAAGGTTCCTGTCAAGCCTGGGCGACGGAGTTCTTTTTCTCTTTAAGATTAGGTATTTGTTATATTATCTGTGTTGTTTACATTTTTTCAAAGAAAAATCATTCCTGAATCCCCATCACGAAGGAGTCGGCATAAGTAAACTCTAAAGTTAGAATATATCCGCCACGGACTTAAACTTTAATAAGACCAGCTTACTCGTTTGCTGAAGTTGCATCAAATGCTTCACTCTACAACAGAGAATTTGGTATGCCATTGTAATGAGTATTATGTGGGCCTCGAAGTTGAAGTTTGGCTGGTATTTCGAAAGAACTTGGATGGGGTTGATCGCTCCTACCCCCGCAATACCGGACCGCTGACCCACGTGTGGTTTCCACCTATCGCTTCGTGACTGCCCCAACTCCGGCGGGGGTGGGGAACATTGGTCCCTTCTCGAGATGTGTATTACCCTTTTGTGACCGGGACATGTTTCCCGACAAATGTCCAGGCATTATTTGAACCATTGGCGGGAATGTTTCAGCATGGATAGCACGATGGGGGTAGTGATTTATCCGTGATAGTTTGTCCCTCTTTTCTACCTTTATTAGAGTACCATGTGCGGCTCCGAACATCCTGTCCTGTCCTGAAAGCGCCACAATAGAGAACGATGAATGCACAACTTGAAGACCTCAAGGGAACGCTGAGGAGCGACTTCTACTGGGGCTATGCCACTGCCGCTGCACAGATCGAGGGTGGTTGGAATGCCGACGGGAAAGGCGAGTCGATCTGGGATCATTTCGCGCACACACCTGGCAAAGTGAAGGATGGTAGCACCCCCGACGACGCCGTGCTCTCCTACTACAAATATAAAGAGGATGTGGCACTGCTTAAATCCTACGGCGTAACGGCCTACCGTTTCTCCCTCTCATGGTCACGCATCATCCCTCTCGGCGGCGCTGCAGACCCTGTCAACGAAGCGGGCATCGCATACTACTCTTCTTTAGTTGACGAGCTTCTAGCTAATGGAATCACCCCATTTGTAACATTATTCCACTGGGATACGCCGCAGGCACTGGAGGAGCGCTACGGGGGCCTCCTCAACCAAGAAGCCTACACGCCTGATTTTGTCCGATACGCTCGTGTCTGTTTTGAGCGCCTCGGTGATCGAGTAAAGCACTGGATTACCTACAATGAGCCAGGCGTGTACACCCTTGCTGGATACGCAGCTGGTGTTCATGCGCCGGCGCGTTCTTCATTCCGTGACCGTAATGCCGAGGGCGACTCATCCACTGAGCCCTTTACCGTCGGACACACAGAGCTCGTCTCCCACGGATATGTCGCAAAGATGTACCGCGAGGAATTTAAGCCGTCGCAGAAGGGCATGATTGGAATCACTCTGCATGGAAACTTCAGCGAGCCATGGGACGTAGAGGATCCCCTCGACGTTGCAGCGGCGCAGCGCGCCCTCGAATTCGAGATTGGGTGGTTTGCTGATCCAGTGCATAAGACCGGTGACTATCCTGCCTCCATGCGCGCTCAGCTAGGTGACCGTCTACCGCGGTTCACACCTGAGGAATCGGCGCTGGTGAAGGGGTCGTCGGACTTCTACGGCATGAACAGCTACACCACTTTCTACGTCAAGCACAAGACTACCCCCCCCGACATCAACGATCACAAAGGAAACATTGAGCAATGCGAGACAAACAAGCAAGGCGTGCCGCGCGGACCAGTTAGTGATACTTATTGGCTCCGCACATGTCCTGAGGGGTTCAGGAAACTGTTGAATTGGATTTGGACGAGATATGGGGTTCCTATTTATATTACGGAGAATGGTACAACGGCAAAGGGTGAGACGGAGCCTTCAAAAGAGGTTCTGAATGACACGTTTAGAGTTGAATTCTTTGAAGGGTATGTCGGCTCCGTTGCAAAGGCAGTGAAGGAGGATGGCGTGGATATTAGGAGCTATTTTGCATGGACGTTTACGGATAACTGGGGTGAGTGTCCTATTCTGTTTGTGGCCTATGGAATGAATGGTGATACTGACGTGCGTAGAATGGCAAGCAGGTTATTCGGATAGGTTTGGAGTTACGTTTATTGACTTCGAGTCGAAGGAGAAAACGCGCTATCCAAAACGATCCGCAACTGTGCTGAAAGAAATGTTCCAGAAGCTTATCAGTGAGAAGTAAATTGGAGCATGCATCTAAGGTTATATAGACTGAATTTACACGTTTAATTTATCCTTCATAAAAAATGATTTACCATAGATGCGGAGATAAAATGAATGCGTCTATACAAGAATGTTTGTGTTAAACGTCTTCCGGCTCATAAACAAGATGCTCTCCCTTCCCCTCCGGGAATGAGGCTACCTTCGAACTGTTCATGAATACCACTTTCCCTCCAGACCCTTCACTCCTCACCACCACTGGTCCCTTCACCCTTCCACCCTCCCACTCAAAATCTACCTCCCAACCCCCTCTTGCCTTAACTCCCCTCACACTACCCCTTTCCCACTCTGCGGGACATGCAGGAAGCACCCTAATAAAACCTTCGTGCGACTGTACTAGCATCTCTAGAACTCCCGCCCCGCCCCCAAAATTCCCATCAATCTGAAAAGGCGGGTGCACGTCTAGGAGATTTGGTAATGTCGAGTCTCGCAGCAGCTTCTTCACATGTCCCAGGCATTCTGCAGCTTGCCAAAGCCGTGCATGCAGGTTAATTAACCACGCACGACTCCAACCAGTGTGGCCTCCGCCATGATCGGCGCGACGGTTTAGGACAGCTGTACACGCCGCTGCCAGATCAGGAGTGGCGGAAGGGGTTATGGCTGAGCCAGGATGAAGGGCCCAGAGATGTGAGATATGTCTGTGCCCCGGTTCGACTTCCATGTAATCTGTTCGCCACTCCTGGAGCTGACCAAAAGAGCCAATTTTGGGCGGGGGTAGGCGGGACAAGGAGGCTTTGACAGAGGGAAGCAGGTCATCGGCAGGGAGGGATAGGGTGGCGCAGGCGGATATAAAGGCATCGAAGACAGATGTAATTATCTGAATGTCAATTGTGGAGCCTTCGCATAGAGTACCACGGGTTTTGTCGGCTTCGAAAAAGGAGTTCTCAGGAGAGAGGGACGGGCATGTGACGAGGTGGTCACCTGAGATGTCCTCAATGAGAAAATCAACAAGGAACTGCACACAGCCTTTGAGGACTGGGAACATCCGCGCCAGAAACTCCGTATCCTGGTTGAAGAGATAGCTTTCCCAGACATGCACGCATAGCCAGGCACCTCCCAATGGCCAGAGGGTGGCGGGCATCCACCTGTCCTGCGGATCTGTGTCGGCCCAGATATCGGTATTGTGGTGGGCAGCCCAACCACGGCATCCATACATCGTCATCGCTGTTTTCTTGCCCCGCTCGGCAACGCGCTCAAGTAGATCAAAAAGAGGGAGTTCACATTCAGCGAGATTGGAGACGTTCGCGGGCCAGTAATTCATCTGGAGATTGATGTTGATGGTGTACTTGCTTCCCCAGGCGGGTTGAAACGAAGGGTTCCAAAGTCCTTGAAGGGTGGCCGGGATCGGCTTGAACCCATCTCTACTGCAGGAGATAAGGAGGTAGCGGCTGTAATTGTGGTAGAGGGCGGCCAGTCCTGGATCTGGAGCCTGGGATATCCTTTGATCTGTGGGGATGTCACACGCGTCTGGGTAGAGGTGCAAGCCCATTCGAGAGTAGAGTGACCTATAATCGGCAATGTGCCGTTCCCAAAGATTTGGCATATTCAGTGCTTTCGTGGCATCTGCTAATGCTGTAACTTCTGGGTTATCATGCCTATAGGTCGTCTGAGCTGCAATGACGACTAAAGCTTCTCGGGCTGTTACAACCAGTGCGTTTCCGACCGCAGACACTGAGCCTTCACCATCGCACTTGATGCTGAGAATGCAACAGAGTCTATTGCTACCCTTGCCACCAGGCGTGGCATGCATGGTGATCACCCCGTCTGTTGCGGTGACACTATCCAGAAACTCGTTGGTCTCGTATTCCCACTCGCTGACTCTTGTCAAGCGTGCCATGAATGTAACCGGCTCAGATGCTTTAATTCGCATTGCAAGGACATTATCCGGCTGGCTAGCGGCAGTCTCGCGAACATACTGGATGCCTTGGTGCTCATACTCGACCTTGACAATAGAAGTCTCAAGATCTAAACTCCTCTTATAGCTTTGAACATCTAGAGCTTCGTGGCCAAACTCGAGGGTAGCGGAACCCAGGGGTTCATAATGCCGTTGGGAATGGGGAGTTGAAAAGAAAGCAAGTCGCACGAGCTTCTCAGCCTCGGCGTGGTTCCCGCATCTAATGAGTTTTCTCAGCTGAGGCAGATGGCGAAATGCATCCCTGGGAGTTCGATCCAAGGGGCCACCGTACCAGACAGAGTCCTCATTGAGTTGGAGAAGCTCTGTTGAAGTACGACCATAGACCACAGCCCCAAGCCTTCCATTGCCAATTGGAAGGCTCTCAGACCATTCTTTGGCTGGGGTGCTGTACCAAAGCTTCGACATTTATTCCCTTATCTATGTTGGGCCATTTGACTCCTTTCACTTGATAACTTCAATAAAAGATACCGAGGTAAAACTCCCAGGTTGAGACAGTCGTCTGCTTTGCTTTACTGAGGCCACCATACAGCATCAAGGAAATCGCGGAGCTATACGCGCCGAACTACTAGTAACGAATAGGTTCCTAGTTGCACATACCTCACTATAATCTCGGAGCTTGCATGCGGCAAAATTCACCTCCCGCCGGAGTTTATATTGTTAGTTTGGATGGGGTGCATTCAGCCTCGACATCCCGTTTTACCCGATGGGGTATACCAGGTGGGCTCGGATCACACTGCGACTCCTAGGTTCATTCCTTGTCGCCGCTTGTCAAGTGGACAAGCGCCACAATGACAATGTGGGGTAATTGGTGGGTTAACTACGGCCGAGGGACTTTTTTGAAATATATCTTGACCTGTGGGGTAATGAGGGGAAACTAGAAGGCATACGCGGGCCCGTCAACAAGGATGGAGCCTCTGAAATTGTGGCACGGCGATCCAATGACCCTGCATCGCATGCAGGATAAGATCACCATGGTTGCCCAGTTCCAAAAGAGAGAGTATTCAAAGTCGTCTCCGGCTCGGATTTCCAAGATTCGAGAGACTCAACCTACGAATCTCACACAAGCACAATGGGCACCGACGACAAAGAAACGACGGTCCATGACCTGGGCCGCACTACCACCAATGATGTAGATGACCTGAAGGTTTCCGACGCCCATGTAGAGGAGGTCGCCATCGCACGCCTTACGGATGAGGATCTATACAAACTCTCTAGGGAGTCGTTTAAGTTTCGCTCTCGAGCCGGACTTCGCATCATGTTGATAATGTTCGTGCAGGGATGCAACCAGGTAAGGAAACCGACCGAGAAAAGGGCGACAGCTAATTTGTTACAGGCTGGCTACGGAGTTGACTGGCAGGTTATCAGTGGTATCAACAATATGTCATCATGGCACGCGTATTTCAATTTTGGGACCAGCGGATCAACTTACGGAACTTTGAATGCCCTGATGAATGTTGGCACCATGTGCGGTGCGCCATTCCTGACCTTCTCGGACCATATCGGACGCCGGGGTATCAACTTCACTGGAAACGCTATTGTAATTGTCGCCGCTATTCTCCAAGGATGCGCAACCAATATGCCAACGTTTATGGCTGGCCGCTTCATTTTAGGATTCGGATCTGCCATTATGTCTAGCCCGCAATACATGGCTGAGGTCTCACCTGCCCATTATCGTGGTCGTTTAGTTGGATTGTTTGGGGCATGTTTCCAGATCGGAAGTTTGGGCATGACCGCTGGCTTTATCGGCTTCTCCAAGATGGAAAAAAGTAACTTGGCTTGGAGGATACCAGTACTCCTGGAAGCATTGTTCCCGGCGATTGTGTGCCTCACAATATACTTCTTGACCCCTGAATCACCTCGATACCTTGTGATGAAAGGGAAAATAACACAGGCAAGGAGAGTGATTGCGAAGTACCAGACGAATTCCGATGATGAAAACAGTGAATTGGTAAACGCGGTTATTGTTCAAATCGAGGATTCTTTGGAGCAAGATCGTGTTATTAATCGCCAGTGGTGGAACTTCTTAGTATTCTTTACCAAGCCAGTTCGATATCGCCTGTTGATTCTGGTTCTATACTCCGTCTTTCAACAATGGAATGGCGGCGGAATCATTACAACATATCTCGTCCCGGCACTCGAAACTGTGGGGATTACAAACCCTACCGATATTGCGGGAATCAATTTTGGACTGACAGGGGTTTACTGCGTTTTTACTGTCGCTGGAGCTTTCTTGGTGGATATTGTCAGTCGTCGAAACTTGATCTTTGCTGGGTTAATATCATTCATTATCTTACAAACTGCCGCAACAATCACAGGATGGAGGTAAGACACAACCTCAATTACTTTCAACATAACCTTGCTAACAATGATATTTAGATATTCTGTGGACCCAACAACAGCAGCTGCCGCGTTGACCTTGCTGTGGATTTTCTCTTTCCAAATCTGCTCCGCGACCCTCATTGCAACAATGCACAACCTCTACCCCGTTGAATGCCTTTCGCTCGTTCTTCGTGCGAAGGGACTTGGTTTTTTCAGTCTTATTCAGGGAATCGCTGGCACCGTACAGAATTACGGTATCTCCCTCGGGATTGGACCATTGGGGTATAAGATCTGGGCTGTATATGTTGGATACAACCTCCTCCAGTTGGTCATGTCGTATTTCGTATTCCCTGAGACGTCCGGGCTCTCTCTCGAGGAAATCGATGCCGTGTTTGAGACAGACGGAGTCAATCCAGTTCCGATGTCTCTCAATATACAGAAGGCAAAGAAGGAGAGCGCAAGGCTTAATGCAGAGACAGACGCAACCCTTGCTTGAGTAGCGAAGGGATCAAAGTTTCTGAGCTATTCTAGCTAGGATCAAATTTACGTATCTGCTGAAGTAAGGGTTTAACAGGAGGTGTATGGAATTGAAAGTTACTCCCCGATATGTCTACTTCTTATGAGTTACAATGTCGTGAATCTAGAGCAGAATCTATTCTATATCGCGGGCGGCGCGGAGTTATGTGTATTGGGGTCAAGTCTGGCCATTCTCGATGTATATGCATGTGCCGTCCAACTATTTTTCCAATATAAACTTCACGAAACAGGCAAATCCCACCCAATTCTCTGTAGATAATAGAGCCAAATGCATATAATATAATTTAAGTCTGGTATGAATGCCCCCTATGGATATTTTATAGTTACTGAACGGAGAACTATGTTCACGTCGACATTCTTTCTCATTACTGGCAACTTATATAAGTCTTTAGTTTCTATGAGGAAGGTATATACCGCTTTCAACCTCACATGCGCCAACTCGCTTGCCCTGTGTAGAATGCTTGATGTGTTGACAGGACGGTAGACCCACATACGGCAGCCAGACAGAGAGAATATAACGCACGAATACCTTCTTCAGAAGCTGGGCTAATGATGAGGACATCTTCGTAGGATAATAGCGCTAGCAGGGTATAGTAGACACGCGATGATGGAAAGGACAGTACGCATGGCATAGATGAAAGTTAGCGAGTAGTAGCTGCTCATACAGTTAGCATCCATAGTGTTGCACATGGACCCTTTAGGATATGTACTGAGACTAATATAGACGAATAACCTCCATGAATGCACGAACAATGCTGGTCGAACCAGCGACGGTCACAATATAGGTCCAGGTTAGAAGAAGCTGGCATTGGGCATGGTGGCGTCCTGGCCGGCCCGTAATATAGCTCCCGTCGTCCCAAGGATCAGAAGCGTCTTTGATATATTTTTGGTCGCAGGTATTATCGTCGTCTCTAGAGTTAAGAGCTTTCGATTCGCTTTGCGACGGGAATGGGTGCCGGGATTGAGGATTGAGAGGCACTAATTAAGGAAGCCATCCCTCACCACACGGCTAAAGGCCATGGCTACCAGACCACTGATGAGCATTATCCAAGCAGTGACCTGGCAGATTCGCAGGCTGTATCTTGGCATCTTAGAAATACAATAATAAGTGCCTGCGAATAAGACTTGTCCGTTAGGGAACGTGGCTCGCTGTGAAACAGAACCCATCGTAACAGAACCTCGCTCAAAAACATAGAAGTCACAGCCCAGATTAATCTTACTCCTTGCAGGAAGAATAATCATTGTATGCCTACATAACAAACTCTACACAACCCAACTACTTCTTCTCTACATTATGCTTCTTCATGAACTCCTCAGCAGAAACGGCGGCATTAGTCGTCACACCATGGTATTTTGCAGGTTCTTGGATATTCTCCTCGACGTCAATTCTCTTGTGAGTGACCGATGGGTCAATGACCTCTATTTACCAAAGACGCATTAGCAAGAAAACTCTCAATACTCTTCATTCTTTGCATGCAATCTGACTTACCCTTCTCAATGACTGGCTGCACAGTCTCATGCCAGTGGTTGTGAATATGCACATCTTCTTGCGTCCGCTCCTTGGTCTTAGTTTCAAATTGCTCCTGGTCAGTCGTGTTCTTGAATCCAGATCGACCAGCCTCGGCCTTCTTCTTCGCATCACTGTGATCGTTGTTGATGCTGCGGCGCCTGGTCTCTTGGGTGCGATCGTGCTTCTCGGGCAGCGTCTCAGAGTCTTTGAGAGGCTGGATGGTGGTATGGTAGTGATCTTGATGTTTATCTTTATGAATGAAGGTCTGCTCGCGAGTTTCGTGTTGCTTTTTGACGTGTCTGTGCTCAACGGCAGGTGAAACTTCGGAGTCAAGGGTTGTGTCTTCCTCGTTACTGGTGGTTGTATTTCGGTTGCTGTTTGCGTTGCGGTTGATGTTGCTGTTCTCATTACGGCTGCTGTTTCCAGTGCGGCTGGTGTTTGCTTCGCGGTTGGTGGAGGTGGACGCAGAGGAATTGTATGAGTTGGTGGTGCTGCTCCCTCCTTGTGCCTGGTCGGGTCTGGCAAAGAGCCTGCCAACTGCATTTACGGCGTTATCCATATTGTTGATCTGACTCCCGAATAGATGTTGTTGAGTCTATGGCTGGGTACGTTTATTATTCGGATTATATGATTAATAAAAATGAAGGGGCCTAGTTCAAACAATATATAACATGTCTACCTTGGTCGCCTCTTTTTTATTATCGATCAATACCTACGACGTAATAATTGCACAACCATTCAGATGTACGTGGGTATTAGCGTCATTATATTGCGTCACGAATGCGAAAATTATGTGATTTCAATATTAAAGATATAAATTTAACATAACAGCAACAACAGAAGCAGGATTTTATAATAAACAGAGAGGCACCTATGACGTTAATATACAAATGACAGAGTCGTGGGACGGAGGAAGTCGACGTAATTGGCCTTCCAGCTCTAGAACTTGCCTTCGAGGTTGGATTCAAGTTGGTGGGGTTTCGCGCTACGGACAGTAGTTTTAACCTTAAAAAAGCCTTCCCCGCCTCCTGGGGTGCATCCCCACACGCACTAATTACAACCGCTCCAGCCCCAAGTACTAAATACGTAATGCAGCCTGAAAATTCCATCTAGCCTTCGCCATCAAAACCTCTCTCCCTACCCTGCTCTCGCACATAAGTCAACTCCTTAAATGAAGTATAACCAGAGACGGTATTGCCGTTTCAGGGCTTTCTAGCCACATTCCCTTCCAACAGTGACAGGTATTCTAGCATTATAAACAAGATTCTCATGAAGTATGCCAAGATGAAAAATGAACGATGGCGGCATTGCCCTTATCCATTTACCTTTAAAGAACGTATTACATGGTCATTGCTTTGCGAAAATATTCCTGTTCAGACGTAACCGCGCCCAGAATATCAAGATTGAGCCAACCACAAGTGATATGCCAGTGAAAATCGACAACGAGAGATATCCGTACGAGCCGACAAGCTTTCCGCTAATTGGAGTGCCAAAGAGAGACCTGTGGAGAACAAATTAGCAAAGAGCGATATTGAGAAGACAAAGCCAGATCCCTACGTCAGAGCGAGTGCTCCCATGAGGAAACCCATTGTGTCTGGCGCGTTGCTAAGATGCCCGCGCATGAAGCTTGTAATCTTAGGATTGCCTATCATTGCTCGGTTAGCATAGGTCTAGATCTTGTAGTGAATACAAACCCCAGAGGTGAAGCCATAAACAAGACACCACACCACGAGTCCTGGAATGCTCGTCGCCGCGGTCCAGCATAACGACGTTATCCCAGACGCCAGGCCTGCCAAAGCGCATAGGTTAAAATGACCATAGCGATCTGCGAGGAAACTAGGCAGGATTCTACCAAACAACGAGGAGCCATTGGTGACAGAGACAAGGTAGAAAGATATATCTATTGGGTAGCCGAGGCTACGTGCGTAAGTAGTAATGTAAAACATGGGGCTGTACATCCCCAAGACTGATATGGCCAGACCGGCGCAGAGTATGATAAAAGTGGGGTCCTTGGCTATTGATAGATCTTGTTTTGGTCGTTTCTTTTCAATTTCCTGGACAATCGCTTGCTCGCTGTGATGTTTGATTTCCGGGGGGGGGGGGGGACAACAGTTACAATGGCTAGGATCAAGAGCGGGACCATAATAAATCCCACCGCCCGGATAGTCCAGCCAAAGCTAACGCCATGAGTGTTCAGTAACTTGTTCAGAACTATAGGCCAGATGACCCCTCCCAATGAAGAGCGGCCAATTATTACGCCCACAGTAAGTCCCTTGTTCTTGTCGAAGTAGCGTGAGACAGTGGCCATCGCCGGGCAATAGAGAAAGAACACCGAGATACCCAGAAGAAAGGGTTGGGCGAGGAAAATCTGATAGAATTCCGAGCAGAGGGAAGTCATGAAAATAGAAATTATAAAACAAATGCTACCTCCGATAAGGAGAAGCTGAGAAACATTAGAGCTTGCTATCTTCTTCAGGGAGAGTTCACTTGCAGTAGGCCCAAATCTGTCGACAAGAACGCCAGCGATTGGAGCGCCGCCAAATATCACAAATGTAGAAAACGAAGCGATCTAGGATATGTCGAAGTTCCAGTGGTTACTGAGTTGGTGGGATCGGTACTACTGCTGAGACACTAAAGGCATTTACGAAGCCAATGCTACAAAAAAACACCAAAAAAGATCCTGCCACTGCCAGCCATGCTCTGAATCTATTAGGCCGTTAACTTATTTACTAGTTTACGGAAGTGAATAACTCTGTTTTTTTACTGACGTGTGTTCGCTCCGTTCACCGGAGTTGAGTCGCTCGCCGTTAACGTCGAGATTTTGTTGGCCTTAGCGGAAGCCCGGGACGTACTTACTAGAGGAATGCCCATACTGTGTATATCATGTTCTCTCTCATAAATGATAGCAATTACAACGCATAGCGTCGCGATTTATACATGGACGGCATTGCTTTACAATTGGCCTGGGACCCACCTCGGACTATCCGCGGAGAGTCCGGACGGCTATGGGCGGCAGTTGCGCGGCTTAAGGGCACTCTGCATGTAATTAGTTCATTGACATCTCAATGAGCCTGGTCTACTTACTCACTCCGATATACTGTGCAACCAGAGTACCCATTTTGTCCTTTTTGCAGGGTCGGGGGTTTGATGTTGGTGGCAGATTACTGTATCGATATCTGAGGGAAGATCAGGGCTGACGCACGTGACCGTCACCACGAATTACTCCAAAGCACCCTTTGTGGCCCTTCTGCAACCAATGTAACTGTCTATCGGGTATGTGTATGATACCCATACTGGCTAAATACTGTCTGGCATTTTGCCCCAAGGTATCCTATTTGGGCTTGTTGATTTATGCCTTTATGTTTTCCTCGTGACTGATGAGTTCGTACTTACAGATGTGAGGCGGCCAACACCGCGACATTATAGACTCTGATGGACCAACCAAAGTCTAATAGGCGAACCCGCTGTCCCCGGCAGGACCCTGTTTCATGTCAGTTCTGTCGGTCAAAGAAGCTCAAATGTGACCGGCGGCAACCTTGTTCCAACTGTTCCGCCCGTGGTGTTACCTGCCAACTTGTGGCACGGCATACTCTCCAGGCACCTCGGGATGACAAGCAGCCTTCCCCATTCCCTGAAAATGTCGAAATTCTTGCACGCTTGAAAACATTGGAGGATAAAGTTTCGGCTATGGGCAATGCGCCTTTTCTGTCTACCCAGTCGCCTCAGCAGCTCTCTCCCTCCACGCCAATGTCGAAAACTTCTATTTCAACGCCGACAGCGAGAACCGTTGTTGATGAGGACTACAGAACAGCCTCTGAACTACTAGTCAATGTCGGTGCCTGTTATGACTCCAATGTAAGTTATATATCAATACCTTATGTCTGTTTATTTTAGTACCTTTCTAATTCCGGTCACAAGATTTCCGACGATTCGCATGGGATATCACTGAAGGTGGAACCTGTAAATCGGTGGGCCGCAGAGCCATATATTAGGCGTGCTGGAAATACAACGTCTTTGGGCACTATCTGGCTCCCAACCAAAGCTGAAGCTCTCAGTTTGCTCAAATACTACATGGACAATATCCATTATCTCCACCCTGTCATAGATGCACTGGCCGTGCGGCGCATGGTGGAGACTGTATACACATATCCGAGAGGACGTGTTTATAGAGAAGCTGCACATATTGCATTATTACTCAGCATATTTGCTAGTACAGGCTATCTCTGGAGCTCGCACGAAAATGACGAACTCGTCGTCTTTTCTACCTCCAAAGTGGCCATCCTAGCGTCGTCGGCGTGGAGTGATGCCGCCCTTGATGTAGCGGATTACTCACGACGCACATCTTCGGGTTCGATTGAAAATATTCAGGCGACGATAATTATTGAATATCTCATATACAATAATAATGGATTTTCGGCAACTTGTCGTTTACTTCATAGCAACACAATATCGATGGCGAGAGATCTGTCATTGCACAGAATAGACATACCCCACAGAAGGAACAAGACAGACTCAGAGGCTGATATGGCTGAGGATGAGACAAAGAGGAGAATTTGGTGGTATGTTGCTTCGACGGACTGGTAAGTGCAACCAACACCTTACTCGTAATCCGGACAAATCTAATGAATAGCAAAGGCTATTGGCATTCTCTGGCGGTCCACAAGAGGGCACCTACTTAATACACCCAGCACATATGCATGTGAGATACCCACAGATTGTTAGTGGAGACCTCGTTGCCCAAAGTGATCAGTCCAATGGCTCAGAGTCGACTCCCACATCAATGTCTTATTTCCTCCAACGCATTCGTCTATCCGAGATATGTCGGACCATCGTGGATTCTATACCTCGATTTTTGGATGATATCGACATGGTAGACTATGATAAAATAGTTGCCCTGGATGACCAATTCGAGGATCTCACTAAGAGCTTCCCGGTGTTCTTTCACCTCGACGAAGAGAGCAGGCTTATGAGCCGCGGGACTGATCATAGATTTCCTCATATAGCTACACAGCGCTATCTTATCCATCTCGGAGTTCTTAATAGACGTTGTAAGCTCCACCAACCCTATCTAATAAGGGGATTCGTTGAATCAAAATACGCCTATTCTAGAGACGTGTGCTTGCGCTCTGCACGCCAGGCGTTGGAGGTAAACCGTGTACTGGAAAAAACGAAATCCGACCTGGGTTGTGCCCCGGCGAGATTTGGGACAGTTATGCACCATGTATTCATGGCTACTGTTGTACTAGTTATGGATCTCTGTTTTAACAAAATCGAGGGTCAAGAACAACAAAGACAGGCCGAAGTCATGCGCGCTTGCAGAATGCTGCAGGAAGCGAAACAAGACTCCGTACTGTCGAAGATGTTTCTCGATCCTCTCATGGATATCTTACAAAAACATAGGGCAATAGTACTCAGTGACCAGAAGTCATTGTCCTTTACGCCGTCAGGGGCAAGGAATTCTCATGCCTCACCGCATAAAACAAATCGCGGGTCTTCCAACACCATTCTCCAACGACCATTGCACTTCTCCACCATGACTGGTGCGAACCAATGCACTGATAACACCAGTTCAATGGCGCCCGTTAACCGCTCTGGCCAACAATACGATATGACGCAGACATACGACCATACAGGAATTGATGAAATTATGCAAAATTATATCGATATTGGGCCGAACATGGATATACCCCGCTGGAACGAGTTATTTGCAGACCTCGATTCGCATCAGGCGATGGACGGAAATGATTATTTCTATGAGTAATAAATTCGTTTAAGAAACTTTGAAATTAGCTGCACTGCTTGGTAGAGGGAGTTCGCCAACTGCTCGTTTGGCCCCCTGAAAATTATTCGTCGATTATATGGCGTTGTCATCTTTTCAAAGGCTTATGGCGAACACCTCGTCACATGTGGAGCCTATCAATCAAATACCAATAGTCTGCAAGTACGTAGTTTTACCAACTAAAACGATGGGGTGGACATGAAGAGTGAGGCAGATTTGCTGGGACTATTGCCGCCAAGGCTACACAAAAAATGATTCCCAATTCCAACCAACTTTGCGAAATACGACGTGCTTTCAGAAGGCACGGGTGTAGACCCATAGATTGATTTCTTGGGATGGGGCCGGTGGATGCAGTGTCGAACGAAAAACCAACATGTGCAACTGAGGGTGCCTAAACCCGGACGATGATGCCGAAGTTATGGCAGTGGTTCGGAATCCCGACATGCACGATGCTAGCTGGTGTTGCAGCGCATGGTCGGCGCACGGGATAAACTTGCTGCAAAGTCAAATATCTGTCCGCTGTGGCGGCGAGCTATCCTTGGTCTTGCAGGTGGCTGGAGGGAGTGGGGAAATAGGGCGTGTCAGATCGCGATTCAAACCCCCCGGCTTACTATCTTTCCTGTCATGTCACGAGGTTGAGAAGAGCCAAGCCGTTATTATTTTCTTAAGCAGATCACATTTTTCTTTAGACCTTTGAGGCACTCTTGTTGTGGACGGCTCCAATATGGTATATCACAACTTTTGTCTCTCAATCATGATGGACTCAAAAGGCTACAACTCTGCGCAGCACTTACGACGCTCGATCGATTTGTTGGTTACTTTGGAAGGACCAGTAGCTTGGTATTAGGCATCATTAATAGACTAGACATTGTACTCCAAAGTACTGCATACAAACTTCACCGTAGAAATACATGACTTTTCCATCTAACGTACCCCCCTTTCCAGCTGTCACTTCATCGTTGGGAATGGGATAGCATGTTTTTATTATTTCCGTGGACCATTCCATTCAGTGCAGTTGTGTGGTACCAGGAATCCCACAGCCTGATGGCTGTCCAACGATGTTGTGATGAAAATGGCCGCTTGTGGGAGGAAGATAGGAGGCTAGTCGGCGCCACTCGCCGACAGGGCCTAGAGTATCCCCCCGGGGTCATGCGGTATGGCCGCGGAGTCAAGACGTGCGAGGAATGGACGAATGAACAGTTGAAGGGTTCATATTAAGCATAATCTATGACAGGTCGTTGGCTAAGACGTAGCAAGGATTCGTCTGCCGTGATCTTCAGCTCCTCCCGCCCCAAAGCTCTGTAACCCGCATTCATCATGCGGTCAGACGGCTTCGGGGCGACACTCCTTCCGGGTTCTACCTCGGGAACATCTTCGCTGGGTCGAAGACATCCCTGAAAATCTCCATGTCTTCAAGATGTGTTGATGCCGCCTTCGCTTTCGTTTTCCCCTTTGAGCTACTTCCTGATGCCTTCGAGCTAGTCTTTGAGCTAGCGTCTTTCTTGGACGACTTGTCCGGACTTGGGTTTGGGTTGCTGCCATCCAGAGGATCGAAGGCAAAGACGACGTTGGAGAAGTGTCCGCGGAACTCCGCGTCGAAGTACAGGAGATCTCGCCACATCGTTGCTACTTCGCGCGTTGGGTTGCGAAAGACTGGTCCACACCCAAAGGCACCAAGTGCAAGGTCGGAATAGCCCCACCATACGGCCATGCGGAGAACTGTACGCATTTTCTCACGCATGAGCTCCTTTTCTTGCTCGAATGAGTACTTCAGCCCTGTCGGGTCGAGTTTCGGTCGACGCACTGGGGGTACAGAGATGACAGGCAGTGCTGGGAATTGTTAGTCTCGTGTCTTGAATGGTCTTACTGCTGCTATCACCCACTTTTGAATTTCTGCCATAGTTGATACCGGTCAGGACCAGATCGAAAAATTACTGATATGTTGTCAGCGCCGAAAACATAAGACTTCAACGACAAGGGCACAAATTTCTTACCGACATAAGGAGAGTAGATGCCACCGGTTGTAGGGATGGGATAGTTCGCCGGACACAAATTGTCGTTTGGTGCGGGTCTCTTCAGGGTAGCCACAAGGTTACTCCTCCTGCAGATACTCTCTTCCGGCGCCAGAACCCCTTTTCCGTGTTATTAGAAGTCTAAGGAGTGAGAATTGTTGACATACCTGCTTCCCAATCTCCTCCAGGCCTCTTGTCATTAGCCATATTGACAAGAGCTACCCCATCAGGCTTGTCAATAGTAATAGCTAGCTCGAGCGCCACATCAACCGGGTCGCCTTCTATCGCCGCTAAAGCACTATGAGTCTTTGTCGTAAAAATAGGGGTACTACAGCCACTTACTCATCCGGCAACGTGATGGCTGGCTTGGAGGGTCGCAGCGCATTCGAGTCGATTCAGGAACAAGATATGAGTGTGCCGGCCATTGCTCCGAAAGCTTCGACTCGATATATGGAATATAAGTCTTCTTAGCCTCTGCCGCAACGTCGGATGGTTTGACCCTTGCTGGAGGCATATTGTCCACACTAAGATTCCGGTAGAAGGTTAACTATGCCGGAGAGGGGGTGGTTGTATGGGAATCTGTGAGGATTTTCCTGGCCAGAAGACGATTAAATTGTATCAGATCCGTGAATACGGTGGTTGGTCCGACCCATAAAATGAAATATGACAGAGTTGTGAAGAATATAACGTTTTTGCGGAGAGGGCAAGAGACACGAAAAATAAAACTCTTGTTATAAAGAGCGGAAATAATAAACATAATAACCATTTCCAACAGGAAATCTCATCTCTGCAGATCTTCCATAAGTCGCAAGGGCAGCTGGATCACGTCCCTAAGGTCGGATGACCTCCAATAAAAAAGAGACAGATCTAGAAACTGCTTCCATGCCAGTATCCTGACCGAGGTCCCTGGCGCCTTGTAGGTTACATTATGGCCCCAACGCGCCAATACCCGTCCAGGCTGAGACCTAACGGCCATGCAAACAACCGGTCATGCGAGATCGATCTGGTACCACTGAATCTGGTCCTACGGGACACAGGGTGAGATATTTGGCACGTCCGGATCTCAACGGGCATCCTGCCTGTTTGCAATATTGGAAGTTCCTGTCGTGCACCGGAAATTGGGTGGGGGACGCAGCCGGAAAAAGTACAGATGCGCTGTGAAACATGAGGGAAGGGGAAATAAAGACTGAAACTATCTGATAGTGGCCGCCTATCATTATCCTGATTTGCGATTGCCGGCGGCAAGGTCCACTTCCTGAGTGACGAAGGAAAGGCGGTCAGAAATGACAAGGGAAGGGGTAATAAGAGATTCTGAATTCTGACAGGGAGAGGGATATATATTCCAAGGCGGACATATACTATTATGTGTGGGACGACATGCGATAGGTCCAATTAAGCCACCAATGCGTTCCAGATCTGTCACTTCCCAAATCTGATTCTGATTCAGATCTCGATCTCCCCTAATTAACATGACTCGGTTGCCGCTTGAGCCTTGCATGATGCAGCGGAGCCGCCCGCCGCCGGCTCGATACGCGAAAGTCTGTTTCGAGTATCCCAGACAGAGCCAGCCAGTAGAGAGTAGAGAACGGTAGCAAGGGGAGATATACCGGAGTGATAATATGGAATCAGGAATGCGTAAATATGCACAATTTTTTTGGGGGGTGGGTAGGACAACATATTACAATCAGGGGAATCGAGGGTGACATGGATGGCGGCATTTGATATGAGACTGTTACGCGCAAAAACTTGACCTGTCGCTTAGCGCGAGGCTGTGATCGCTTTTTGGCTGGACCCCAACCGCCATCCGCGTAACGCATATCCAAAGAAAAATTATTGTCGCAAAAAAGGGGTCGGAGCAGTGACTCCCAATCAGACCTTTATTCAGCGCTTTTGTTTCTGCTGCTGCTGCTGCCGCGTACAGGTAACAGGAGCACAGCGCATCTGCCCTGTGACGTACCCAACTTGAACCCTCTGCATGTCGTCCACCATCATGCCCGTGGCCCAAAGGGGGCTCCAACGGTGCCTGCGACTCGGCGCGCACGGCAGGGTACAGCAGCGATTCCACTCCTCGGCCCCCTCTCCCACCGCATCTCCGCTCTCAGTAGCCAAACTCCTCGCCACGCCGGCCGATGACGGCGAGAGACAGGTTTACGGCTTCGTTCGCTCGATACGGAAGCAGAAAACACGTGCCTTTGCCGCCATTGGGGATGGCTCCAGCCTCGAACCCCTTCAGGCGCTTTTGACGCCTGCGCAGGCCGAGAAGTCCGATTCCCAATCTCCAATTACTCATTACGAAACTAATTACTCTATGTAGCCTCACTACCGGTGCCGCCGTACACCTCACCGGCCAGTGGACCGCCTCCCCCGCCAAAGCCACCCAGGCCAGCGAGCTACACGTGAACGCCGTTGACCTCATCGGCGCGTCAGATGCCACCGTACGCCCCTTTTTCCCCCTACCACGCAAGCAAAATGCTAACTCCTAATAGACTTACCCTCTGCAAAAGAAGTTTCAAACCGTAGAGTACCTACGCACCCTTCCGCACCTTCGCGCCCGCCTACCCTCCAACGCCCTCCTCCTCCGTCTCCGCTCCCATGCCATCGCGCACCTAACCACCTTCTTCGCCGCACGCGAGTTCACGCAGACGCACCCTCCCATTCTGACCTCGTCGGACTGTGAGGGCGCGGGTGAAGTATTCGGCATCAGCACCGCAGCAGAATCTCCCAGCGATGCTTATGACCCGGCAGCGAGCGGGGAGGCAGCAACCGCTCCTAGCAGTGCAGCGGTGCCGTTTTTCCGCACGCCAAAATACCTAACCGTCTCGTCGCAACTTCACCTCGAGGCACTCGCACAGGCGGTTGGAGGAGTATGGACGCTATCGCCTACATTCCGCGCGGAGCGTAGCGATACGGCGCGCCATTTGAGCGAGTTCTACATGCTTGAGGCGGAGGCGACGTTCGTGTCCTCGCTCGATGAGGTTATGGATCTCGCCGAGGACATGATACGCAGCGTGACGAAGGGGCTGAACGACAGCACTATCGGGGAGGAAGTGCTACGTGGACAGAGGCGCGAGGGCGAGGAAGGGATGGATCTAGAGGGGCGGTGGAAGGGGATTCTAGAGGGACCGTGGCCGCGGATCACGTATACGCAGGCCATTGATGCCCTAGTCGCGAGTGGCGAGACGTTTGAGCATGCTCCCGTCTGGGGCGCTGGTCTACAGGCAGAACATGAGCGCTTTTTGGCACGGGAAGTAGGAAAAGGGGGTCCTGTGTTCGTCACCAAGTATCCAGCTGAGATAAAGCCCTTCTACATGCTTCCTTCCTCTACCTCTGGAGTTCCAGAGGACAAGAAAACAGTCGACTGCTTCGATCTCCTCCTCCCCGACGTCTGCGAAGTAGCCGGCGGCTCGCTGCGCGAACACAGCCTCGAGCCTCTCCAGGCCGCGATGCGCAAGCACGGCGTGGCGGAGGAGGGGATGGAGTGGTACACCGACCTTCGGCGGTGGGGCAGTGTACCACACGGCGGGTTTGGGGTCGGTTTCGATCGCCTGCTCGTGTATCTGGGGGGCGTGGGGAATATTCGCGAGGTTGTTGCTTTTCCGCGGTGGGTGGGACGGTGTGAGTGTTAGAGGATTAATAAGGGGAGGAGGGGGAGGTTTGGGTGGGAGGTGATGTCTATACGAGCGGTGGAGGTTGGTCGCGAATCCCTCACCTCACCTCGTTCCTTCGACCATCGGCGCTGAAGGATTTCCGAACACCATTGCAACACCGGGTTTTCGATCCCTCGTCCGCGCCAATCATCTCCACTTCGCTCGGCGGCGAAGGATTGAGCTTGCAGCCCTACCAGACCGCTCATCTCTTCCTTCCTTCGTCGCTCGCTTCCTTTTCATTCATTCCTTCAGGGATCACGACAACGCACCGGCCTTACTCTATGTATAAATACACTCGACGCAGCGCATTGTCGAGCCTTATGCGGCTGCCTTCCCGGAAGGAGCGCAATAATGGCCTCATCTCATTCAACCCCTCGGCGTCTGCTCAATCTCCTCCGCGCGCACGCGATCCGTAACCATCATTCCGCTGATTATCCAGCGAGTGGTGGTTGCTTCGGTGCTTTAAGGGGGGGTGTACTTCGACTGGAAGTACTGTACAATACAACGTAACAAAACAATGTAAGCTTCAGTATTCAATAGAACCACAAACTGTAAAATAGCCAATGTAAAAATCAAATAAACTCCACCAACAAACCAACCAACCCATCCCAAAATACCAATACCAACACCAACACGCAACGCATCCTACTCTAATCTCCCCTCCGCAATCCCTACTCACACACTATCAAAAAAATCTAAACCCCCGTAAACCTGGAGCCTAATCCAGAAATACACCACCCCCCCCAGCTCTCGCACCTACACTCAATCACCAACACCACCCTTACCTACCCTGTTCCCACACCGCCAAGACCACGCGGCCCCCCCCCCACTCACACCCCAACCGCATCATCGTTATTCGGGAAACTCACGGAAGCGAGCTGTCAGCACAAAAAACGGTGCACCCATCTCCGAGCGAGCGTCTTACGTGCCTATGTGCGTCTTCGGCCACATTTCCCAATCCCAATACAACACCACCACCGCTTCCAGGCTAAGTAAGTAAGTAAGGTAAGTATAGTATCATAGGCGGAGGAGGAGGTCAGAGAGCTGGCCCCCGAGCGTGTGGTGGTGGCGCGGGAGATGCGCAGCGAGGGTTTAGATGGGTGGGGGGGTCCGTGAGTATCTTACAGACAGCTGGTGAGACAAAGCCAGTAAAGTAAAGTAAGCTGTAATTGTAGGCTATTGAATGGGGTTGGACCTGGTGTGGTGTGGATAAGAGTGTGCCTATCGACGGGTGGTGGATGGAGTTATCGAATGTGCTATACCAATATTGGGCTTGGCGGGCGTACATGCGGTACAGGATGGAATGGGAACGAGCGAGCGAGAGAGCGAGATGCGCGACTGACGAGAGAGCGAGAAGGAGGCGGGATGGGATGGATGGGATGGGATATGCCACCAAAGACGCCCTGTGCGCCTTACTTACCATACGCTTTTCTTCAGCTTCCTTCTCCCCTCCTCTCTACGCCTTCTGCACCGCTCAACGTCCAACGTGGCATGTCTACTACTGCCGTCTTTCCCATTCAATACAGCCTCGGCGTTCGCAGTCAGCCCAGCCCAGCCCGTCCCTCTTCCCAGCCTACATACATCTCCAGCCCGCCTCTATCTGTACCCCTCACTCACCTCCTATCCCATCGCATCACCAGCACATCACGAAGAATTCCGCGATTCCACCCCTCGGTATCGCCATCCCGCCCATCTTCACCACCACCACTACCACCGCCACCACTACCACCAGCCGGTTACCCCTCCCCCTCCCTCACCCTCCCTCGGTCACTCGGCCCTCCCCAATTCCGCGCTCGCGCGCCAAGCACATCACTACGTTATTTGGGGTCCTGGCGGCTGCACTGCGCGGCTGGACTTTCCCTGTGGGTTGCTCACCGGTTGGGGTCGCTGTTACATATATATACAATACGGACATGCGTAGTCGCGCAGGCATGGCATGGCATGGCATACAGTAGGTAGAAAAATAGATAGCCGGTCGGTCGCGGGGGATTTTCTCGGGAGGGAAAGAAATGCTGATTATCGTCCGCGCGATGCGCGCATTGGTTGCTGGGATTAAAGTATCTGCCTGGCTAGCTAGCTGTGTTGTCCCCGTATCGTATCATATCATACCAGGGATGTAGTTTGGTATGGTATCAAGTAAGTATCCGGTATCTAGGAATCATGCTTGCCTCCTCGTCTAGTCCTATCCGCATGCGGGCATAGCAAGAGAGTGCGCGCAGGGCCCATCGCGTGCGACCAAGGGGGAGCTGTCAGATGGCCTCCCCTCGCTCCCTCGGTCTTCAGCGCTACTGCTGGGACGGCAATAAGCAGCGCTGTGTGTGTGTGCGCAGTGGCTGCGCGGGGTGCTGATTGGGCGCCACGGGATTTATGGTTAACGCGGTGTGCGCGTGGCCTTTTGGTGGGAGGGAGGGTATGGTTAGCTGTTGGCTAGGGGGGTCATACTTTTCGCATACTATACCATACCAAGCTATCGTTGGCGATAGTGTGACTGCTAGGGGGGGGGGGAGACGGATTTAGGGTGCTTGGGCGGCGGTGGTGGCCACGAGGAGTGTTTTACGATGGGTTTTAGGGTGCATGGCTGTGTTAGCGTGTTTAGACCGGAATGATGGTTGGAATGTTACGGGTTGAAGTATGTAGATAGATAGATAGGCTGGCTTGGTGGTAGGTGGTGGCGGTGGTATCGTGGCTTGGATGGATGGCGATGGACTGGGCTAGCCAGGTCGTTCGTGATGATGATGATGCCGTGGTTCCCGTCTGTGGCTTGGTTGGATCCGTTGGTCGGTCGGTCACTCCTTCCTGCCGCTTGGTCGCTCTTATCACACACACACGGATTGCATTACATTACATTACCAACTGAAGGATGTACCAAGGGAAACGGAAGATACGGACATTACCAACGGACGGAGGAACCCATCCCATCCCATCTCATCCACCCATTCCACCCCCCCAGCCACACCGTCCACGCATATCACCATCATCATCTCCGTCCGTACATATCCAACAACATACTTCTCCCCTCTCCCATGCCTATCCATACCTATCACCCTCCCTCTCCCACACATCCCCCCCCAAAACAGGTAGCCATCCCCCGCGCACACACTCTCTAAAAAGCTTGGCCTGCCAAGCATTCTGCCGCTTGGCTAAGAATCATGCTTAAATGGGGCGAAAGGGGGTGGGGCGTGCCAAGAAAGCAGGTGTGTAAATGCGGCCTGAGAAAAAAACTGTGGTCAGGGAGGGGGAGGGGACGAGTGTGTTAGAGTGGTGCAGCTGAAACGGCGGCGCGCGGCGCTGGACTGGGCGGGTGGTTTGTGGTTCCGTCTTACACGAGGGATATGAAGTATGAAGGAGGGATTTGCGGTGATGGATGGGGATGGCGGATGGTGATTTGCTTGTGTGCCTCTTGTTGGAGTGTGGAGAAGGTGCAGACATCTACGTAGATGCGGATAGGTTGGTTCGGTTGATTGGGGTAGCTAGTAGGGGGGGAGGTGAACGATGGACGCCTTATTGGACCCGAGGAATAGGATTTATTGGTGCGCGAGACAGGGTTCGTATTCCTTATTCCCTTTTTTCCCACACTCGACAAAATTACATTTTTTTTTCCTTTGTCTCTTTTTTCCCGATTCTGCCGTGTCCGTGTCCCTCTCCCTCTTCATGGCGGCTCGGCGGTAGGCTGGGCGGGCTTGGAATTTTCTCTTGGGGTTGGGGGCGGTTTTGGGGTCTTGGCTTGGCTGTGTGGGCGGCGTCAGACAGGCGCGGTGTTTCGGCGGTGATTTTTTGGGGGAGTTGCCGACGACGGCTCTAACTCTCGCTCGTTTGAGAGCGTTTTGCCGGTGATGTGCGGCTGGGCATGGATGGGCTTGGGTGCCAGGGAGAGAGGGGGAGGGCCGAATGGGTAAATGGAACCGGACTGGCGGGTTGTTGGATGTGTGGGTTTGAGTGGAGTTTGGGTGGATGCTATATTGGATGTTTCTGTGGTCGGTGGATAAGGTGAGGACGGCAGAGGGGAAGGAGAGTAGAGAGTAATGTGGGAAGTTGCGAGCTTGTTGGGTGGATTGTGACATCTGTACTGTAATAGATAGAGTATCTCCGAGGAGAGTACTCTATCCTACTCTGTTCTATTGTTTCGGAGTTAGAGTTTCTCGTATGAATGATCACCATCACCCGTACTTTATTTGCTGTAAGCTCTAAGGCGTAAGCTGTAGCATGTAATCTGTAATTTATGTACTCCGCGTATCCAACACCGCCGTATACCAAGCCCCCAACTAAAATTCCGCTTCGTGATGTCCACTCCCTCCTGTCTTGGTAAGAAAGTACTAAGATCGGGCTTACCTCCCCCTCCCATGTCCCATACGTACAGTATACATGTACGCCCAGTACCTCCCTCCCCCAACAAGTACATCCCCTCCGATCTCCCTCTCTCCTCTTCCGAAGTCCCCTTCCGCGGACGAACAAGGATGCTGAAGCGGGCGGGCGAGACAAGGCGTTTACCTAAACCTACTGCGGGCCAGGGTTACATGCTGCTTGTCTCGGCCCTCGATAAATCATCTCAAATCTTAATCTCACCACCGACCGCGCGAGACCGGGACGCCACTGGTGGGTTGGCGAGACTAGGGGGGGTTACGCGCGAGAGAGATGAGAGGCGAGATGAGGGTGCTGCTGACGGATGGCTGATTTTCTTGAATTGATGCGATGATGCTCGCTGGGTTTCGTTTACAAGGCAGGGGGACTTGGCTGGGTATTCTTCGGCGATGGGGAGAGCAGACGGCGGCGGCCGGTTGGCGAGGATGGGGGAATTATGGTTGGGGAGATATGGGGATTATGGGATCATGGAGATGGTGATCGCAGATGAGAGACGGGAAATGTGAGATGCGAGATGGGGGCGGCGGCTGGATGACACAGTTCTGACTGTAGTAGTGTACATAGTTTATTGTATTGTATAACAGTTACTCTATTTATGTATTGTACCTTATTTATGTATATTATTATACTCACAGTCTACTTGCCGTTGAAAGGAAGGAACCATGGTGCCTTGGCCCCGTTGCACGTACGTACGCACTGTTCCTCCCTATGCTGTGCCGTGCTGCTGCTGCTACTGGTTGAGTTACAAATCACTGTGGCACTCACTCACTCGTATACCACTGGGCCTTTGTGATTACATTATTATTTGCCCATTTATTACCTCTTGAAACCCCACAGTCTGCCCGAAAGGACAGATTCCGGCCCGTCCTACGGAGAACGGCTTGCTTGGAGAAGAGAGGCCGAGAGGGATATGCGGCAAAAGACCAGGAGATGGATGGATGGGGCACGGATGGGCACGACATGTGCAACGCTTGGATGTGGGCGGGTGTGGACGGGAACTGTGACTATTTGGGGAGATTTTCTAGGCATATCTAGGCGGAGATGAAGGCACGTTTGTGAGAAGGGAGTTGTTGGAGATGTTTTGAAAGTTGAAAGTAGAGTGAGTATTTATTGATGGTCTCTCTATCTGAGTAAGTACCTTATCTACGTCGACCGGCGGCAATCTGCGGGAGAATATACATTGAGTGCGGGTTAGAGTACGTATGTTAATTTGCAGGACAGCCTCATGCAAGCCGAAGCATCTCGATGTTGGTTGGGTTCTATGCATGAAGGAGTGAGATGCTTGGAGGGAAGAAGGCATGAAGGTGTCGTATGCAGCCACAAATAGACCATAAGGCGGAAGGGATATGCATCGGAGGGGAGTATAGTATCTTAGGAGACACCTGCATGAGCATCTGAGGGAATATCTGAGGGAATATAAGTGAGAGGTTAGTGTTAGTTAGTAGAGAGTACGCAACTAACTGTAATTAGCTCCAAGAGGGAACAGTCGAGTACTTCGAGGATGTATTAGAGTACGAGAGTACCCTGTTGGAAGACTGTGCTCCGTTGTTAGGCGTATAGGCGTAGTTATGTAGTTAGACTCGAGTACCTCGATTAGTGTATGGGGTACAAGAATAAGAGTTGTACTTGTATCTCCAACCGTGCTTGGTCCACTCTGCATGTGGCTGGCAATAGAGTGGGAATAATCAGTAGATTAGTATAGTGGGATACGCAGGGGACGACGTAAGAGAGTAAGCAGACTAGTAGCGTAGAGTGCTGTAATATGGTAGTAAAGTAGGGTAGAGTAAAAGCAAAATAAAGCAAATGAAAGTAAAGTAGAGTAAAATAGAGTAATGTAAGGTAGAGTAAAGCAAACGTAAAGCAAAATAAAGTAAAGGACCGCAAAGTAAAGTATATGGGGGCCTTCCCTTCCCTTCCGATCCTAATCTGCTATGTATCCGCCGTATCCATGTGGAGTTCCATTGGCTTGGCATTGTTGGCTTGGCACGTTGCTGGTTTGACTTGGAAGGCTTGGCTTGATGACCGGAGTTTAATTTGTGTTTAGTGTGTAATGTAATACTCGGCGAAGTTACAGTTACCGCTCGGCGAAGTTGTGGAAAAGTCTTCTTTGTCGGTGGAGGAGGAGTGGTGGTACTTGGTTTCGTATGGGGGCATAAGTATAGGATGTATAGTATGGAGTATAGTATAACATAGTATAGCACATGTGGTCAAATCTGTCAGCTATGCCAACCTTCCTTCTATATAGAAAGGCGATAGGACTCTTTGATACGGAGTCAACCGTTCTCATCTAGAGTCAGCTGTTGACAATACTCTTACTGTAAGTCAGAAATAGAGATATTACGTGTACATACGGCGCAGCAACACTATACCATACCATACATAACCAACAGCCATTACTCTGTCTTATGCTCCTTCACAAAAATAGAGTACTACAACTAACCAACAACTACTCCACATAATGCCGGCTGCATCTGCCTTGTCCAGCCTCGTGTTCCTCCTTGTCCTCCTTCCTTCCTCGCGCCATGCCATTCATGCTAAGCTACTTACTAAACTGTATACTTAGCCCATACCATGCCATGCTAAGCTACTTACTAAACTGTATACTTCGTACCATCGTTTGTGCTCTTAGCCGTACTCTACTTTAGTTGATTGTAACTCTACTACTAGCAGATTACAGTAGACTAACAACTACTAGTCGCCCTTTCCCTTCCTAACCCCCCCTACCCCCCCTACCCTTCCCCCCTACCCCCTACCCCGTTCCACCTTCTTTATCCCCACACACCCACCTTCTTTCGCTCATTTTTACCTTTTCGCCTTTTTCCCAACCCTAAACCTTCTCGCAACGACCCAGTCCATGGCGTGCCACCACCAAGCAAGCCACACCAAGCCTCGCCCAGCTCCGCCCAGACCCAATAGAAATCACCGAATAATCAAATATTAACGAGAATACCTAAATACCTAAAATATCCAAAATAAATCATCATTTCCCTCTCCCCTCAATGGCCGAGACCCCAAGACGAGACCCAAGACAGAGTGTGGCACTGCAAAATCCCACTATACTACACTACCTGTGACTACTGTTGTAACAACCAACTAAACTTTCCCTTTGACGCTCTAACCCTCGACCTTATACCCATCTTAGCCCTTCTTAGCCCTTCTTACCCTTCTTCTTACCCATCTTACCCGTCTTTTGACCCATCCTATCCATTCTATCCCATCCTATCCCCATCTTATCCAACCTGATCCAACCTGATTCATCCTAACTTTGCCCCATCTTTTGCCCATCTTACCCATATCTTACCCATCTTCTTACTCGTACACAGACACGGGAGTACTACATATACATACTACATGGTACACAGATCTTACCTTATTACACCTTCCTTCCTTCTTATTTGTACATAAACATAACATACGAAAGAAGAAAGAAGCAACAGAAGAAGAAGCACACGCCCACGGCCACCGCTCATCCTCACCCTCACACTCATATTCACGCCCTGCATCGCGCCTTCTTTCTTCACACTAATTAATTACAATATCACACTCAAATACTCTACTCCACCCTGTACAAGCTTCTTTCGACCTGCCCTGTACCTTACACATCTCAACTATTTCCACCTTTTTACCTCCTTCCCACCTTCCTTTCCGTCTTCCGGCTTTCTTCTTTCCACCATTCTCCCGAACCGATCTCCATCGTCACTCACCCTTCCTCCACCTTCCACCGCCGATCTTCACTAATCCTCACCGATCAACACCACCAACACCACCAACGGCAATTATCTCAAAACTTCCGTCAAACTCACCCCGGCCCTACTTCTCTGCTACTTCTCTCACTGGCTGCACATCTGCCATCGAAACAGTAACAGTGCCGTTACGCCGTTATCAACCATACTCCGCGCACGCACTCAGATCGTCCGCCGCCATCTGACTCCGTGCTTGTTCACTGGCCCTCGTCCTTGCGCTTAACGGGATTTAACTATCAACCAACCCCTCCACCCTCGCCCATTTCGAAAATAAAGCACCTGCACCTACTCGACAACCAAGACACGATTACTCGAAAAAAATAGTTGCCGACGAAACATATAGTGCTTATCCCCTTCCACGCTCATAAGCCCACTGTCCACTATCTGCCGTGATCAGAAGTGGGAACTTTCGAAATAAAGCGCCGAACAGATCCTCATATTGGGATCCACTCCAAACAGATAGGATACGACTCCAAACAGACACCCCTCATACCCATACGAACAAAGCTGCTGCTCCACCAACACACAGCCGTTGCCGTTTTCTCTACATGCATATATATGTATATATATTTAATTATATATACATGTAACCACACATAACACCACCCACACCAAACGAATTCGTTTTCTGACGCTACACTTAACGGCCTTGGTGTTTCATACAGTGAGTACAGCATTTTCTTTTCCCTTCGGCCAAATTTCAAAGCAAATCCACGCACACCAAAAAAAAGGATCAGCTCAAGGAATGCCCGACATACAAATCCTGTGTCGTCGCTTGTAACCTTGCGTCATCGGGAGTCTGTATCTTCGGCCAACTATCGCCTGCCGGAGCTTTCTACAATACGCGCGTGCGCCGGTCCTCGACAAAAAAAAACCCCCCATCGTTGAACAAGAGAGAGCCGCAACTCGGCCACCAAACGAAGAATCAGCACGCCAACACGACGTTTGAAGCAACTTGCTCTACAGCGTGTCCAGCACCGACTATCGGCTTGCACAGCACTTATTCATACTATACGTGGAAGGGTCATAACTAACCACCTTCTCAAGCGAACACAGATCAAACGCCGAACGCCTGACATACTCGACAAATCTTGCGATTTGACCCTGCACAGAACTGCCGATACCCCCCACGACTATTAGCGCACCACGCAATTGCGCGGCCAGTGCGACAGACCTACAAGGAGAAGCGCTTCAGAAAGGACGCGGCTGCGTGACAACGTTCTCAATTGGGAAAGTTGCCCTCGTTTAGCCGTCGGCAATCCTACACTACGAGCTTCCGTACTACGCTTGTGATCGAATATAAACCATAGAGAAGAGACGATACCACGCGCTGAGATAGATACCCAGCCTATACAAAGATGACGGAAACATACAGAGGACACGTTCGGAGCCCTGCGGACGCCATAAAGCTATTCGAGGCTTGCCGACTTGGCTTATTACCCCGCGTGCAACGAAGATTATCGGAGAAGGAGAGGCAATCAATAACATCTGGCTCGGTGTTCGTATGGGACGAGCGCGAGGCAGGCATGCGTCGGTGGACTGACGGCAAATCATGGAGTGCGAGCCGTGTCTCTGGCAGCTTTCTCACATACCGCGAGATGGAGGGCAAGCGCGGCGGGGGCAACTTCGTCCCTGCACCGCGGCGACTTGGCGGAAAGACACCAGATAGTGGGCGCGGCAGCGACGAGGACGCAGATATGGACCAGGATAGCCTAGACGGATACCGTTATAAGGCAGATGGACTATTGAAGCAGTCATTCAGCATCACGACATCTAATGGCCAGCACCTTCACTTAATCAGCTACTTTGCGCGCCAGCATCCGAGCATAACAGATCTTCCACAGCCAACGACCGATCCGGCACTGCGACATATCGTCCCCGTCAAGGGCATGTATCCCGAGTCCACAGTCCACGACCAAGCGCCACCTCCTCCCCGCGCGCAAATTCAGGGACCTTACATGTCCTCACCACAACAGATGATGCCCGGAAACGCCCCTCACTCCCGGTCACCATACCCTTATTCCCCCGGCTACGGCGCCTGGCCACCCTCTCCAGTCCCGACCCCCCCCTACAACTACCCTCCCTCAATGTACGGCTCGCAGCTTCCCCCTCCCCCACCAAACGACAGGAGTCCACACCAGTACTCGCCTCAACACCTCCCCCCTCATATGCAGCACCACCCTGCACCACAGCCATACGACCGCTCCCCTCACCACCCGCACAGTCCACACGATAGCCTCGCTCCGCGACACCTCTCCGCCTCCGGCCCACCACCACAGATGAGCACCCTTGCATACGCGACAAATGCTGCCCGCGACGCCCAGCACGCTCTCGCACAGGCGCAGGCCATGCAGGCGCAACAACTGGGACAGATGCATTCGGGAGCTCGTGGGCCGCCGTCTGTAGATCCAAGGTTAGGACCAAGAGTGCCACCACTTCACCACCAGCAGTCGAACGGGCACGCGCCGCCGCCTCTGCACCACCTCTCTTCGCCCACTGGAAGCAGGGACGGTTCGCTGGGACAGGATAGGCCACAACAGAGGAGTCCCCTATCGAATGGTGCACCGCCTCACCAGCCGAGAAGCGGAGAGGCCCAGAGCATTCCCAGCATTTCGAATATGGTGCACGGCACCCCCTCCTCAGGCCCGCCACCCTCCTCCGCCCCATTATCCGCGTCCTCGTCGCAACAGCGCAGCCCCGGCGGCGCACCGCAGCAACCGAGCCCGTCGAGCAGAATGCCCGATAAGGGCGTCAGCCCCGCCAGGAACGACGAGGACGAGGCTAAGGGCGCGAATGGCATCCCGAGAGAGATTCCGCATGCGAATATCACGGGTCCTGGGTTTGGAGGAGAGGATATGCGCGCGTTGAGGGTGCTGGATCGGAAGTTTTGTATCTGAGAGAGATTTCTTCCACCTTGCATGGCGGTTTTTAATATTGACTCGGATTTTCTACCGGAGGGAGGGATGGGAAGTAATCGGGGTGGATGGAGAGGCCATGTGACTTTGACAAAAGTTTGGGAGGAGCGCTCATTGCGTTTTGTTTTTTTCTGCGGCAAAGATCTTTTTTCTTTGCGTCGCTTTTTCGAGGGGGGATTCCGCAGTTTCCTATCAGGAGCAAATGCGCGGATAGGGAGACTGGAGACGGGGGAATGGACATGGATATGACTGCTTTGCTAGAGGGACCTACTCACACGAATGGACCGGAGCAGGGGGATATGAATACCTTTTTTTTTTAGGACTCGTTATGTTTTTCCTAGGAGTTGCTGGGGCCGCAAGGCATGGCAGGGCAAGGTGGATGGACGGACGGGACGGGGAGAGGCTGAGGGGCTATTGGCATCGCTCTTTGCTTTTGATAACCTCTTTTTTTGTGCTTGGTTTTTTTTGGTAGTGGCTTTTGGGGTTTGCTTTGAGGCATTGTTTTGCGTTTGTTTTTTCTATTTGCTTAGACTGTTCACGAGGGGGGAGAGTGGGGTGGGATGGGATGGGTATATAGGTGGTTGGTGACGAGGAGGGGAGATAAATGGTGGTAGATCAGGTTAATGGAATCAATCAATATTTCGTGACTATTCTATTCATTGGGTTTTTTCTGTTATATGTTGTGAGGGTATGCTACGTGTGTATCGCCTTGCTTCGAGTCATATAGTAGGTATTATCGACAGTCGGCCGACTTGGTTTTAGTTAAGTCATATAATTTTGGTGGCACTTTTGGTCGTCTGTAGTAGATTTATTTCTAAGGTAATCATTATATTGAGTGCGAATTTGCATATAACACGCTCTACTCCCGCCAACTACCTACACTCGCGAGCTGATTTGGAGACTAGAGAATGGCAATACCTAAATCTCACAACTGTCCGAAAAATATCCAATTCCGCCAGGCAACAACAATACTACCTACTTCGACAGCACCGTCACTGACCCCTCACCCTTCAAATCCCTACTACTGAACCCAACACTCACCTTAATCTCCCCCCTCGGTATCCTCCATGTCTGCGCAATCACATCCCAATAACTAACATCCCGTCTCGTTAAAGTAAACTTAACATCCTTGCTCTCTCCCGGTTTCAGCGCTACCTTCTCAAACCCCCGAAGAACCCTCAATGGCGTGCCAGCGGGAACGGAATCTTGCGGGAGCGATATGTATAACTGAACTACTGTGCTCCCAGCCAGCGATCCGGTGTTTGAAACCTTTGTCGACGCGGTGAGGAGGGGGGAGTAGAGGTCCGGGTTTCCCCCTGGAAGGATGGCTTTTGATGCATCTGGGATTGCTGGGGGGTTCTTGACTAGTTTGGAGACGGAGAACGAGGAGAGGGAGAAGGTTGTGTAGCTGAGGCCATACCCGAATTCATATAGGGGAGTAATGTTTTTAGAGTCAAAATGGCGGTAGTCGATCATCAATCCCTCTGTGAAATCGGCCTGCCATTCATCCACAGCAGTCACGGATGAGAGGTTCGTAACTGGGATGTCATAATCGGACTCGTGTTCTGAGATGGTGTAGGGGAGCTTGCCGGAGGGATTCACGTCCCCCCAGAGGATATCGACGATTGAATTCCCGCTTTCTTGCCCGGGGTAGTGCGCCGCGAGGATGGCTTTCACGTTTGGATTCTTAGCCCAAGGCATGGTGTTCACGCCGCCGGAGTGCGTTACCACGATGGTGTTTGGGCATTTCCGAGCTACGTTGTTGACCACCGCCGTTGAGTTCCAGTCGTTCTCGAAGGATGTTCTGTCGCGCCCCTCGGAAGCGAAGGTCTTGAGGAAAACGATGCAGACGTCGGGGGTGGGGAAGATACTGCGGAAGTCGTTGGAGGCGAGGCGGGAATTGCTTGTGATATACTGCACGCGGGCGCCGATTTCTTGGGCTTTGGATTTGATGGCCGAAAGAGGCGAGATGAGAGAGGAGTGCCGACCTGTACCGGATCCTCCGCCGACATCCAGGGTGCCGATGTCGTAACCGTATGTCTCGGACTCGAAGGAGCCGTCGGAGATGATTGTGAGGCCGTCAGTTGGATCAGGTGCGTCGTTTCCGAAGACCCCGATGTTTTTGGGAGACTTGAGGGGGAGAGTCGAGTTGAGGTTCTTGAGGAGTACTGTTCCTGCTGCGCCTAGCTTGCGGATGATTTTCGCATGATCCTTTCGGACATCTCGAGCTGGGATCTCAGGCACCCCGAGAGATGCGCCGTACTGGGCTGCTAGGACATGCATAGCTGATGGATCAGTCGTTGGGAAGTTCTTGTCCTGGCCGAGAAAGTAATATGGCATCATGATGCGGCGGACCATGTCATCGAGGCGGGTCATGGGTACACTTCCATTATTCACGGCGGTGGTGAGGTTTGCCCCGAAATAAGAAAGTCCTGTTCCTGCAGACAAAGATTCTACATCGATGGTTCCTGGCATGGTCATGTCTAGGCCAGCGTTGGCTGATTTCACACCAGAGTGCGTTGCGAACCAGTCAGAGACAACGTATCCTTGAAACCCCAGCTCTTTCTTCAAGATCCCATTAAGAAGTTCAGAGTTCTCGCAAGCGTAGGTCTGGTTGACACGATTATAGCTGCACATGATCGAAGTTGTCCCGGCTTTAACGGCATCGGCGAAAGGCCAGAGGTAGAGCTCATGCAGCGTGCGGTCGTCTATGTTGGAAGATACTGCTTCGATGTTTGTTCCATCAGCAAAAACGGTGTTGCTTCTCTGAGTCTCCTGCTCGTTTCCGATGAAATGCTTAGAGCAGGACTGAACACCTGCATCGTGAAAACCTCGAACAGAGGAGGCCATTGCGACTCCAGTTAAGTAAGGATCAGCGGAGAATCCTTCCCAGTTACGACCACCTAAAGGATGTCTCCCCAGAGGCCCACCAACAGGGCTGCATTATCATTGTTAGTTAAAGGGCAAAACAAATGGGTGGGAGTCATACCCCAGTCCGACATGACTTCCTTTAGCTCTGAATTCGGACCCGAGAGCAAGGGCTCGCTGGTAGATGAGATCCCTATCCCAGCTTGCAGCAGCTGTCAACCCCGCTGGGAAGATGCTAACCAAATCGGCACGATTGAATGCGGTTGGACCGTCGGACATGCAGATTCCTGAGAACCCAAGACGTTCAATTGGTGCTATGTTACCAATACAGGGCCCGTTATCACCGGTGACCATGCTCACTTTCTCTGTCAGGTTTAGCCGCGCGATAAAGGCATTTGCCTTAACTAGTGCATGCTCCCATCCACCAGTCCCTGTGGAATATGCTAATCAGGATTTATTAGAATTAGAGGCAATTGTGTTTCATTGGTTATCCTTACATATCGCAGGGGGGTTATTGTTGATACTATGGGACTGAGAGCTGGCTCGTCCCTCAACAACGGTCAAGAGGTGATTTCTGATGAAGAAGGCAATAACATTTGATAGAAGGACCATCTTGAGAGTATTAAGGAGGAAAGACTTGAGTAATATCGATGCTGTGAACTCTTATTTCTTGGGGAACTATCTAGGTATTTGTAACCCACAACTCCTTTTTTGAATATAGCAACTCATGAGGGGTAGACGTGAATGCCCTCATAAGGCGCAAAATATTGTATAGAATTGACCGAGAGATCGACCGGCACTAGAATACCAGCTCATAAGGACCGTGATAATGCCGAAGAGAAGATATACCTAGGTTAATCGTCTTCTCTGGCTTGTTTGCTTTGTTCAGCCGGTAACTGCGAGTTGGCACCATTCGCAAAAACAGGTCATGCTACGTAGTTACTTATATTGTAGTTCTATCGACTGCAAATACACTTTCCTATAACGTACATGTATAGCGAATGTGCAAAACAAGCGAATGTGCAAAAATATCGCGACCACCCTACCCCCTAACTAAACTCGATAATTCCACCACAACATAACATGCCTTTTAAAAATGACGAGAGAGAGTTGACCTTAGCTATCCAAGCTATTCAAAGAGACCCTACGCTACGCCTTTACGCTGTAGCTAAGACCTATTCTGTAGACCACCGCAAGCTTGCTCGCCGTCTACATGGTATGCAACCACGACGTGATATTATAGCCAATTCACGGAAATTGTCAAACCTAGAGGAATCAGTCCTTGTTCAACACATACTCAACCTAGCTGCTAAAGGATTTCCTCCGCGGATGTCTATTGTTGAAGATATGGCAAATCGACTACTTGCAACACGCGACGCGCCACGCGTTGGGTCGCGTTGGGCTTCAAACTTTGTAAAGCGCCACATAGAGCTCCAGACACGCTTCCAGCGCAAATACGACTACCAGAGGGCTAAGTGTGAAGACCTAGAGGTTATCCGTGGTTAGTTTGAGCTTGTACAGAATACAATTGCGAAGTATGGAATCAACGATGCAGATATCTACAACTTTGATGAGACTGGGTTTATAATGGGTGTTATCTCAACTGCTATGGTTGTAACAAGCTCAGACGGGTGGGCAAAAGCAAAGAAAGTACAGCCTAGCAATCAGGAATGGGTTACAGTAATCTAAGGCGTTAGTTCTTAAGGCTAGGCAGTACCGCCATTCATCGTTGTTGCTGGCAAAAACCACCTTGCATCTTGGTATAAGAATAGTAGATTTCCAAGCGATTGGGTAATTGCTGTTACGGAAAATGGCTGGACTACAAACGAGAGAGGCATGGATTGGATTCAGCATTTCGAGAAGCATACAAAGGCCCGGAGTGTTGGTGGTTATCGCCTCTTAGTCCTTGATGGTCATGAGAGCCACCATTCAGATGAGTTTGAGGAGTACTGCAAGGAACACAACATTATAACTCTCTGCATGCCTGCTCATTCTTCCCATATACTCCAACCGCTTGATATTAGCTGTTTTGGCCCTTTAAAAAAGGCTTACGGTCGGCAAATTGAAGATATGATGCGAGCTCATATTTCTCACATTACTAAGGATGACTTCTTTCCTGCCTTCCACGCTGCATTTAACATTGCAATGACAGAAAGTAACATTCAAGGAGGCTTCTGAGGTGCTGGACTTCTTCCATTCGACCTAAATAGAGTGATCTCTACACTTGATCTTAAGTTAAAGACACCAACACCTCCAAGCTCCCGCCCTAGTACCGCTCAACCTTGGGTTTCCCAGACGCCAAACAACCTAATTAAAGCTATGTTACAGTCTACATTTATTAAAACTCGGATTTCACGCCATCAAAATAGCTCTCCAACCTCAATCTATGCAGCTATTGACCAGTTTACAAAGGGCGCATCGCAAATAATGCATCAATTAGCATTATTAAAGGCAGAGAACCAAAACCTACGACAGGCAAATGAAGTACTAAGCAAGCGCCGGAGGGCAAAAAAAACACGCCTACGGCAAGGAGGATCACTTAGTCAACAGGATGCGCGGGATCTACAGGATGAGAGGGACGTTATGCAGCAAGTAGAGCAGGAAATAAGGGCAAGTGGTCGTCGCAAGCCGAGGGAAGAAACCCGTGCTCGTCGCTGTGGAAAATGTGGTGGGACTAAGCATAATGCGCGCACTTGTCAGATTGAAATAGACACGTCTGAGGAAGAGGTCTCCGAGTAGTTTTAATTGATTTCTAGTATTGTGGTAGATTTATCACAATTCATATGGGGTAGTTGCGATATTTTTGCACATTCGCTTGTTTTGCACATTCGCTATACATGTACGTTAATTAAAGTTCATAGATATAAATGAAGCAAGATAGAATTTACCACCTTTTATCCATGGCAACCGAGGGTAGCTGTACTGAGATGAGCATCGTAGCATGGCTTCTGAAAGATCTGCCGGGGTTTGCGGGGATCTGGGGATATTGCGGGGGATCTTCGGGGTTCTAGGTTCTAGCACACGGCTGCCAAAGGTGTCATGAGATAGGCTTTATCCCCGCACCAATTTCTTTAAGGGTAAAGTAAGTCCTGCATATGGGTATTGACTATACGCGTATTTAAAGCTATACGCGTATTTAAGCTTGTAAGTTATAACAAAATAGTCATTACTAGCGGGGTAAAAGTGATCCGTCCATAAGCGTATTTGTTGTAAATTAAACTTCCATCCTACCACATCACCGCGCCAGTGATACAGATTCTCTCGTAGATTGTAGTCAGAATACATCAGGGGCTGCCTTCTTTGAATTTCCAGATATTTTTTTATTCTTTGACCAAGTCTGCTGTGGCCGGTGCTGAAGGGAGTCTACTCGTACTTGAAGTGGGAGCGGAGCTGGCAATGATACTCTCGTTCTCGATAGGAGACACAGAAAAGAATGAGGGTGAGTGGTGATGGTATAATGCGGCACCAGCTAGCTCCATCACACCGCCATTCCCAGAACTCATTGGTTTCCTTCTGTTGTATGACATGGTGGTGTGTGAGTGTTGCTGGTCCTCCCCTCCCCTTTTTCAAAGTGAAAAGGGTAGACTACCTGCAATCGAATCCGGCAAGAAAAAGGCAAAAAGACAGATAACATGTAGATATTCGCTAGTATTCATCCAACACTACCAATTTAAGCAATCACTTCCTTTTTCTTTGCTTGGTAATATCTAGCTGTGTGGGTGAGCTCCCTCAGTTATGAGCCTAGATTCTCAGGCCACAGGGACCCGCGAAAGCCCCATATCGGCCCCATATCGGCTGTGCCCATGAAACTAGTAACGTTCAACACACTGTTACTAACACCGACTCGATTTCAGCTGCAATCAACCCTAGTTTTCGGTTCCTAGGAGCTAGTAGCAAGACATTTTTGCTATGATCTCGCCGGAGTCTTTATGTCTAAGCGGGAGAGAGCAGGGGCGTGCAAGAATTGCCGGTAGGTGACGACGGGTCGACATCATCGCCCCCTGTGCCACTGGATAATAAGACGAGAGCAAAGTTAAAATCAGTCTTCTTAGGGTGCGCAAACGGCGATGTACTCCTACGGCCCTAGGTCGGTCTTGCCAGCTTTGCAACCAGCTCGCAATGCCGTGCAATCTAGTCACAAGCTTTGTCCGTGATACGCAGACCCATGTTAGACATGGTGATGGTGGTTCGCGGACACTGCAGAGCAGCGTCGATGCAGGCACTGCAGTTGCTCCTCAGTCTTTACTTTCGACGTTGATAATCCCATCCTCCCCATACCAAGCATTGCTGGTGTCATCCCAGAACGACTTGCGCGCTAAATCTCGGGAAGAGGCGTCCACGAGCCTGCTCCCTGGCGGCCAGGTATTGAGAGAGGTAGTTGATATCTACTTCCAGCTCATCCACAATTACCCCCATACCCTCTTTTACAAACCTGGGTTTTGGGCGGATGTAGAGTCCGGGGAGATCCCGGAGATGATCCTTCTAGGTATGATTGCGCTTTCACTGCGGTAAGTATTCTCACGAGTCTTTGGCGCTGTACGTCGTCCCTAGGCAGAGGCTAATTGGATCAATAAGTTTCTCACGCAATGAGTGCTTTCGGCCCTTTGATCCGCGTTCCCGGGGTAAGGAATTCGCAGACGAAGCTAGGCGTCATATCCATATCCAGATGATGAATCCTTCGGTTGCTACTGTCCAAGCCTGCGTTCTTATCGGCCATTACCTCGGTGGTGAGGGCGATGTCAAGAGTAAACATATCTACCTTGGTCTTGCACGACTCCATGCCCAAGCCATCAGACTATGGGAGATGCCGGTAGACTCGACGATTGTGTCGAGAGAAGTCCGGCGACGAACATGGCTGTCCGTCATCATAGCCGAAAATTGGAGCGCAACGGATATGTCCACCCAGCCTGTGCTATCTAGTGAGCACGACATGCTATTCCCCATCATGGACGAGGTCGAGTTCTTGACTCTTCAACCTGCCGCGTTTAGGGACGGGCTAAACTTCCAGTCCTCACAACGGTGCATGTGGGCCCAGATGGCAGCCACCATCGATGTTTTCCGCCAGATCAGCGCCATGATCTCGAAGCTCAGTCTAACTCTCCGCACTCTGGATTCTTACCGGAGCGAGATTTCAGATCTCTCACAGCGGCTAGATCACTGGGACCAGCGCCTACCTCCAGAACTCCAGTACTCGATGGACAACCTGGTTTACTTTGGAAATGCTGGCCTCGGCCTCACATTCCTTGGCATGCACATGGGGTACCACCATTTTCGCCAACTACTGTACTATCCTTTCCTCAACTCTCAGGCCAACCACGATATAGCACTCCCGCCTCGCCTACTATCGGGTGACATGAATTATGCACGGCTTTGCAAGAAGCACGCCCTGGCCATCTCTGACCTTGTTAAACTCGGTTTCGAAACCAGCGACTGCAACCCCGTGTACTTCCTTACGGGACATATACTGGTCGTCAGCTCTAGCATCCACCTTCATACTCTACTGTTTGGAGAGGATCAGGCGGCAGCGGATGTTGCGCGCGAGCGACTGGTCTCGAATTTTGAGATCTTGATGCAGCTTAAGATGTACTGGCCGGTCATTGATTCTTCGGTGGCTCGCCTTCGAGAATTCCAAAACAGCAGGCGCTTATCAGTTTCTGACTCGTTTGTGCTGGATAACTGGATGCTCAAATTCCTCATGGAACACACTGCGAACCTGGGTCCCGACAGCCACCCAATCCCACAGACTCAAGATCCACCTCTACATTTCGATCTTGAAGTCGTCCCATTTTCAGGTCCCTCTGATCCTCTCCAGATTGGCAACCAGCCGGTTGTAGGAGAAGGGGCTGGTATGTCAGAACTGGAACCTGAGAATCTCAGCGGACTTGCTACGAGTAGTTTAAGTACGCTGTTGCAAGATAAGAGTATGAGCAACGAGGCAGTGGTAGATAATGCGCTACATTGGTTATTAGATCAAGATCTAAAGGCGTCCGAATATTGACCACAGTCTTACGAGTTAGAAAATTAAACGACGGCGCTGGAAAGTTAGCATTTAGAACTAATACGAGATCGAATCATAATAGATGTATAAATATCAATATAATTTAATTTAAGATGTATCACAAGCGACATAATTCTATCCAAGTAAAAATAACCCTACAGATACCCCTTAATACTCCCCCTATCCCATCCTTTCCCCGCCGCAGCCTTCTCATCCGTCATCAACACCCTCACCGCCGTCAGCACCCCCATCTCCCTAATCGTATACTCATAACTCCACCACTCACCCGCCGTCCGGAACGCATCCGGACCATACCACTTCGTCAATCCCTCCGGCAGATGCAGCGCGCCAAACGCATGGTCGCGATTCCCATACGCCGTAATCTGCAGTTTATACTCCCCCGCCGACAGCTCTCCGAGATCAAGAGTGTGCGGCTGGAAGGCGATGGCGCCCACGTCGCGGCCGTCGAGCTGCACGGCGAGGAGTGGGGCCACAAAGCGCGGGACTTGGATTGCGGTGCGCTGGGGTCTGGGTCCTTCGACACGGAGCGTAAAGTCGTAATGCACATTCCCGACGTAGAAGGGTAGCCCCTGCCTTGTGTAGTCGCCCACAGCTAGTTTGTCGAGTACGAGAGGAACGATGGTCGCTTTTCGACCGCGTAGATCGACGCCGAATTCTCCGAGGATGTAGACGCGCTCGAGGTTTGTGGCGGGGCCGAAGGGGAGGGATAGGATGAGCTCATGGGAGCCAGCTGGGATGGGTGGGAGGGGGATCGTGGAGATACTTTCGTCGACCCAGTAACCGCTGGACGAGGCAACGACGGGAGCGCCATCGAGGGAGATGGTAGCTATGGCAGCGTTCTCAAGCGCAAGATGCGCGCCCCGCACATCGACGGTCGAAGTGAAGTTGAAGCGCAGAGATATCGTATTTGTGGGCGCGGACTTGGGAGTCGTCCATGGCTGTGCGAATGCGTCTTTCTTTTGGCGTAGGCCGAGATTCTCGCGTGCGATGTTGTCGATGCGGAGGATCTCTTCAGGCGCTTCCCAGTCGACATCGTTGTTGAGTTTGTGGGATGCGATGTCTAGGAGCAGAACGTTGGGCTCGGATAGTGAGGCTGCACAGTCCACAAGCTCGTGTGAGACTGTCCAGGCTGGGATTTCAAGGGCCGAGAGGCACGGCTCGTGAGTCACGGGGTAGAGACGGAGGAGGAGTGAGGCACAGCCGTCGAAGTGATGGTGGAATCGTGTCCATCCTTCGACTACGTCGGTTTTGAAGCTATACGACTTGCCGGAGAAGGTATCCAAAAGCGTTGCGGACCATGCCCCTCGAATATCCACCCTGCATTTGCTTGGTTTAACACGATCAGTGTTGCAGATAAATAAATAGCCCTCTTCACCATCAGCTCTCATCTGGTACAGTAGCTTATCGGCTTCCATGCCAGTGTCTAGGACGATCTTCACATCGCGAACAGTCTCGAGCTCGCGAAGGATATCTAGTCTGGTAAATGGAACGCGTGCAGCAGAGAGAGATTTGGGCTGTAACGATGCCTCAACGTCCACGAGCGAAGGGTCTGATCCTGCGACAATTACCCTGCCACTTCCCTTAGCGAAGTCTTCCAGGATCTGTAGCGTAGTGCTGCGGATAGTTCTCAAGTTTGGTACAATCACCACATCGTATTGTTGTACGCCTACGCACAATTTGCCATTCTCCGTGCGTGGGTTTTGTTCAGGCCTGCTAATTATCAGTCTATGACGTTTCCGGGGGTGCAATGCTATACTTACAGCAGAGACTCCGAGATGAAGTCAAAATCCACAAGGCCGTAGCATAACCAGTCTGTCAGATCGGAGAATTGGCGATCTCGCTCATCCTGGTCCACAGAAGTCTCGTTCGGTCCAAAGGAAAGCCAGAAGCTCTCAACCGGATGTATCACTGCTACTCTTACCACTGGGGTTCCTCTCGTTAATGCCGTATTCACTCTCGCAAAATGATTCTCAATCAGCGGGTACTCCTTATACCAGGGGCTCTGATATCCAATTGCAGCAGGATAATCACGCTTGGCCTCGCCTGCCATTGTGACCCAAGCTAGATGATGTGCTCGAACATTGATTCCCAAAGCTGCCTGCCAGTCACCGCAGCCTTTGTGACCTTCAAATGTAAACGTCCAGTTTGTCACGCCATATATTTCGGACAACACCCCGCACCTTCCGTACTGGCGAGAGACGGATTGGGCCTGTTTCGCAGTCGTGAATTCTCTACGATCGCAGAGCAGATCAATGCCGGGTAAATGCATGTTGCGATAGCAGCGCATCGCTTCGCCGAGGGAGCTAGTTTGGGATCTCAAACTTGCTTCTTTCATCATGTGGCCGGTGAGAGCAATACCGTTGGTGCTGCACCAGTTGCCGAGGAGATCGATAAATGAGGTTACGAACCGTGTGCAAACTTTAGCAAGATTAGCAGAGGCTTAGAGATTGCATCATAGAGTTAATTACCATGATCATGATAGTTATATCTGGTTTTCGATGGACCCTTGGTATCCCAAACAACCTCGGGAAGGAAATCTAGCAAGTTGGAGCTATATGCATCTTGATAGGTATGTGGTAGATCTAGAGTCCACGGAAGGAATATGTCTCGTTTTCCGTGAGCAAGCTTGAGCTGATTCTTCAGTGCGAATTGTGGCTCATCAGTGAAGATCGCCGGGACAGTCTTTCCAAATTCGCCGCCCACCGCTTTCTTGTATGGCTCATATGTAAGATCTACAAATCTCTGCATGGCTGGCGCCGATAGTGTATCGACGTAGTAGGATCCGTTGAACCACTCGGATGGTGGGTTGGTCTCGACATAGGCGTACCAAACACCCTCGAAATCCTCTTCGCTGTCTTCAAGTCGCCGGCTTTCAACAAGAAATCCGTCCTTATCTAGGATAATGCTGTATCGAGCAGCAAGAAAGCCAAGTTCGCTTCTAGACGCGACAGCTGAGCACGAATGGTTCTCCCTTAAAATGCAATATTAGTAAGCGTCACATTAAGGTATCAGGTAACATACTCTGCTTGATCCGGTCTATTCGGATCACCATATTTCCACGGAGTAATCAACATATGCCTAGATCGAAATTTATCCTCGTCCTTTGTCACAAGCCCTCCCGCAGCACCACTTGGCCAACGATCTTCGTCGTACAGCCAGGCGAGCATGCCCTTCTCCTTAGCGCGCTCGACGCACTTTTTCACCATATGCATGAACTCCTCTCCCATATATTCGGTGTCGAGACCTACTCTAGAATGCATATGGAAGCCTCCGAGCCCCATCTCCTCCATATGATCAATTTGCCGTAGCAGTTGGTCGAGGTCGAGCTTCGTGTTCCAGCTCCATAGTGGCGTGCCGCGGTATTCTGATGTGGGATTTGCGAAAAGTGAAGGGGAGAAAGGGAGACGACTTTGAGGGAAGAGATTGAAGGATGTGGATGCGGGAGAGGTTGGCAGCTTTGAGGTTGGAATTTGCTCTGGAAGCTGTGCAACGGATGGTGCCATGATTATTGCGGTGATAATTTCAAAGGAGGACAAGGGGATAAAACGGAAGATTGGACAGAATGACAGAAAACTTGAAAGACTTGAAAGACTTAAGAGACACTCTTCATATATGGAATATGTAATTGTGGAATTTGTACCAGACTAGCCAATGAGATATACATTATGTAGATTGGCCCCGTTCGGTGTATTAGCTTGCGAAAGGAGCAGGCTCTCTTTGGGCTTTTGGCCACAGAATAGAGTCGAAACGAGATTACGTCGACCTGCAAGATACCCCGCAAGGTAGAAGACTTCCAGAGCCGCGCATGTAGTGCATAGCCCTCCGGGATATTATATTCGGGCGGGAAACTCTTGAGGTTATTGGTTGTTCGCCGCCGGCGATGGCGCGTCCTTGGCTTTTAACGGGGAACCCCCCAGAATTCCAACCCAGATCCCCAAATTCCCCGTCTACCACATGTCTGCGCAATGCCGATCATGCGGGGAACTATGGGGAGGTGCAGAGTGCTGAGAATCTCACCCGCGATCTTGGGCTTTCTTAGAATGCAATCCATCATCGCCCCTGTTGTTTCCCACAGTAGCTCGTCTTCGCCTAGTGTGGTGGGGTTTGCGGGCGGCAAAATCGTGATATTACTGGACAAACGCCGCCTTTAGGAGGAGCACTGTCCCTTAACCGCCTTAGTGTAGAGATCCGGAGGTTTGGTGTGGGGAAGTGGGGTTTTGGTAGATAGAAAATCCCTGGTCTGGTGGATTTTTCTCCCTCTTACCCCCATTTCCGTCTAAGAGCTAGGCTAGATTCGAGTCAATTGGGACTGCCATTGATGTAGTTGTGTAAGTGAGGTTGCGGGGGAATGAGGCGTTCCGTACCATAATGCTCGTGCTACTCAATCCAAATTCTCGGACAACTCTCTCGAAGCACATTAACCCGATGATGCGAAGCCTGCAATTAAGAGAGTATCCCTTTTTGGCCGTGCGACGGGACGTCTGGATATCATCAGAATTGATATTTAAAGGGTGTTGATCGCCGCATGTTCTCGCCTTTGTTATGCGCAAGGCATCTCTAAGTGTTTAATCATGGGTTATTATATCATAATCGTGGCATTGGTCGTCGCCATCGGCGGCTTTGTGTTTGGTGTTGATTCCGGCATCATGGGCACAACTCTTGGTCATAATACATTCAAGCTGTATATGCTAGGCCCAACGATGAAGAATCCATCGTTAATTGGTATATATACTCTCGACAATTTATTAACACCAAATGGCTAACGTTGTTGTAGGGGCAATCGTTTCACTATACAATACTGGACAAGCACTTGGAACCTTTATAACAGGTTATTCAGCGGACAGATTTAGTAGAAGGTGGACAATTTGCGCAGCTGGCATTATATGTAAGGGCAAAATAGGCTTTTATTCCATGAACAAGTTCTAACACCCTACAGCAACCATTGGTGCAGCCTTGCAATCTGGGGCCGCAAATGTTGGGATGATGATCGCTGGTAGATTCATTGCCGGTCTTGGTTGTGGGATGATTCTCACAGTCGTTCCCGTATACATCGCTGAAGTGTCGCCGCCCAAACAGCGAGGTATGATTGTGGGACTTCAGGGAATGATGATCTCCATCGGTTTCTTCACAGCAAATTGTGTGTTCAATTCCCCCAAACATACATCGATTACAACTGACAGTAGATTGTAGGGATAGGATATGGAGGGGATTTTGCGACGGGAGACGCACAATGGCGCATTCCGCTTGCTATGCAAATCCCAGGAGCCATTTGTCTCTCCATCGGTTGTTTTTTTATCCCATATAGTCCTCGATGGTGTACGTATAAATTGACTTCCGCTGTTTGTGCCAATGGCTAATAGGAGGCTGTAGTAATCCAGAAGGAGCGTTATGAGGAAGCTAAGAAAAGTATATCAACCAGCTCCTGTAACAGCAATAACCTAGCTAACCTCGAAACAGCTCTACTTGCCCTTTACGGAGATAAAGGAGAAGATTTTCTCAGCCAAGAGTTCTCGCAGATCCACGACCAAATTCAACTCGAGCAGACTGCCAGCCGCACAAAGTTCCTGAAAGCTGCCGGGGAGCTCTTCTCCCGACGTTACATCCGGCGCACCGGCACGGCTTGTTTCATTCTCATGATGGGCCAGTTGAGCGGCTCAACGGTGATCCAGAATTACCAAAACACGTTCTACGCCGCCGTGGGCTTTACTGGGCGGACCGCGCTGCTAATCAGCGGTGTGTACGGTATCATGGGCGTTATAGGCCAAGTAATCTACCTCGTCGCTGTTGCTGATAAGTGGCCGCGCACCCGCACACTCTGGGTTGGCTCATTCTTCCTCTGCGTCATGATATCGATCTGCATGGCTCTGTCCGCACAATTTCCGGCAGGAACAACTAGCATTGCAGGTCCCCGCGCCGCTATCGCGTTCATCTTCATCTACTCCTGCGGCTATGCAGTATTCTTTAACGCCATGGTCTGGGTTGTGCCCTCTGAGCTATTCCCATTTTTTCTCCGCACCAAAGGCCTCGGATTAGCGGTATTTTCGAAGTCCGTCGTTGCTATTGTTTTGGCACAGATCACACCAGTGGCGATTCAGAACGTAGGATGGAGGTACTACGCCCTATTCATTGCGACAAATTTTGCGGCGGCTTTCGTGTACTACTTTTTCCTTCCGGAGACTATGGGGAAATCGCTAGAAGAGATTGCGGAGCTCTTCGGGGATGCGGTCGTGACAGAGCACCAAGGCGACATCGATAATATAGAGAAAGAGAAGGATGTTATTCCTCAGAGCAAGCATGCTGAGACATCGGTCTAAGGAGGAACATAAGTGTGGACTGGCTTCTGTTCGACTTGCAACTTCAACCTATTATCCTCATAGTCGACACATGCCCCTTCGTGCCAGTCTGGATTAAGTCGGCAAGTCTCCGTATTCTAGGAAGTGACAGTTACTTATTGCTCTTATTTCAATGTTGAGAGCGACTTTTATGTAGTTTCTTTGGTATATTTTATCATCAAATAATATATCCATATATATGTTAAAACAAATCTAACTTAACGATTTGAAATGGTCACGTATTTAATGATATCAGTTCTCCTGGTGCAGATTCTCTTAATGGAATGGCTGGTCTCAATATTAGTCTTATAGAACTGTCTGCTCGTGAGTCCGATGAACTCTAGGCTCGGGAAGCTGAGAAGATATCGGGATATGCCTTGGCCCCGGTTATGACACATACTCATCGGACAAAACAATTTATTCCCATACGATATTACTATGGCAAAGTATTCTGTAAGGTCCATGCTGCGCGGTTGACGCTCAACGGGGCAAGAGTGCTTATCTGGCGCCATCTCATTTACCAGGTATAGAGAAAGGGAAGACCATACTTCATCTGCCTCTTCCGAGCCCACTGCCAACATTCGGGGGTTTGCAGGTTGAATCCCCTCATATGCTGATATTTGATAGGCATACGTACGTCGACTCCGGTTCTTGTAAGAGTATTTGGTCCTACCTGAGGCTCAGAACTAGGGAAATGCGGCTCTCTAGGTGCATCAAAGTAATGTAATCGCTTTTCCCAGAGGTCATTAAGATGCAGATAATCTAGTTGCTCCGTGTCCTTGACTAGGTAATCAAGGATGAGCCGAAACTCGCCTGGGCGGCAAAGGTGTACCTCTTCCATCTCTAAGCCGTTGAGCTGCCTCTGGCGTAGAAAAGAAAGGAGTGCAGCCTCAGAAGTCCTAATCCCCCTTAGAGTGCATCGCTTTAAAAGTGGAAATCGACCCGATTGTATAACGCGGTCGAAAAAAAACTGCTCCTCGGACATCGCACGTGATAACTTGGATTAGCATAACCTGAACCAGTGGAGGTGAAGATCTTCGAGTACAGAACTACAATGTTTTAGGAAATTGCAGATAGCCATTGTGTGTCGTTCGCCAGTTATGAGAGCTTGCATTTCGTCGCTTTATTTATCTAGGTCTTTTCCTAGCTTATACACCATATGGTGCGATAGGCTCATCGATAGCCGCTTTAACCGTTGTAATGAAGTGTATAGATCGATTTCTTGAATCGTCACTAGTCGATCAAGAGATAAACTGCAGCATGTGACACCGCTAAAAACGTCAAGAGACTCGATCGGAAGTTCGCTCGCACTAAGTGCATGCATCGTGGCCTCGAAGCAGTCTCCTGCAGTCTCCCAGACTGTCGTCCACTTACTACTGTCTTTTATCCACCTGCACGTTTCAAACTTGATTCCATCTTGAACCACAAGAGACGCACAGATGGTAGGCAGGCACCTGATAAGCCGAGATGTAAGTTCTTCATAGACTGCCCAAGAGCATAGCAGCATCTTCTTGATTGCGAGGTTCTGGAAGGCCAACTAAAGTGTGATGTTTAAGAAGGTAACCGAATCCCTGCCGTTGAGTCACTGACACAGCTCGTTGATGCTGCTCGCTCGCACTCATCGTAACCGTCTTGTTATAGAAGTGGCTTTTGAAAATGCCTTGAGATGACTTCGCATTAACTCCACGCCCTGTTAATCGAAGGCTGCATATGTCAGAGAGTGTGAGTAGAGCGACAATGCTATCTATAATCTCTACCGGCAAGCCATCAAGCCTTGGGCATAAATCCATCGTGATAGGTTAGGCGCTTTTCCAAAGAGAATACTATGGCAAACAGACTGATGGGGTTTTGTCGAGGCGGTTCAGAGTAGTTTGCACATGTAGAAGATCAAACCCAACAGTGGCGTGGATGTTAGTTATCGTGAACGTCAGCTCGTCTAGTTAGGGTGGAGTAGGGGGTCTCGTTGGAGTCTACTGTATGGAAGTCAATATTTGGCTCGTACCCCTCCCTGTACGTACTGTAGATACTGTTGGTTATTTCTCCCTGCTCGATTGGCTAGTATGTAGTAAAAAGCGGGTGGGGATGCATGAGAAGGCTGGCTATGCCATCAGCGAATTATTGGGTATAAATATAGTTACTGAGTGCAGAAAAGTATAATGTGTTTGGTGTGGTCATAACAGCTATATTTCGGGTGTTGTTCAACACATCCACAACCGTCCCCTCAAAATATGTCGATGATAAGACTCGAGGTATTGTTATATTTGGGATGCTGTACTTTGGTGAGACCACTTGATTGATCCGTATGTGATATGATATGTAAGGTAGTTATATTATGGAGCTCCTACTTGTATTTCCGAGTATTTTTATTAAAAAAATGAATGAATATAAACCTTCAAATGATCAACAGTGCCATCGATGCAGAAATATTTAGTTAATAGGTATAGATTTTTTTTAGCAGGTGAGGAAGAAAGAAAGGTCTATATGAATGCAAAAAGGGGCGTTGGGGAATACAGGGACGTGTATACATCTGCGAATGGGACTTCGAAAAGCGAGCGGCGGGACGCACTACGAGCAGACTACGGACATCGACGAGGCTGTGGTGGGGACGGTCTAGTCCAAAATCATTTTCGTTGCATCATCTTCTATCTCTGCCCCTAGCTTTTCCCTCCTACTTGGGCCCTATTATGGCCTACACTCAAACGCCCCAGGGCGTTGGCTTTGATATCCACCACCTCCACCCGACCAATTCGGCCAATGCTAGTTAGTGACTCCTACGACCCCCTTTCTCTATAGACAATATGCCGCGCGTGCGCTAGCTTACCAGTACGATGGCCTCAGACCCGAGAAGTTGCTAGCGAGCGAGTTGTCGCCCGTAGACTCCTTCTTGCGCTGGCCCGTCAACTGTACAATGTCAGCACCAATCTCACACTAGGGAACTGCCTTCGGCACATCTAAACGGAAAAGGGACATACCTCAAGCTGCACAGAACGGTGAATATGCACCAACCAATCCACATAACTCTGCGCCTCATTATTCCGATCCTCAATCAACAACCTCGCAAACTCATACTCCGCCCCATCCAACCCTTGCCTCGCCAACTGTATTGTAAGTGCTTTGCTCCCACGTACCGTACGCAGATACTCCAGGATATTGCGGACCTGCACGTTAAGGTGCGTCTCCAGCACCGGCAGCGAGCTCACGAACGGATTCAGCGCCTTGAGCGTGTCCTTGCCCTCGCCAAACAGGTCAACGAGAAGGTTCGGTGACGTTTGTGCGTGCAGCCAGAGGTAGCAGTTTTGTCCGTTGTCGAGGAGATAGACGCCGCCCGGCTCAACGCGCGAGAAGGATGCGCGGGCCGCCGGAGGCATGCGCAGGTGCGAGGTGGTGGCGTCGGGGAAGCCGTCGGCGGGGTCGAGGTTGTGGATGGGAATCATGCGGGGATAGAGATAGAGGGAGAGCTCGAGGGCGCCCATGGAGCGTAGCATGCGCATATCCTGGACGCGGCGATCGGTGGGTTCGTTGCCGCCCTTGAGAGCGCGCGACTTGACAAGTGCGAGCATGTACATGCTGAACTCCTTGAGGTTCTCCGGCAGGACAAGTTGGCCGGGAGGGTGAGAGCCGGAGAAGTTCTTGCGGTAGCCGGCGAGGATGTCGACGTTCTTCTCGGCGATGCTGGCGCGGATGTCTTTTAGGGTGTTCGTGGCCATCTTTGTCGCAGCTTCCTTGGCAATGAGGTTGTAGACTGCGTCCTGGTCGACGAACTTCATGCAATCCTTTGCGTTGTCACTAACGCTTGCGATGACGTTGCAACAACGCACGCGACGCTCGCCGCTAGCGGTTGTGTAGAGGAGGGCGCTCTGGAAGTGCGCGTCGAGCTTGGAGTCGAGCTTCCCATCGTAGCTGAATAGCACACCCATCGCCTTGTCGGCGTCAATGACACCGAGCTCCACATCCGCTCCAAAGGTGTGATGAATGAAGTTGCCATGATAGGAGGCGACCTGGAGGCCGTTCGAGCAGCGGACCTTCAGTAACGCTTGGTATCCAGTTTCGCGAGTGACCGTGTGCTTAATCTCCTGTGAGAGCTTGGCGGTGTCACGCGGAGCGTGGAAGTTGGGGTAGTAGAATGTTTCTCCGCCCGTCGAAGCGGACACTTGACCTACAGTTTGTTAGCATGCTATTCGCGTCCATAATTCGGAATCCATACCAATAGTAGCAATATCTAAGTAGCCTCCCCCTGGAGCTGCAAGGAAGAAATCGACGCCAATCCCATTTTGAAGCATACTCTCTGCGGTTTTCTTCCACAAAGGGTTTTCTGTCGTCGCAATCTTCTTGTCGGCTTCTCCGCTTGCTATCCTGTTTTCATCGCGAAGGAAGAGACGTCCGGGTCCCCACGTTGGCAAAGCGGCTAGCGAGCATACAATCTTCCCTCCTGTCTTCTCGAGAGCTGCCACAGCGGCGTTCAGCGTTGGGAGCAATGCTGGTTCGGGGTTCTTGATCGTGGAGAAGAGAGTAGGCAGGTGGTTTAGTAATGATGTGATAATGTCCCTGAATAATGTTAGACCTTGCCATCGTGAGTAAGGTTGCTACATACTTGGACTCATAGGGATCTACGAAGAATCCATCGCTGATGGGAACGAAGGGATCATCAACGTCTGGCATGACTATCATTTGGGCTTGCTCAAGAGATGACTATAAATGTCAGCTTATTCGTGATTGGAGTGGAAAAGTATCTTACGTTCACGTTGTAAAAATGAATCTCTTTATCGTATGTCATAAAACCGACCTTGGCTCCAGGAGGGATTGTTCTGTGTGCATTCGGATCTGCCTGTTCGCCTTCACTTGGAGCCTGGACATCCTTGCCGTATAGTGAACTCATAATACCCTCGCAGAAAGCTTCTAGAAATCCCTTGTTGTATGACTCTTGTGTGACATCGATTATAAACAGCCATCTGATGCCTACCGGTGGTTTCGACCAGTATTCTTTAGGGACCATAAACTCCACAGTTCCTCTCATCAACTCAGGCCGTTGTTCTCTGTCAACGCGAGCCCCTTGTGGGTTCGTTGCACAGAAGTATTCTGCCGGGACATCATTGGGATACGTGCACATGTTGCACACGAACTTGTTGCCCCCTTGTCGGAAAACCATAAATGGGTTAATATATGCTCGGCATCTATGGCAGCGGGGAGGGCCAGCTTCGCCAAAGTCCAATACCGGTATCTCGAGCTCGCCAGCCTGCAGCGGTGCCAATGGTTGTAGGACGAGTCCCAAGGGGAGCCCAGTCGATTTTAGACCCTCGGCGCTTGAGGGTATATTATTGACCGAAAGCCGTGTGAATTTCGGAGAGGAGTTGCCTTGGTCGTATGCCACGAAAGGGACCACCGCGGGCGGTGGCAGATGATGCTCGAATGTCGGGTAAACGTTCTCCAGATAATACTGCGCTACAACGTCTCTTGACCTTGGAATGCTGGGAATTTGGTCCGGGTCAACCTTTCCTTGCGCCGAAGCTTGCACTGGGTCACCACTGAATACTGCGTCGCCCAAAGGTCTGGCATTTGGGTCGATCATAGCAGGGTTGGCAGGGTTGAATGGAGCGCTGGCCTGCGCTGGGAATTGAGACATGAGTGGAGTGACTGGTCGGCTCACGTTGTGGCCATGTATTGATGGGTCGGCATTGAGGAAATCGGTCTGCGAGGTGCCAGCGGGCGGGATGCCATTGAACGCAGCGGAAGAGCCACCTGGCGCCTCCAAAGAATGGTATGCATGGCGGTCCTTCTTCTTCTTCCTCCCGTGGGCCGCGGGTTCCTCGAGCCCAAGTCCCCCCATTTGCTGCGCCAGACCACCATCTTGAGGCTGTCCACCTAAATGCTGCGGAGCAAAGCCCTGTCCCTGTCCTTGTGGATATGGCGAGGTCGGACTAAACTGAGTTGGAGGAGAAACGACTTCGTTATATTGCTGGGGTTGCTGGGGTTGCTGGGGCTGTTGGTATTGCTGGAACTGCTGGGGTTGTTGATACTGGTGGCCATCGCCATATCCCGACCCAGCTTGTTGGTAAGGCGACGGCGCAACCGGCGGACGAAACTGATTCGGTGCTTGGTTCGGAGGAACTTCTGGGTGCAATGGATCCTCCCCAGGCCTGCCGGACCCTAATGCGTGGTAGAGCTGGTAATCAGACATCTGGCCATATACCACAATGACGCTTGAATGAAGGAGGGGTTCTGCGTGGACTTGAAAGCGAGGGGGATAACGTCGTAAATCGTAACACTACAGAGCAACAAATTCTCAATTCTTAGAAGCCCCTCGGTGAGTTCATGGCCAAAGTGTCGTGGAGTGGTAGGGAAGTAAATAAAAATTATGGCGGGGAGATCTTGGAAGGGATATCAACACCTGTGCTTTTTGGGGGTACAAAGTACACATTGAGGTTCAACGCTAACATGGCACTACCCCTGTCATATCGATGTCTGGACGCGACGTGCTCGAAAGCTTGTGCAAATGACAGGACTGTCATATAATTTATTGCGCCAACCTCAATAAATTCTATTGTTCGACACCAACGCAGCTCCTCTATTTCACCACAAGGCCGGAATAGGACATTGCGCTGCACTATAAGCGCCTTTATGCGGCAGGATGAAGGGTTAGGAAGTCGGCGTGGATTCTTTACATTGAACCTCCAGAGGTGACATCACACACACAACCTCTTTCGGACCGCCACCCTCATCATGTTCAACTTCACTCCATTGGCAGGCGCTCAGTCTGAGAGCAGCGCATCACAGTCTCTCCTTGAGCTTGATGGTGGCGTGAAAGTCCTCATTGACGTCGGATGGGACGAAACCTTTGACGTAGAGAAGCTCCGGAATCTCGAGAAGCACGTTCCGACAATCTCCATCGTCCTCCTCACCCACGCAACAGTCGCCCATTTAGCAGCGTATGCCCATTGCTGCAAGCATTTCCCGCTGTTTACTCGAATACCGATCTATGCTACAACACCTGTCATCTCGCTCGGGCGCACCCTTCTCCAAGACCTGTATGCATCAACTCCACTCGCATCGACCATCATTCCTTCCTCGTTGCTCTCCGAAACGTCCTATTCGTACTCGAAGCCAGGTTCTGGGGAGGATGATTCACACATACTCCTACAGTCTCCGACCCACGAAGAGATTGCGAACTACTTTTCCCTCATCCACCCATTGAAATACTCGCAACCGCACCAACCGCTTCCGTCACCATTTTCGCCGCCACTCAACGGCCTCACAATTACAGCCTACAATGCAGGACATACGCTAGGTGGGACTATCTGGCACATCCAGCATGGTTTAGAATCGATAGTCTATGCCGTGGACTGGAATCAAGCAAGGGAGAATATTCTGGCAGGTGCGGCATGGCTTGGCGGGGCTGGTGCTGGTGGAGCAGAGGTCATCGAACAACTACGAAAACCTACTGCTCTTATTTGTAGCAGCAAGGGCGCTGAGCGGATAGCTTTGGCTGGGGGGCGGACTAAAAGAGATGAGGCGCTTTTGGATATGATCAAGTCCGCTATCGCCAAGGGAGGAACTGTTCTGATACCGACGGACTCCAGTGCGCGGGTGCTGGAACTGGCATATCTGCTAGAGCACGCATGGCGCAAGGACGCATCAAACCCGGAAAGCCCATTTCAGAATGCGAATCTATATTTATGCAGCAAGAACATCGGGGCAACGATGCGCTATACCAGAAGTATGTTGGAATGGATGGACGATGGGATCATCAGAGAGTTCGAAGCCATTGCCGGCGGTATTGATAGACAGCCGAACAAGCCTTCAGAGCCAAGGCAGGCTGGGGCTGGTCCTTTCGACTTCAAACATGTGCGCCTGATTGAGAGGAAAGGGGGGGTCAGTGCTGTCCTTAACAACGACGCGACAAAGGATGGCAAGCCGATGGCCAAAGTTATTCTTGCAAGTGACAGGTCACTGGATTGGGGATTTTCGAAAGATATTTTGCGAAATATAGCTGCTGATAGCCGCAACCTGGTTATTTTGACGGAGAAAATGAGTAAGCTGCCTGACGGGGGACGAAGCTCGGGAGTTTCGAGGACGTTATGGTCTTGGTGGGATGAGAGGAAGGATGGTGTTGCGCTCGAGCAAGGCTCAACAGGAGATAGCTTGGAGCAGGTATATGGGGGTGGGCGAGAGTTGACGCTTACGGATGTAAAGCGAGAGGCATTGGAGGGAAATGAATTGCTATCATACCAACAATGGCTTGCCACTCAGCGTCAGTTACAAACGATAACTCAACCAGGAGGACCAACCGCCTTAGACACATCTGCAGACGCAGTTGATGATGCTTCATCTGTGTCATCATCAGATAGTGAAGAATCTGAAACAGAGCAGCAAGGAAAGGCTCTCAATATCTCCACCGCGTTAGGTCAAGCCGGAAGGAAGAAGATGGGCCTCAGCGATGAAGACCTGGGCATCAACATTCTCTTGCGTCGGAAAGGCGTTCACGATTACGACGTACGAGGCAAGAAGGGCCGTGAGAAGATGTTCCCGCTGGTTATTCGACGCAGACGAGCAGACGAATTTGGAGACTTGATTCGACCTGAGGAATATCTCAGAGCCGAAGAGCGAGATGAAGCTGAGGCACAAGATTCGCGCCAATCTGGCAAGTACGATACCCAGGACACGCTTGGAAAGAAGCGTAGGTGGGACGACGTAGTTACCAAAGCGGACCGACGACCGTCAGATAGCGCAAACAAACGACAGCAGACCGGCTTCAATGATAGTGGGGATATTCCTGCAATCAACGACGGCGGATTTGCCAATGGCGTTTTTGATGAAGACGCTATTGAAGATGAGCTTGATGTTGTTGGACCTGCGAAAGCTATTTTCTCAACAGAATCAATCACCGTTAACTTGCGCCTGGCGTTCGTCGATTTTGAAGGGCTACACGACAAGCGAAGTCTTCACATGCTGATACCCCTTATCCAGCCAAGAAAGTTGATCCTGGTGTCGGGGTTGAAGGATGAGACTTTGGCTCTGGCACTTGACTGCCGTCGATTACTAGGAGGCGGAGGAGATAAGCAGGTTGATGTGTATACTCCGGAGGTTGGCGCAACTATTGATGCAAGCGTCGATACTAATGCATGGGCTGTTAAGCTCACACATAGCCTTGTCAAGCAGCTTCGATGGCAGAAGGTCAAAGGCCTCGGCATTGTGACACTGAGCGGGCGTTTAGCTGCTGCTTTACCATCATCTACCGAATCAATTGATGGGAGCGAAGGAAACGCAAACAAGAAGCAGAAAATAGATTCGGACAAGGATTCGGAAGAAGTACCAGACAACGAATCCCAGGCGCTTCAAACCATCCCAGAACCCGAGAAAGCGTCTATGCCAGTCTTGGATACCTTACCAACGAGCATGGCATCAGCGACTCGATCTGTAGCTCAGCCGCTACATGTTGGTGATCTCCGGCTTGCTGACTTGAGGAAAATAATGCTCTCCGCCGGATACACGGCTGAATTCAGGGGTGAAGGAACACTCTTGATTGATGGCTGCGTTGCTGTCCGCAAACTAGGAACGGGAGCGATCGAAGTCGAGAGTGCTGGGATAGGACAGACTGGTATACCTCAACAGCGAAATACCTTTTACGCAGTTAAAATGAAGATTTACGAAGGCCTTGCGGTTGTGGCCGGCGGCTAGGAGAGCCAAGAGAGTCATTATGACAGCTGGAGCCGATGATAACCTCTGAACGGCTTGTATCATCACTAATTATTGCCGCTTAGCGAGCATTGTTTAAAATACGCTGTACAACTTCAAAACCCACTGGTTTGGTTTCGCCATTGCCTCGAGTGAACACTGCAACATTCCACAAGCCATCACGTGAATAATCATCCTATCATTGTTTGTCTCCAGAACTGATTCGGAGCTGCGACTATGAATATCCAGTCTGTCATTCACCATTTGCTAGTACGATGGCCACGTATGCTTGTCACATTGAATCACTGCAGCCTACTATATCTTGACGACGAAAGCCAGCTGGGATTTGAGAATTTCATTCCTTCACATCGACATACTAAAATCACAGCCCACCCAACAAGAGACTAAGTTATAATACCATTTATTATCTCACACCTGCTCATTCCAGGGTTCTCATATACCCTATCCCTATATTTCTTACTCAACAATCATTCCCCCCGATATCGGCGACGAAAGGGAGTACGAGGCATGGCGGATTGGGGATACAACCCGCCTCACGGCTGGGCCCAGGGCCCATGGGATAGTTTCGATGGCTTCTTTTATCAAGATCCCAGCGGCTGGGCACCCGCAGCTCATGGCTTCTTCCCCGCGCCGCCCGGATTTGGCTGGTACGAACTCCCAGGTGATGGGATGGGCGGCTATTTCGGTGATTTCACAGGCGGCTTGTCACTTGGGGGATATGGCGGCATGTGCGGCACGATGCCTTGCGACATTGGTGGCATGGGCGGTATCATGGGATACCCCGGCCTCCCGAACTTAGGTGTCGGTGGCGGTGGGCAATCGTGGCAACAACTCGGGCTCCCTGTGGACGACGGCGGAATCCCTGGGGTCAACATCAAGAATTCCACGGACGGCATCGGACTCGAGCCGGGATACAATTACATCTTCGCCAAAGAGCATTGCAAGATCCACGTCATCAAAAGCGCGACAGCGCCCTGGCAAAACGAGGGGAATGAAACGTTCAACTACACAGCGCATGTGGTTCCGACTTGTGTGACGCTCAAGACTCTGCTCCAGCAGTTCGGATGCGACAATGAAGATCCAGGGAAGAATGTTCTCCATGAAGTTGTTCCTGGGGGAGGAGGGAAGTGGTATCGTGGGCTGACGATTAAGGGGGACAATGGAGATCTAATGAAGAAGAAGGTCAGCGAGATGGGGTGGGATGAGAAGAGAGATGGGAAGAAGGGAGAAGTGGTGTGGGTCTATTTCACGAAGGATTAGAATGTTGTTACGTGGGAGGAGTCTTGTTGGCTAATTGGGGCAGTTTGGATGCATGTTGGACAATGATGGACGCCGCTCTTGAAGCGTTCTGCGAGATTTGATTGTGTTGCATAATTTATTCTTCCAGAAATCAATTTACAGTATGGTTGTCGAATACACCTGTTCGAACACATCCATCAACAATAACTAAGTGCTGAATTTCCCGTTAATCTGAACCTTTGCATCCTCAAATGAACCTGCAACCTAACACCGCAAGCCATGCCACCTGTGCCAACTTAAAAGGTATACCACACATCCATTTCCCCTCCGCAACGCCATATAATAGCCACAACCTGACTTTGAACAATGGAAATACTATATACAATAGTGTACAATATGCATACCACTCAGTAATACTGTCCCAGACCTCCACCCCCCCTCCCCTGTCCTTGTGGCCCAGATGGCACGCGACCATATTCGCCCTGCTTCATCCTTTGACCCTCAGTCTGCTGCTTTTGATATGCCGTTGGTAGTGATGGGAAGTCTTCGTATGTGATTCCTGCGGCATGGCCCTGTTGCACTTGACTTCCAACGTCATCTAGGCTGCGGTAGTTGTGACCGCCTCTTCCCCTTCCTCGTCCAGGAGCAGGTGCAGCACCTCTTCCACCTCTTCCTCCGCCTCGCCCTTGCTGGTGACGCGGTTGATTAAAGCCGCCCCTCCCACCTCTACCCCCTCCATCACGGTGGTCATTTCTGTGTCCACCACGCCCACTGGGACCCCTTGGCACCCCATCGTCTTCAATATGTTTTCGCTTGTAGGACTTATTCGGGAACAGGCTCTCGTACTCGCCCTCTTGTTTGTCCTCCTCTTCGACGCGTAACAGTACCTTCTCTCCAACTGTGGTCTCAAAAATAAACTGCTTCTCTGGTGGCACTGGTTGCCAGTTTTGTATCTTCGCAGCATCTATTGGACGGGCGCCCTTGCGCAACGCCAACACAACAATAGGTACTGGGTTCTCAGTGTAGAACTTCGAGGACTGCGGTACGGGACGCACAGAACACGCCCAGACCTTTGACTCAAAACTAGCTGTGCCCGTCACTTCCCAGAGAAGCTTGTTTCCAATGCCACCCACTTTGTCCAGAATCGAATTTGGCGCCGGCCGCGGCGTGATGAGTATGTTGTTCGCCAGGTACTTGAGTTCGCTCTCGGGCATGTTTTGCGGAGGGTGAACCAGGCTCAGTAGTTTCTGCGTGTCAGGCTGTGTAATCAGGTAACCGGTGTAGAAAACTGTTTTCTTGATGCACAGCCGTTTTGACCGCACTGTGGCCGTGTCTTTGGTCACGGCACCGTTGTGGTCGTTAATTATCCGCTGGATCTCACTGGCCTCTATGACTGGATCTAGAAGCGTCGCACTATCTGCGACTTGAATAACCTCTGCTGTTATGGGACCGCGTGTTGGATATCCGCCAATGCCGTTTTGACGTTTATTGTAGTCCATGAAGAAATCCCTGAAGCCTTTAACATGCTTCACTCGGTCCTCGTAGATGCGTATCTCGTCGGCCACTTTATATGTCTCCATCAGCGTCTCAAGGAAGGCTTGCTTGAACAGCATCGTGCTACCAAATCGTTGGTTGTTCGGCCCTGCTTTGGGCTTCAGTACGACCATGTCAAATGCCAATTCTCTGCTCGCCACCATCCTATTTATCAACTCCGCAAAGCCATGTTCTGAGCGCCCGGTGAGGAGAACGGTGAGTGCATCCTCTTGCTGCATGCTCAATTGTATCAGCTGTACGATCTGTTCGTTCCACCAACCCGCCCACCCACGCTTCTCTTCGAGGTCGGCTCCTTCGCCTGTTGCTGCGAGGATGCGCACATCGTGCCACCATCCTCCAGTCGCAAAGACATCCTGGGTCTGAAAGAGGCCAATCGTCGGTCCGTTCCATATCTTCGGGTTCGGTAGAGGGGAGTTGAAGACTATGAGCTGTCAGTATTCGTCAATGGGCTGGGCGCAAATCGAGGGTCTTACGGGTATTGTCAAAGTCGTAGACGTGGATCGTCTTGATTTTATCCACCGCTACAACAGTTAGTTTGTATAGCCAAAGGCAGGATGGGAAGACCTACAAGGCAGCTGTTTGTCCGCCACAGACCAGCGGTTGAGGGCAGTAGTGGTATGGATTGTTTGCGAAGGGGCCTGCTGGCTCTTGTTGCCCCAAGAATGATGCATGCTTCCCGTGGCCATTGTGGCGCCTCGTGTATGCGTCAAACAATTGGGTCTGGTGCCTGAAGCAGATGAACTCGAGGACCGAAGCTGCAACCTTGTTTGATCGTTGTTGGTGGTGAGGCGTGGGGTGGGAGGCGCGAGGCTGACAATTCTCGACGCAAGGTTCGCTTGGGCCCGGAAAAGTTGGGGAAGCCCGTGAAGCCCATCGGAAACACCAATTTGGGCCAATGGTAGAGGAGCTCTAATAACCATCCGGACGCTGAGGAGGCCAAGTTCAGACCTGCATAATAATAATTATAATATCCGAATCTTTATGGTCTATGAATTTCTATGAATTCGTGAGGTTTAATTAGGAAAAGAATGTCGACCGGGTTACCAAGACAAGCTATCCGTCTTCTACGGACCGTGACGTATCCAGAGACTTCGTCAATACTCCTCCAAGTTCACGTGAAGACGGGGGTTAAGCCACCAAAGGAAGATTCTATACTCTCTGTTGAAGAAGATCAGATTAAGCTTCAAGTCCAATCCCCAGGAGTCAATGATCGAGCCAACACAGCCGTCAAATTGCTCCTAAGCAAGGTAAATTCCCAGAGATTGCTACCCAAGACGGAGGGTAATGCATAATACAATTATCATTTGATCTAACGTCTCGGCCCAGGTTCTAAATGTCCCTAAAACAAATATCAACATCGTCCGAGGCGATAAGGCACACTACAAGAGCCTCTCGGTCACCGATTACAACACCAGATGTGAGGACGATACGGAAGAACTCTCGCTCATCAAGGCGTTGCTTCTTAAAAACGCAGTTATATCCAATTCCATACCAACGCCGCCTCCCCCGCCCAAGCCCCTAGGCAAAACATCAAAGCGTTAGAACTCCATAGCCTCCGGCGCAGCAACGCCCTCTTCTCTCTCACGCTTAACCTTAACCTCCTTCTCACTCTCCTTTTCATCCCTGATGATCCCAGCCACGAACGTCCGGAAGTAGTCAATATACGGCTTGAGAGAAGTCTTCTCCCAGTCCTGGACGTTCCTCCCCCCGACCTCCTCCGGGCCTGTCCATTTATCGATTTCGCCAAGCAACTCTGTCACAGTAGGCACGGCTAGCGGGTCAAACGCCTCGAGCTTTCTCGTATCTATAGGCACACAAACTCGCCCAGTGCCCGGATGAACGACGAACGGACTCTTCAGCAAATGGTTTAGCTTCTTGCTGACCTCGATATCGAGACGTGGATACGTATACTCGAGAACGATATCCTGTTTGGCCTCCAGGAGCGCTTTCGTATCCAGGGATTTACTGGCTCCAGACTTGGCCAAGGCATCGATATCGGCCCATTTGGAAGCCGAGGAGCGGCCAGGCGCAGAATCCCACTTCTTGCGCAGGGATTCGTTGAGAGTCCTATCGGGGAGTAATTGTAGCAGGCGGTCGGCCTTCTCTTGAGTGGCCCAAGGATCTTGGTCTTCCAGGATATCAGCCTGGAAGTGCGATTTAAGCGTTTCTAAACTCCGGCTGGAGGTATATTAGATTTTGAATATAATGATAGCAGAAATTCATAGGGGGATAAACTTACGCAAGATGCGGGTGCAATGGCCTCTTGACATTAACTTTCTTCCCGCTCTGTGCACCTCCCTTAATAACCTCGAGGTACCCCGCGATCGCCCTCCTCTTACTGTCATCCATCGTCCTAGCCTTCTTATCACAAACCCATGCGTGAGCTCCACGACGCCCAGAATACACCCACATAATATGCTTAAACCCAAAGTCGTCCCTCAACGCCACATCCACGACCTTGATCGCCATCGTGATGAACTGCCAGCACCGAATACAGATATTCGCCTTGTCGCAGCACGTCCTAACATCATCGTAATCCGTCAAATCGATATCGAAACACAGCTCCTTCGCGATCGGCTTAAACGCCGTCGATCCCCGCAGTGTCTTCCTATCTCGCGGGTTCGTCGAATATACCGGCCCAATCTCAAAACGAGACGGCATCAGGCGCAGTACGTCGCGTCGCAGCAGTTCGGAATTCGGAAAGCTCTGATAACGCAGGTAGGCATCATTGGACAGGGTGAATGCGAATTCGCGGTGCGCGAAGTCGTTGCTGGGCATCGGGCTGTGGTTCAGCCACTGGAACAGGGGGCGCCAGGGGAACAGGCGCTGGTAGAACGAGCGCATGACTTCTGGGTCCGAAGCTCGCGCGCTGGGACCGATATTTATAGGTGACGGGGCATCTTGAGGCGACGGGCTGACTTTGGTGTCTGGGGCGGCAGAGCTGGGGAATTCCTCGTCGGACGACATGTCGTCGAAGATGTTTTCGAGGTTAATTTCTTGTTTTACTTTCGCTGGACTCGGGTCTGGCTTGATATTTTCTTGTGCTGGAGTTGGCTCGTCCATTTCGTCTGAGTCGTCGGTCTTAACAAGTTTCGTTTCTTCGCCATCGATGTTGCCCATCTCCTCGTCTTCCTTGGTCGGCACTGAGGCCTCGGTATTTTGGACGTCCACCGCTTCTTCCATGGTTTCGTCCCCCGTGGTTCCAGTAGGTTGCAAGTCGGGAGTGACAGAATGGGGCATACTGGTGTGATATAAGAATTTCACTCTTGGAAGTTGCTTGTGTTTACTGCGGGGTTGGCATATAAATTTATGGAAGTTCGTCAAGTGGAGACGCGTGTGGATGAAGCGTGGGATACGCGACGCGTAAATTGAAATCGCAGCCTTGTCAGCCTTGTGCCGTCTTAGAAATCTATGTGAGAACGTTCGAAGATTCCCCAACAATTACAGTACTTCACAAATATGAATATCCAGAATATTAAATGCACAGATTATAATAGATAAAGTCGCTCATTTATTGCTCTCCAAAAATAACCACTATCCTAAACATCATCAGAAGAAGCCGCTCATTTCGTCTCAACCTCAGTCTTCGTAGCTATAGATAAATGGAAAATAGTGTAGGAGTGCTGCTATTTTGTGGCCTGGCAGTGGCATCATCGGTCAGAACCCTCATCTGGAAGGTTCGTATTATAGTCTTCAGGAGCTATTCCAAAGAGATTTTTGGGTTTTGGTGGTACGAATCCGGTGGCAGAGTTCAAGGGCGACACATTGGACGCGTTTCTTAATCCAAATAGATTAGTTGGTGGAGATCCAAAAAGAGTTCCGGCATTTGATGGTGTGGCAGTGGTGGCAGCATTAGATGGTGAAACACTGGGCTCGTTCCTAAATCCAAAAGGATTAGACGATGAGGATTGTGCCGGTACGCCCGCATCGGGGGCTCTGGAAGTAGACCCAAAGAGAGAATGCGAGCTGGGAGCCGGAGTCGAGCGGGCTCCAAGCAAACCGAATGGTGATGTCGATCCCGTATTTGTGCTTGGGGGTGCAGCTCTACTAGCATCAAAGCCAGAAGTGGACGAAGACTGAGGTGGTGAAAACATCGTAAATCCGCTGCTAGTGGGCATGTTCGTGCGAGCTGCGGGTCCAGAAGTTGGAAAGAATGAGCCGGGGTTGGTTGTTGATGAGCTTGAGGCTAGCCTTTGACCAAAGATACCTCCGGCACTGGTCGATCTTGCCGTTAGGGATGGAAGAGGGGAGGCGAGCGGGGAGACCCTGCCAAAGATTGGGTTTGACCCCTGGCTTATAGATCCGGTACCGTCGCCGGTATCATTTTGGGGTGCAGCGTTCGATGCCCCGGCTTCAGACGAGCTACCCGCAGGTGTCGTTATAGCGGGAGACGCAGCAGTGGAGGCGGGCGTATTAGGTGCAGCCGCCGAATTATGGCTAACGGTAGGTTCGGTCTGGTTCATATTAGCTAAATATGTTAGGCCAGTCTCCGCCGTAATACTTACAGAAACTGGAGCCTGTGGGGGGCTTGAGTTCGCCGATAGGGGTGCAGTAGCTGATGCTTGTGGAGATAAAATATTAGTACCACTGGAATCAAGTCCACCGCCTTGGGCAGATGACGAAGAGGCTCCTGTTGTCGTTGGATTTGTCGAAGCTGAAGCAGCAACACCCACAAAGTGACTAAACGGACCGCTAGTGCCGAAGGCTGTTCTCGGTGTACCAAACGGAACGCTACTGTTGCCAAAGCCACCCGTCCCAAACCCTTGTGTTGGCGTCTGGCCGAAGCCAGCTCCCTTCAGCCACGGTCCCCCCCAATCCATGGTATCACCGGGGCGGCCGAAGGTGTCGTGTGGAGGGCCACCGGTAGTATCATCGTATCCTAACGTTCTCGTGGTATACCCAGTGTTTGGAAGATACGTTGTATATCTTATTTCACCAGATGATCCAACAGTTGTGCCGCCATCTCCCGATCCAGTGCTCTCAGAACCACCACCACTAGAACGTGCCGAATTTTGGGGTTTCGTAACAAACGTTTGCCTCGTTGGAGCCCTGGCGTTTAGTATGAACCTTCGAGTCTCACTCACCGCTGGACAGTCCTCTGGCCGATGTTTGGCATCATGGACATGGTAATCACAGGCTCCATTCACCTTTGGCTTGTGGGCAAGAGACACGTCCACACCAAGGCGGAGTCTCTTGAAGATGTCTTCAAGGAAGGACGGCCATTGTTCTACCAAGTCCATATTCCTATCAATCTGACCAGCAGCATTAATTTGCGATATAGTTGCATAGGCTGCGAACTTGCGACAAGGGGACTCTGGATGCGCCCGCTCGTAGATGAGTTCTATATGCTCCGTGGGCATTGGGCGGGGTGCCAGGAAACTCTCGCCTTGTATGTAGGTACTCATAGCGATGTTGAAAAGGTTCGTCCAGCATATTGTCTCTGCGAACAAGCAAAGGCGGAGAAGCGCCAGTTGGTGGGCTTCCTCGGACTCCATAATCGGTTCGATCGGTGAACAGTAAGGGATGCCGTCGATTCGACCAGGCGAAACTGGAAAGGGCTGAGGTATGACAGCATTTTCTGGCGATGGTCGTGAAAAATCTGAGAAGCGATGGTTGAGAGCGTAGTCTTCTAATCGAAGCTCCTCTGGGGAATATTGATTATAATCTGTCTGGGTGCCAATGTGGTCGAATCGATCTCGCATATTATTATTTCCCTGTGGCTGCACGAATATTGTTGCTGATACCTCCTCATGCGCTCGATATGCAACGCTGCCTGTCCCACGATTTGGTGGGAGGGCAGCATTTCCTAACTTGGTTGCTCCCACAAATATACCTCTGGGAAACTCGTCGAAAGGTCCTGGTCCATATCCTAAAACAGGGATCTGATTTTGATACAGCCAGCCGATTAAAAGGTCAAAGGCATCTGGACTATCCTCTGGTAGGCGGATCGTCTGCTCATCGGCCTCCTTGAATTTGCCATTTAGAGCCTTTTCAAAATACTCCGACTGCGATGTAAGGAGTGTCTTGTGAACAGAGTAACGCTTCTCTCTAGGTCCGACGTATACTGTCACAATGTCACTGCCCATGAGCCTAGATAGCATTAGTATAATATGATGAAATTTGGGGCCACATACTGTGCAAGATTCGGGAAGCCTGCCATGACCAGGATTTCAGGGTCCAAAGACCGATCTAGCTAGGATAATATGATATGATCTGATGATTTTGATGAAACGACTTGTAGTACGGATCGACCATCCAGCACGCCGCGCACGTGGAAATGTCCAGATTGATAACCAAAACGACTGAAGTTGTTTGCTCCAGGTAAAGTTATTAGGTCACAACAGGCAGCAGAAAGTTTGTCACAACAAACGCTGCCAACAGGCAAGCGATTGGTCGCAACACCAGCGCAAACTGTCTCACAATCACTAACAAAGAATCCCTTCAAAAAGGTGAAAATTAAAGCATAATTCTTCCTATTGATGTCAACCCAACTGCAATGGTCGTTAAATTGTATGGATCATCGAAATGTTATGATTCGAAACTGAGCTGGACATTCTTAAGATTGATGGTGGTGGCGGTCCAGGCAGCAACAAGGTTAACGACAGGGGGCTGACGAGGCTGAAAAATGTGCCTGTTCATACGTCAATGTGCCTGTCAGCCTCGTAGTCCCACCGCCAGCCTTAGTTGTTTTGGTAAAGGATTGTTGACCCCACAAAACTTGGAATACATCACAGAGACCAATGTGTTAATTTTGAATATAGGCACAGGTAAAGTATTTGGTTCATGCTATGGATATGATTTTAGTTCGTTCCGGCGGTGGATTGTGGCTGATGTTGGATTGTTGGAACGTGTCTGAAGTAGGTTAAGCGCGTGCATATTCCAACACCCAGGTTCCATTCCCAGCGGCCCGCAGCACAGGGGTTGGTTCGTCCCGTTTCATGCCCCAGCGTCGGCTGAGGTTTACCTCATAATTAGCTCTACTAGCATGCTAGGAAGCTGCGGAGTGGTTCGGAGATGAAGCGTATGAAGCAAGGTCCGATGCAGCTCAGCCTGGCCCGGCGCCAAAAACAAAACAATGCCACCGATCCAACCCATCATCTTTCCAGACGTGGTGTATAAATGAAGATTCATGTCCCATAGAATTTCCACAGTTCTTAACCAGCGAAACATTTGCACTACCTGCTACTGTAGAGAGATACACAAGTAGTTACTTGAGCTTCCAGCGTCTATTTTCTTTGTCTTTGTTAGCACTGCTTCTAAATTCTTTCACTTGTTGTTGTACTATATTCTGCTCCCAGTTCACAACTTTCCTCAAGATCAGTCACGACTCGTTTGCTATCATACTCTGGAATTCACCATGACGGATTCCGCAGATATGGAGCTACCATCTTTGAAAGCACTGCAGACTGGAGAACAAATGGAGCTTCTCAACATCGTCGATTCTCTTCGTGCTGAAGGCCTTGGCGAGATTACAGCTCTTCCACAACTGATTGTATGCGGAGATCAATCCAGTGGCAAGAGCTCTGTGCTAGAGGCCATTTCTGGTATTCCGTTTCCTAGAAAGGAAAACACCTGCACTCGATTCGCAACCGAAGTCATACTTCGCCGGTCGCCAGAGAGCAGGATATCAGTGTCTGTCGTCCCTTCCAGAGACCGAGAACAAGCCGATCGAGAGAAGTTGTTGAAGTTTCGTCACCAACTAAGCACACCAGACGACTTTCCTGACTTGTTTGACAAAGCGAAGGATGCCATGCTCAATGTCCCGGGAAAGTCATTCTCAAAAGATATCTTGAGAATCGAGTTCTGTGGACCATCTCAACCGCAGCTGACACTCGTCGATCTTCCTGGCCTCATTCACTCACACATCGAAGCTGAACAACAAACACCGGAAGACGTCAAACTTGTCACTGAATTAGTATCGGATTATTTGAAAAGTCCTCGAAGCATCATTCTCGCTATCGTATCTGCCAAGTACGACATCAACGTCCAGGTTATTCTCAATCGAGCTCGAGAGGTCGATCCCCAAGGAATTCGAACCCTAGGCATCATCACCAAGCCTGATACGCTCGTAAAAGGATCAGAATCAGAAGACTCATTTGTTAAATTAGCCAGAAACGAACGAGTCAAGTTTCGACTGGGCTGGCATGTTGTTAAAAACCTTGACTCTGCACATAAGGAATCCCTGGAATCTACACTCGAGACTCGAAACACTGAAGAGAAAGCATTCTTCAAGGGTAGCAATTTCAAGAGTTTACCATCGCAGAACGTAGGCATTGAATCACTGCGTACTCAGTTAAGCAAGATCCTCTTCAACCAGATTCGACTTGAGTTGCCCCGCCTCGTGGATGATATCGAGCAGCGGATCCTTACTGCCAGAGCTTCAAAGGACAAACTTGGACCTAGCCGCACTTCGATTGACGACCAGCGTTCATTCCTGATACAATTAAGTCAAACCTTTCAGACAATTTGCCAAGCGGCCGTTCGGGGCGATTATGACAATGATTTCTTCCATAGTGATGAACTGCGGGAGAAACGACTTTTCCAAAGTGATGAATTGTCTGAGAAACGTCTTTGCGCCATTTTGATGGACAAACACTTTGGGTTTGCTGATAACCTGCTGAAAAAGGGTTGTCAATGGACAATCGGGGAACGATCATTCGATACCGTTGGATTTACATTCGATACTAAACGTCGAACCCGTGAGGAGGCCATAGCAGATGCCTGTAGATTGTTAAAGAGAAGCCGTGGAAGAGAGGTGAAAGCTCCCCTACTTTATGCCCAGAAGCAATCCTATGTAGATTCGAATGCTAACAAATTTGGATATAGCTGCCTGGTCTTCCGAATCCACTCTTGGTGGGAGAACTTTTCCGTGAATATAGCCGCCCATGGGATACACTTGCTCGGATGCATATCAAGAATACCTGGGAAATTACGAACAGATTTCTTGACCTTGTGCTCCAGCACCTGACCGATGATGATGTTCGCGAAAAGATCTTGCGTCTGTGGCTTGAACCCGTCATGGCGCAAAAGCTAGAGACGGCATACGGCAAACTGGACGAACTTCTTGAGGTTCATAAGGAGCATCCCTTCACCACCAATCACCACTTCATGGATAACAGGAAGAAGCTTCAGCAGAAGGATACAAAGGATGAGATACAACAAAAACTGCTAGGTGTTGTAAAAGCCGGCCAAAAGCTATCAGTGGAGGACATCACTCTACTCGTAATGAATTTGAAACCCGAGGTGAAGGCTGATATGGACACGATTGCTGCCGAAGATGCCTTTGACAACATGATGGCCTATTACGAGGTTAATATAACAGTTTGCACAACATCACTACGTAGTTTGCTAACATGGTGCAGGTTGCAATGAAGTTATTCATGGACAATGTGCCAACCTTGGCCATCCAAGCGCCAATTGTTCGAAAACTAGATGAGGTCCTGTGCCCAACCGCAGTTTTCCGCATGCCACCAGATCTCGTGGCGAAAATAGCCGGAGAATCCGAGGAGAAGATGCAAGAGCGCGAGGAAATTCTTTCAAAGTTAAGCACCTTGGAAACCGGGGCTCAGATATGCAGACAGTACGCTATGCGTCCTCAGTCCTGTGAGTATATCTTTGTCTTGTATGGGCGAGATTATGAGACTAATATCCTAGTCGCAACTGCTCCGTTGAACCCGCCATTTAAAGAATCGGCCGTTTCTTCAAGCACCTCTTCTAGAACCGGCCTCTTTGGAGGTGGAACGCCATCCAAAGGCCTTTCCACCAATTCTGCATCTGGCGATCCTCCAAGTGCCTCTTCTGGAACCGGCCTCTTTGGAGGTGGAACGCCATCTAAAGGCCTTTCTACCAATTCTGCATCTGGCGATCCTCCAAGTGCCTCTTCTGGAACCGGCCTCTTTGGAGGTGGAACGCCATCCAAAGGTCTTTCCAGCAATGCTGGATTTGGCGCTTCTTTAGGCTTAACCCCTGAAACCGGTCTCTTTGGGTCAGCCGCTAGGCCGCCATCATCATCTCAGACTTCACAGACCGGTTTTGGCGGTTTTGGCCCTAGTGGAATCTCTCCAAAACCGAGTTCATCCGTGCTTTCTACCGAAGCGAACGCGCCAAAATCCTATGCAACAAACTTTTTTGAGCAGTCAACTTCAGAAAACGCCGAGTTAGTTCCTATAACTTAATCCGTGTAATTAAACTGGCCTCAGGGTGCTAATCATTTCCAGGCAGAGCGGAAAACGAAAATAAGCCTTTGCCTTGGCAGCCCATTTTGCCCATACGGTTTACCATGGACGCGTCCAATGGCCGACATGAGTTTGAAAATGGACATGGACCTACACCTCACCCCACGTTGCTTCAACACATCTCAGCGATGCCGCAGTGTATAAACTATTCAGCTGAGGTAAGGGCTACCCGTTACTTTTTGTGTTTGTGCTTATTTGGCATCTATAGGAGCTGAGGCTGTCTGATCTCGCGCACATGGCTAGGTAGGATGAACTTACTGATGTGATCAATCGAATTCATTTGAAGAAGAGATGAATAAGAACTTCGAGTTGTCGGGTTGCTTTTTAACTATGCTGTTGTGTTTTTCCAATTCTGAAGGCTTGTTTGCTAGTAGTTACTGAGGTGATAAATCGGAATAGCTGTTCGTATATGGAGAAGTTTGGCTGGGGCTGAAAGTTGTCAGATCAACGGTTAGCTGTAGGTTAGCTGTAGTCCTTTTTTTGGCCAATATATAGGGCTCGTTTGCTTCGTATGTAGACTTTATTTAATAATGTGGCGATTCTGTGCTTCATCTTGGTTGTTTTTTGTAGTTCGTTAGGTTTATTTTTCTTGGTAACATATATTAAAATAAACTAAAAATACAATACACCTGAGACAGTTAAATCTCAGGAAACTAAATAACGATACAGGCAATGTCATTAGCCATCAGCTTTAACTAATGATATATCCCAGTGTTTATTTTCCTGTCGTTCATTACGTCACGCTGGACTGCTGCGGTGCCTGTGAGCAAGTTTTTGTTGCCATGCCCGTAGCTCGTACATCAGCTAGCTCGTACATCAGTTAGAAATCTGGTTCTTTTGCCATGTCAATTTTTGCAATTTATTTTATCAATAACCAATATTTGAATCGCTGGTTACTAAATACTATAGTAACGACTAAGCTACGTAAAGAGCGAATGTTCGTGAATTTCGTTATGGGAGCCGCCTACATTCTATAACATGTAAGCGGCTCCAAAACAAGAAAGGCAGACAGTAGCTGATGGTGCTCTATCCATATTCGCACCAAACTCATATATACATTTCGTGTGCCAGACCTATCCTCCTGGTCAACGTCCTGCTCACATCACAGAGCACTTAGACCCATAAACAGCCTGCTGGCATTGGGACAAATAGCCCATCTCCTCCTCCCCACCGCTCGGTCCTGCGCCCTGAATAATATTCCGCACGCCAACGACCTTCAGCCACTGCTCACCCTCATTGTGCCACCACTTCAGCTTCTGCGTCATCCCACCATCCTCGTCGAAATGGCCGATACTCCACTTTCCTCCGCTCACCTCGACCACGCACTTATCACTCGGAAAGTGGAATTCGGGCAGGAGAACCTCGGTTGGCGTATCCTCTGCCGTCGCACTGTCGGCAGTAAGGCGCATAGTGAAGGTGTAGTTCCGCAGGTCGAAGCCCGACTGAAGAAGCTTTCCGGCTGTGGCGATGGGGGAGGGTCGGACGTAGGCTTCTGCGGCGCGGTAACCGGGCGCAGCAGTGAGTTCAGGGGCGTTTGAGGGAACGGAGGAAATTGATGGTGTCTTTAAGTTGTCTTTTAGGTTCCGGGAGTTGATATATGAGTCGCCGAGGGTAGCGGATGATGCATTGACAATGGAGGCATTGGAGGCGGAGACGGGGAGGGCAGATTGAGGGAGGAGACGATCATCCAGGGAGAAGACGGAGAAATCTTCGCCGTTCCATTGGTCGCCGAGGGCATGTGTGTTCTAGTGGTTGTCAGTGAATTGTTAGGCGCAAAGATACAAAGAGGGGCTCACATTGCACATGTAAACCCACAGGGTATAGCCAGCCATCATACTTCCCTCCACAGCGAAGTGATTCGCATCCAATGCACCCGACTGGCTCGAGTAATCACCTGTTTTATACGCATACTTATCGTCCATGTCGTAAGGGATGCCGAATTCGGTCATGACACATGGGTGATTGCCCATATTATCTAAACCTTCCTTCTTCATAGCTGACATTTGATCTCTGAAACAGTTGCGGATTGCTGTCTCGCCAACTTTGATCGCAAAGGCCGGGCTCAGGTACCGGCCACGGAGAATTCCCAAAACATCAACGTTCCAGAAGCGATTCCACTTCTTCGTCATCAACGTGATACCGTCATAGTAATGAGGAGCGTAAACCATTTTTGGGTCATCATCCACCGTTCCCTTAATAGTCGGTGGAATTTCGAGAGTTGGTGGCTGGCAGAATAAAATGGAATCCCCGTGGATTGCCCGTATGGTGTCCCTGTTCTTTCTGTAATAATCCATGAAATAGGTATTGGTGAAGCTCTCATAATTTCCAAGAACCTCTCCAGTTCGAGGATTCGTCTTGAAATAGTCCTTCTTGAGTAGGACGTCATTTTTTGGGTCCCAAACGCCGTGCTGTGCCCAAATACATTCCCCTAGTTTCCATCCAGGCTCCCGCTTCCAACCATACCTAGAATCATCATAGTCGGCATCCAGCCATGCGGATTTTCCTTCTGGATCAACTAATGCTCGCCCGGATTTATATGGGCCCATTCCACCGATATCCCACGTATCAACCTCACATGCCCTTCCAGATCCCAACTGGATCGCTTGCCAAGCGGTAGGCGAAGTACCTTTCTGGAGTTTTTGCTCACTCGGTATGACAGAGAGGTCATTATAACCAATCAACCCTCTACTGGGTTCATTCATACTTTCCCATCCTATGACTATATCATTTTCTAGGTCGCCGGCCTCGTGGATCTTTTGTGCCAGGTGGCCCAGTGCACCACAAAAATGATTCTGCAGATAGTCTTGAATATTGATGCCGTCAATAATGCATTTGGGTGCAAAGTCCTTCCCGCCGAAGAAGAGGCTAAACATGACTTGGCAGACCAACCTTGTATAGTTGGTCGACCAAATCATCTTCGGGAATTTCTCTGGTTCAGGATACATGCAGTGAACCAGGGCAGCTTCTGTGGCAACAAAAGCCTCCGGGTTCAAACCCGCAGCGTATAACGTCCACATAGGCGCTCCAGAGCCCCCAGAAAAGCGAGACCAGACGTCCTGATGGGGGTCCATAAAGATGTAGAATCCATATTCCCTTGCTGCTCGTAACACTGAGATGGTGTGCTGAATCCACTCTTCGTCGTATATGCCGGGCCCCGCGTGTTCGATTGCCTCCCAGGTAAAGACATATCTAATAGTATTGTAGCCCCAGCGTTTCAAGCGGGAGAAGTGGATGTGGGCGTCTTCGAGCGGGAATGGGCGTTCATGGAATTCGACATTGTCCCCCTCGAAAAAGTCCGCTGATATATGGGATGGTTGCTCGGGTTTGCTTGGATATTTTGCATCGCCAGCAACGTTGATTCCGCGTATGGTTATTTGTCTGCCGTGGGAGTCACGAAATTCACCATCCTCAATCGTAAGTCGTAGTTGCGACATGTCGTGCTGCGTGAAGCTGCAAGTAGTATCCGAGCGGCGACGGTTCCCGAAAGGCAGATGCGCCTTTTCGTTATATATAGATATTCAGGGAGCCTCTCAACAGCATCAGAAGGCCGAGGTATAAATTGGGCGGGTTTCTCGGACTCAAATCGTTCGTGGGCCGCTGGATGTCATTAATGTACCCAAGAATCGTGAGGATTGGATCGTTCTCTTCGTTAAGGGATAAGGAGTCGAAATTATGACTCTAGAGAGCGTGGAATCCTTGTGTGCTATATAAATACTTCGAATGTCAGGGCAGGCGTAAGATGTAGTCGTCAATTCTGTGCGCAGTCATGATGGAGCAAAGCCAAGGTCGTCAACCAAGTCTGGGCCATGATAGTGAGTGACCCTGGAGGTAGGCTAAGACGCGCGTCTGATTGGTCCGCTCGTATAACCAGCAACCTTATGACCGAGCCATGGGTTAGAAATCCGGGGAAGAGATGTTCCGGTGATGCGGGACAAGGCTGTGAGATCTGGATGAAGCTCATAATACCCCCCACTTGCCAGAGCAACAAATATTGACGTAGTATTGGGATGCACAACAGTACGATTTGAACGTCGGACATGTCCGAAGGTGAAATTTTCGACAATGTCAACGAACAAGGCCGCGCTGAAATCCATCGGCTCAGCGATCCAGGCGCGCAATTATGATGACGCTGTTTCCCAAGCACAGAAGCTCCTAGCTAACGATCCACAACACTACCAAGGGTTCGTCACCACCTTATTCTTGATATTTACTGTGGCTGTTAGGAAATACCAATTGTTGCTATTGAGCAACATGTCTTTCATTCGGCTTCAGTGGCTGTAGGGGTTGGACCATTTCTGACACCAAACAGGAACCTATTCTTGGGCTTTGCATACGACAAACTACATAAGGTTGCAGAAGCAGAGCAGGCATATGACCGAGCGACAAAATCAAAGCCAGAAGACCCCCAAGCATGGCAAGGCCTTATAAAGCTATATGAGAATCAAGGTAGCGCAAAAGTTGACGCGTACCAAAATGCTGCTACAAGATTGGCCACAATATATGTCGAATTGGACGACCGATACAAGTGTCAAGCCGTTATCGACACCTTTACGGCCTTTGCAAAGAATCAAGGCACTCGAAGACAGCATCTCAAATCACTGGAAGTACTCTTGCCCACCAGTCCAGTGTATGATTACCTCGAGGGAAGAATCCCACACCCTTCATATACGTACCAAACAATCGCCCAAATCACCGAGGCCGATGAAAAGGAGCGTATGAACAAGGAAATAGGTGAACGGAGAACTCGACTAGGTGCCAAGATAAACCAAGTCACTCTTGAAGTCCGACGTGAGATATTCAGTGAAAGCCCCCTCGAGGATATTTACAGCAAAATTATCGACTGGTCAAATGACGACGATATCAGGCGGCAATACGAAGAAAAGCTCTTGCAGCGCTGTTACGATGGGCTACTCGTTTCGCCAGTGGGCTCCCAAGAGTCGAAGCGGGCCAAGGTTCAGAAGCTAGCTGGTGATATGGTTATCATCAAGCACCCCTTCAAGCTGGCATGGGATATAAGTGTAGAATGGCCGGATTATCCGACCTTAGTTGAGTGGGATGCGGGAATTCTTCGCGAATATAGCTCGTTTTTCCCTGGCAGTGGGCTCGCAAAGGTTCTGAGCGGATACATGACGAGCGAAATATCGCCGTTTCCAGCTCCGCCGCCCTCGGAGAAGGACGAACTGGACAAAGACTCTGACGATAGCGAAGATGACGATGAAGGGGGTGCTCCTCTAGATCCGAGTGCCCCAATTGAAGATCGCTTACTGCTCATGACAGAGGGCATGTCTGAAGCTTCTGGCTCGATTCTTGCTCACCGTGTAATGGGAGAGTACTATGCATTCTTAGATGAACATGAGAGTGTGGTGGAGCTTATGCGTGCTGGCCTGAAACTCATTACTTCAGAAAGTACTAAGTCTGGCCTGCCATTTACCAACTCGACACAATATCTGAGGGCTCTCCTGGGCACTGCTTTAGTCTACTACCAGTCGCCCAAGAACCACCCAGAAGCAAAGACAATTTTTGAGGAATTATTGACACAGAATCCAACATCAACACCGGCATTGATTGGAGTAGGCCTCATCTATGAAGAAGACGAAGACTTTCCTTCTGCGATCGATTTCCTCGAGCGTGCGCTGCAGAGAGACCCAAATAATATTAGAATCCGAGCAGAGGCAGCATGGGTGAAAGCCTTGAATGGAGATTACGAAACTGGACGCGATGGGCTGGAGTCCTGTCTGGAAAAAATGGATGGTTCGGATTTACGAAGCCGCGAATTACGCGCCGAGACCCAATACCGCATTGGAATATGCATATGGAATTTGGACACATCCAAGGCAGCGCGGAAGGATAGGTCTGGGGCATATTCGTACTTTTTGGCTGCTCTCAAATCGAACATGAACTTCGCGCCAGCATATACGAGCCTTGGAATATTTTTTGGCGACTACGCGAAGGATAAGAAGCGAGCACGGAAGTGCTTCCAGAAAGCCTTTGAACTATCATCTGCCGAAGTGGTCGCTGCCGAACGCCTGGCTAAAGCCTTTGCAGAGCAGGGCGACTGGGAGCTTGTCGAAGTAGTATCACAAAGAGTTGTCGATTCAGGAAAAGTAAAGCCCGCTCCTGGATCCAAGAAGCCTGGAATCAGCTGGCCATTTGCTGCACTGGGTGTTGCAGAACTCAATAAGCAAGACTACGCTAGAAGTGTTGCCTCGTTCCAAGCGGCGCTACGAATCTCACCTAAGGATTACCACTCCTGGGTTGGCCTGGGGGAGAGCTATCACAACTCGGGGCGATATATCGCAGCAACAAAGGCGTTTACTCATGCCGAAACATTCGAACAGGAGGTCGAGCAGCAAAACACTGGCGACACCTGGTTTGCTAAGTACATGCTGGCGAATGTTAAAAGAGAGCTGGGTTCTTACGATGATGCTATACAGCGGTACACAGAAGTTCTGGATCTGAAGCCCGAAGAATTGGGAGTTGAAATGGCTTTGATTCAAACCTACGTGGAAAGTGCTTGGGATAGTATCGACAAGGGACTGTTTGGGAGATCCGCTAAGCTGGCCACAGACGCAATTAATTTGGCACAAGCGCTCATTAGTCGGGGGTATGATGCTTTCAATATTTGGAAGTCCCTTGGTGATGCCTGCTCTATATTTTCCTGGGTACAAGGCCGTCTACCTGACTTTCCTCACCTTGTGATAAAAGAAATCTTCCAGACCGAAGACGCCGGAGAGAGCTCTACGTTGTTCGAAGACATCGACGGTGTTGGAAAGGATGTCGTCTTAGCCGATGGATTGTTCCCTGATGACGAGCAGGCAGCAGTTAACCTTACACGATGCTTGCACGGCGCGTTGCTTTGCCATAAGCGAGCCATACAAGCTTCCGCCAGCGAAGTCCATGCCCAAGCTGTTGCATATTACAACCTGGGCTGGTCGGAATACCGAGCACACGTTTGTCTTCGTCCGAAAGCCAAGAAATCTACAAGGTACCTGAAAGCGGCAGTCAGATGCTTCAAACGAGCCATTGAACTTGAGGCTAGCAACGCAGATTTCTGGAACTCTTTGGGCGTTGTCACAAGTGAGCTATCGCCGAGGGTCGCTCAGCATTCCTTTGTGAGAAGTTTGTTCTTGAATGAGAGAAGCGCCCAAGCCTGGACAAACCTAGGCACGTTGGCCTTGCTGCAAAACGACCACCAAGTGGCAAACGAGGCCTTCACTAGGGCGCAATCAACAGACCCTGAGTTTGGCCACGCATGGGTTGGACAAGGCCTCGTTGCTCTCTTATTTGGTGACCCCAAGGAGGCACGCCTTCTGTTCACCCATGCCATAGAAATATCCGATTCGTCTTCTACCCTTACCAACCGCCAATATGCCCTCTCGACCTTTGACAGTCTCCTCGGCGCTTCTGCTCAATCCAGAATTGAAGATCTTGTCCAGCCGATCTTCGCTCTCAATCAGCTCCAGATCCTCTCTCCAACAGAAATCCCCTATCAACATCTCGCAAGCGTATTCCTCGAGCGAGTCGAAAACACCATGGCGGCTCTTTCCATCCTGGAAACTATCTCAACTAATATCGAGGCTGACTACGAAGTTACCGAGTCCCCGGTATCTCTCACCCGTTTTGCGCTTGCTCGAGCAGACCTTGCCCGCGCACAGTTCACAGCGGGTGACTACACGTCAGCGATCAACAGCGGAGAGACATCCCTCCAGCTTAGCGCAGAAGACGCTGGAAACGAGCTCACACCTGACCAGCGCCAAAAGTGTAGGCTGTCGGCCCATCTCACAGTTGGGCTCGCATACTACCATACCGAGAATCCCACTGAGGCAGTCTCCTATATCGAGGCAGCCCTTGCCGAAGCAGCGGGCAATCCAGACGCTATATGCCTTCTGGCCCAAGTACTATGGGCGACTGGCTCTCAAGTCTCTTGTGATAAGGCAACGGATAGCCTCTTTGAATCCATCGATGCCAACCCAGGCCACGTGCAGAGCGTGCTACTTCTTGGCACCATCTCTCTATTAAACGAGGACACCGAGTCTCTCGTCGCCGTAATCGAGGACCTCCACACTCTACGCACAAGCTCCAACATCACGGATGAACAGCAAGCAGCCGTAGGGGAACTTTTGCGGGCTTCCGCTGCTCTGGAGGAGGAGAATGCAGAGGCTGCGGTTCTGAGAGAGGTTCAGACGGATGTGTTTTTGTTCCCGAACCAGCCCCCTGGATGGACCAGAATGGCTGATTTGAGCGGAGATCCGTACGCGAGCGAGATGGCTCTGCGGACTGCTGTTAAGTCTGCTCCACCCTATGGTCTTGTGGAGGCAACGGAACTTGGAAGGGCGTTTGCAGGTACAGGGAAAGTGGGGGATGCGCAACGTGGGGTTATGTTTGCGCCGTGGAGGAGAGAGGGGTGGGATACACTGGCTGCCTTGGTGGAGCCGTGATTGGGTATCATGGTAGATTAGACATTATAACGAGATTTATGTATGGTCATGAAAATAGAAATGGTGACGAAAGATAGCATTGATTTCAAATCGCTTTTTTATTTCATTTCTACGATACTGGACTATTGCTTCGCCTTAATACCTACCCCGCCACTAATGTGCGCCGGGTTAGATTAGAACATGCCCAACAGATCATCATTCGTCTTCTTTCCATTCTGGCCCTGCAACTGCGTTTGCGGTGGCGGTGGCTGGGATGATCCGCCAAGATCCATCCCCGCGAACCCATTCATCAAATCGTTACCACCTGGTTGAGATGGCGCTGGTGCGTCAAACAAGCCCATCATGTCATTCATACTGCTTGTCTGCGGCGCACCGGCGTCTGGGCTTGCAACCCGTTGGGGCGTGCCAGCTAGACCCTCTAGACCTGAAGCGCCACCAAGTGGAGGTGCCTCCGATGATGCTGGTGCTGCGCCATCGAAGTCGATGTCCAGGAGGTTCTCCGCATTGTTCTGGGATGTCCCGGCGGTAGTTGCGACGGAGGCAGCGATCGGGTTCTCGCGCGCATTCTGCATCTGCTCCTGGATGGCAGCGTGCTGGATGGCATCGGCACCGAAGCGACCCTGGCCAACAAAGGTCTCCGGCGGCTTGTGGTATACGGACGCGAGAGTAGATAGCTCGGTTAGGAGCGACTCGAGGAGCGAAGGTGGCAGTGAGGTCATCGTTGTGGTGATTGCGGGCTTGTCGGAGAGGATAACAGATTTGGCAGCGTCGAGGTCGCCGGAAAGGAGACGCCAGTAGACGTAGGCACGGTCGCGGATATCAGGGTTGTCGTTTTCGGCAGTAGCTTGCTGCAAAACTTGCTGCACAAGTGTTTGATTGTTGTCCGGCTTCTTGAGGAAGAGCTTAACGACAGCTGTGAGGATTTGGAGTTGTGTCTGGTAACTCAACGTTAGCTAGTGTGGTCTTACCTTGTACAAATGAACAACTGACCTGGGTATTCTCGTCCATGAAGCCTTCAACGAAACCAGATAGGATCTCGTCTGCATTGCTGATCTTTTCCGCATACTCTCCAACAATCCATATAAGAGCGCCACGGGCTTCAGGCTCGTCCAACTCGTCGATGTATTTGCATAGTGTCGGAATAATGCCCTCATACCCTGGGTATTTCCTGAAGATATCCTTGATGACAACAATAGCTTCTTGGACGACGTAATTAACCTTGGTAGCGATAAGATCCAATAGCGTATTCACGCACTTCTCACTGGCACTCTCGATTTTAATAGCAACCTGTCCAATGGCCTTAACAGCGCGTCTGACAAAGTCCATATCCACCTCAGCTCCATATTCTTTCAGCTCCGCCAAAAGTTGATCGACGTTCTTGTCGTTAGCTATCCGTACCATAATTTCAAGTTTCTGTAGTTTGACGTATGGGGGGTCATTGTATTTGCAGAAGAAAACGCGGAGTTCCTTGCTTAAAATATCGGGCTTTGCTTGCAGGAGGAGGTCGATGTTCCTTAATGCGACATACTGAACTTCAGGGGCTGAGGCGACGAGTGTGACTATCCAAATTAGCAAAGCACTTCCCCAACAAGCGTAAGGTGGGGTTTCATACCTAACGGAGGGGCCATCTTCCTTTGATATTGTATTTGCTGCTCTTGTGTAAGGTTCCTCATGTGGAGGAAGACCACCTTCACTGCAGCAAGAACAACGCTGGGGTTGACATGCTGGAATTGTGGCGATACCCTTTCGCATATATGCTCAGATTCCTTAACATCAGCTGCTTTGTAGTCGGCAAGAGTCGTCAAGATCGTAACCCGACCCCATTCAGTGCATTCCGTAAGGGCCATGATCATCTTCTTCAGTGTGACAGAAGTAATCCTCAATGCCTTTGTCTCGGGCGCAGCCTCATTTATCTCAACTAAAGCCGTGACAGAGTTGGCGACAACCATGGGGTTGGGATCGCCAATCAACTCTTGTAGCCTCTCCAGAAAGCCGTTCTCGATGCACATGGTTGGATTTAGGTCGAACAACTTGGCAACACATATCGCAGCTGTTTTCCGCACGTATGGGGACTCATCCCGGAGAGTCTTTCGTAGCGGCTCCTCCATATAATCCACCATCTTATCCACCCGAATGCATCCCATTGTCCGTATGGCAAGAGCTCGCACCAGGGGGTTCGGGTCCTCCGAATCTTGAACAAAGGTATTGACGGCGAGAATGCATAGATCCGGATGCGACTTTGCGTAATTCCTATAATAAATTGTCAGACAGCATTCAAATAGCATCAAATATCAGGCTAGACCTACATTAAATACAGGTAGACAAGCTTCTTCTGGTCCAGGTCTGGCGTTGCGATATTCTTCAACACATCTGGGAATAAAGCGGACACATCCTTTCCAAGCGTCATAGACATAATCGTCTTTTGAATAGACTCTTTTCGTTCCCAGGCGTACTGCGACACCAGGCCAGCCCTGAGCTCGAATGTCTCTCCCTTCTTGGGCGCCGCGAAGGCCCCACGTATCTTATTTACCGCCATCGATGCGGTGGATGGCGAGTCGAGGGTCCACCCCTCATACGTTTTAAGCCTGTTTGCAGTAGAAGTTAACCGCGAGGGCTACGAGTATGAAGATATGAGCAACTCTGGGTGCGACAAAGGTGAGGGTGGCAATGTGGAAGAAGGAGGCAACTGTCGAAGCTATCCACCCGTTGCCCGATATAGCATCCGTGAGTTACTTATCAGCCTTCTCGATGCGTCGGAACGCTAGTGGCGGAGCGGAGCGGAGTCTTGGCATTTGTGGTTGTCTATATTGTCATGGACCACAACACCCAACCAGAGAACATACCGTACAGTATATGCAAGTAAATCGCCCTCTAAAATGGTAAGTTGCAAAGCAAGACATATCTTGATCCAAGTTTTAATATAATGCAGTCTAATTTCCCAAATCTACGCCGCCTCTTTGTGGAGGCTCGCACCGATGCTGAAGAAAGTACCTACTCGAGGACAGCTGTGAGATTTCGCGCCTACCCCCTATTTGGAGTCGAGGCTAATATATCACAGTTCTACAACCTTGTGCTGTTCCTATCTTCAGTCACTGTCTTCAGTCTTGCTGCTCAACGCGTCAGGGGTGGGAAAGTCACAGCTCCATGATGAGTGTCTAACGGTGTCACATGAGCATGTCGGATACCCTTACTTAGGCCTATGACGGATTCTGGCTGTAATCTGGCGGGCACTGGTACGAGTATTGCAGATACTATATATGTGGGCTCTGTCGACTTAGCTTGGCGTTCGGGGGTATCCTCTACCTTGGATTTATGAGCGTTCGTAGTCACGGCTCTGAGGTTGAATATCACGATGGATACCAGTGAGCGGCTGGATGCTGCGTTTTGAAGATTAGGCCGCAAAGAAGAAGCATCAGCACCGAATGGATTGTGGGCCATCAGAGACTCAGTCGCCAGGAAACAAATGACAAAGCGGGTATATACGAATTCGGATTAGGTATCGCTCAGCTACGCCTGTCATAGTCTCATATAATCTCATCCTCTAAAGCCAGCCCAAGTGTCGCATAGCCATACTCGAATGGTGCAACTCTACGAGCCACTTAGACAACCTGTCTAACCTTGCCGGTCTCAACCTCATACACCCATCCAGTAATGGGCACCTCGTCATTTATCAATGGCGTTTCCTTCAACAACTTCACATCATCCCTGACGGCATCTTCAAGCTGTGGGAATGTCTTGAAGTCGCCTCCAAAAGCACCCAAAGCCTCCTTCGCCTCCGCACCAAGGTTCTTCTCCACAAGTCCCGTCGCTACGTCGTCGTCGAAAGTGAGCATGCCACAGCCGGTATGCTTCACGAGGATGATCTCGTTTGTGCCGAGAAGCTGCTGCGAGATAACGATTGAGCGTAAAGCATCTTTGGCATTGGCGCCTGCATTTCGAACGACGTGGGCATCGCCGAGGTCAATACCATAGGCAGCGGCGGGGTCGATTCTGGCATCCATGCCTTAGGACAGTCAGATGAGAAACGTTTGGGTTGAAGGGAAACGTACAGGTGAGGACAAGGTACTTCTTTGCAGGTGGCAGTGCAAGATGACCCTTGGTAAATGCAGCGGAATATTCGGTGTTCTTGTCGACGAGGTTCTTCTGGATCTCCGACATGATTTCTGATGGGACAGGGATCAAATGCTTTGGTATTTCAGGGTATATATGAGCTTCTTTGAGTAACGAGATGGATGGTTCCAAGGTTTCGATGTCGTCTTGATATTATATAGGGTTCCTTTTTATCATATTACCTGCATTATCACCGCGGGATGCCTGTTATTATATAATAGCTAGCCATACAGAAGCTTCCGTCGTCGCACCTGGGAAAGATGAAGCCATACTGTCGATCATCCCCAATGTAGACATTTTAAACCGGCAAACAACTGAATGGGCGAATTGCACCATGGTAGGCCAATTGTCACCTTTAGATAGGGATGGCACCATACTCCGGGAGTGTTGTTTGAGGTGAAGGTGGTGACAAAATGCACCAAGATAGGCCTCATGGTGCATTGGAGGTGTTCATGCTGCCCAATCCTATCAAACCAAGCACACGGATCAAATTCTGTACGATATGATACGGCATGACAGGCACGGGCCATATAAGGCGTGATGCCTTATTCGGACCTTGCTTGATCCGAACGGGAACTTACACTTCCAGGCTGTAAAGCTACCCCTCACTGTAAAATCATTGCATGGTGTAATTCAGAGGAGTTTTACAGCTATCCGAGATAGAGTTATGACACTGCCTATTAAGTCACATATCAGAGCAGCTAATAACTTGTATTGAAGTCCAACTTCTGTAGCAACGCATCACAAGAAGCTAGCTCAAAGGCGCTTATGATGGCGGGGTTCAGGGTCCTGCGCCAAGACCATTGTCTCGGCGGGGTTCAAAAATAAACTTTTTGGGTTGCGGGGTAGTCGCGTGAAAATCATACGATTTTTTGAAAGCTGCTTTCATAGAAGGTATAAGGAATGGAGTATATAGAGCTACTTTGCATGCTAGTCTAATAAGCTTAAAATCGAGTATGTGGAGTGCCCGGTGAAAACATGCGAGTTTACCCTGGTTAATTTAGGCATATGGAGGTGATTGAGGTTATATCACCAGATCGCGAGGCAAGTAACAATAATATGACTCTGGTTCTGGTAAAATAAATGTGCCGTACGCCATAGGAGAAGAATAAATTGGGTCAACAACGATGACACACGGAATTTTGTATTCTGCTCAGGTATATGTACCCCTCTTTCTATGTTCATCAACCCGTATACCCAGTCTCAAGTGGGCGGAGGCTTCCCACGACACCAGGCATCAATCATGAAGTCCTGTCTATCACCCTCGTGCTCCAGTAGCTGTCATTTCGTAGCTGTCTGCTCCTCTCCTGTATGCACACCTTGACCCCTTGCATGACCATCCACCTAAGCTAAGGTTCCCGTCACAACTTCCCCCGTCGTCGCCTTGCCTGGTGCAACAGTGCCAGGGGCCTGTTCTTTCCATTGTTCCGGTGTATAGCACTTCGGCGTCCACGCATGGATTGCTGCGATCTCCGCCTTGAGTGCGGTGTTCACAAGTCTGTGTCGGGCGAGTGTTGTCTTTTTCGCAAATTCTGGGGAGACAATGATAGCAGAGAAGGCTTGTCCGCATCCACCTAATTATGTCAGCTTCTGATCTTGTGCTTGCTTCATCTACCATTGCCCTCTATGCTAGTAGCCTGGAGAGGGAGGTGGTGGGGAGTCGGGCTACTTACCTGACATATCTTCAATTTCCACATGTGTCGCGCCGATCTTCTCAGTGAGTGCGGCCTTCAGCCCTGCCTCTGTAACGCCCGACGCCTCAGCCATGGCGAATATAATACGAAAATCCTCTGTCGGCGTGGGTTTATCGACCTTGTTCTCCGCGGCGTTATCAACAGTAGTTTTGTAATCAGTCATCGTCATTTTAGCAAACAGTGCAAACAGCTACGGGGCGGGAGCTACTGTAAGCGGCGGGGAGCTTGGCACCCCTGTTGATTCGGAGGCAGTTATGACGGAGCTTCGATGCTCCACAAGACTTTGGTGATATGTACTCGACGACCTTCAGTAGAAGATTTGGGACAGCTGCAAGAATGTCTAATGCTTCATCGTCGCCGTTTACGCAGGCTGTCGTGGCGGCTGTGAGGAACTTGTACGTGTAACACACCATTCGATGTGTTGTGAGCAACGAGACTAATTCCCTTGGAGGTATCCCGAGAAACTGGCGGATAGCAGTTTTGATAACACCGGACGTGAGTTTTATACACCTTATTATTGCTCTTTGTTGCCTCATAACAAAGAATTATCGCGTCTCTGAATCAAAACTAACACGTGACAGTTCTCCTTGAGGCGCCACATCGGAAGAACCATCTGAAGAACTCGGTGCTTTTAACGGTAGACCTTACGAAGGGAGTCGCAGATGAAGCAATTAGGAGGAAGGACTCAGTAGTCATTGCATATCGTGAGGCTTATATTCCTATTCAACCAAGAAGTTTGCTAAAAAACTATTACTAGATCCAATCATTTTCCGAAGCCTGAAAGCTATCACCCTTGCAAACACCCAGCAACAGTCACTCCTCCGGCTAGCTCAAGAGGGTATCAGTGTTTACTGTCCGCATACAGCGGTTGATGCTGCGCCTGGCGGCCTCAATGACTGGCTCGCAGACGTAGTAACAGGAAAGGCAAACAGCGAAGGACTAAGGTAACAAACATTCCTAAGCCTACCACAGTACCAGAACTAACTTCCCAAAGCAACGCCGCAGCACATACCAAGGAGGTCATAACCCCAGTCAAAGATGCCGTTCCAGGCTTCGAAAGCGCCGGTTATGGCCGCATTGTCCGCTTCGAGCAACCTCAACGACTCGGCACGCTAGTAGAACGGATCACAAATGGCCTTGGCCCTCTATCAGGAATCTGTCTAGCTGTCCCACAGGATACCCCCACGGGTTCCAAGGCAGATCTTAAAATATCCTCTGTTGGGATTTGTGCTGGCTCTGGCTCGATGCTTAATGGGCAGGATGTGGACTTGCTGTTCACTGGGGAGCTGAGCCACCACGAGGCGCTGGGGGCGATCGAGCAGGGCAAGGTTGTTGTCACGGCGTTCCATAGTAACTCGGAGAGGAAATTCCTGAGCCAAGGGATGAAGCAGGACCTGCAGGCGCACATCGCCGAAGCATTGAAGGCCCAGGCCGCGAGTACGAGGCTGGATGGCGCAAAGCCGGTAGCTGGGGAGGCCCCGTCTGATGTCGCCGACTTTGAGGTGGCGGTTAGCGAGGTGGATAGAGATCCGTATGAGATTATCGTGGCAGGGTCGAGTGGTTGGTAGATATGAGGGCGAAATGTAAAATAGCTCACATAGCCTGCAACTATTTGATAGGTTTTGAAGTTGGCATCAGAGTTGTGGCTGTAGAGGTTATTTTTTCGCCTTTATATTAACCCAGCTTCGCTCGTTCGGCGGTTCCCCACGTAATGCCGCTTCACCGTCATCAATGCAATCCTGCACATCCATTCCGCCTTTGCCTTGCTCTTTCCAAGTCTCTAGAACTCTGAGCACTGGCTCCCACACGTTTCTCGCATCTTCTTCGTTGCCCTCCGCTACCAAAGTTCGTAATCTCTCAGGGGTATCAAGCACCTTTCGAACCGCATCTCTCGTCTTCCTCCTCTTCACCGCCTTCTCCCTATCTTCTTCGCTCATCTCTGCCTCGGCATGCTGGGTGGAAGTCATTGAAGCCCTCAGATCAGCCTTGGCAGCATTCGCTCTCTCATATATTTGTGCAATTGCGGGGTCCAGCGTCGAGGCCATTGGATTCAATGGATCCATATTAGCCCTCATCTTCCTTATCGTCTCGGTCGCAGCAATTAGTTTGGAGTAGTTGTCATAAACAAGGGCCTTCTTCTCTGCGTCCAAAGCTCTGATGTCTATTTAATAATGGGTTAGCATTTGCCCATCCAGACAGCCGCCAATTCGTCATTATTCCTGGGCTAGGAACATATCATCACTAACCTGTCAGAACCCCATTATATGTTCTGAGCAGCTCCTCTAAATTTTGTGTCTCCAGTACCCTCTTCACATACACCTCCCCATCAAAGCCCTCCTGGTCCATCTCGCTCTCTTGGACATCGCTCTGGTCATTAATCGAGTACTCGCTGCTAGCATCGTCGATATCCCCTTTCCCTGATTCAGCATCCGCAGATTTAATATTATAGTATTCTCGTAGGGCCGCGCGGTTCCGCCGTGGTGCTGGGCCCCGATTGGGGGATGAGCTACCGATCCGGGGGCTGTCGATACTGGCGCGCGAAGAGCCGGTCGGGGTATGAATCTGGGGTATTTGACGGCGGGGGAGAGAGGATTCGCGGGGGGAGGCAATAGTCGACATGGTGGATGGCGGGATGGTGCTTGGAATTTAGAGTTGGGACAACGATGAAGTTAGAGGTAGGCATCATGCAAGGTACCACCATTCGAATATTTAGCGCAAGGCTACCAACAAGGCTGTGAGACCTTCATTTACTCGTCATCAACCATTTCTGAAGGAACAACATCTACTTGGACCCTCAGCGCATATGCGTCTTAGGAAGTCCTGCTTGAAGGTTTCACCACCTTGATGAGAAATGACTATACGACTGTGCCGTTAAATATATACGAGGTTCGGCCAGCAGCTCCCAAGAGCTACCCATGCAATGGCTAGCCTTCCAGCTGTTACTGATGGCCTCCTCGCGGCCGGCTTTCCCAGGCCCTCCTCACAATGGTTATCGTCCCTCATTTCGGGTGTTCGTGGCAACAACCCACCTCAGACTGTGCTTGCAGCAACGGCGAAGCACCGCCTGATGCTTCTCGACCTCACTACGCCCTCTCTCTTCGACCCCTCTGCGGTTTCTCTGCCCCCTAGCCTTTCTGAACCCGTAGTCAAGGAGCGGAAGATTGCACACTCAGTATTGGTTCAGGTATTGGCTGTGGAAGATATGTCAAAGTCGCGCTGGGAGCAGATCGAGCTTATTGAAGCTATGGAGCGTGGTGAAAAGACGAAGGGAAGAGAGATCATCCGGGATGTGCCAGGAGAGGAAGGGGAGAATGGAGTTCGCGTTGGAGCGCCACTTGTTGGGCTGAAAGGCGGACCACATAAGCTTCTGCTGGAGGATTGGAAGGGGCAGAGAGTGTACGGCATGGAGATCGTGGGCGTGCCTAAGGTGGATCTGGGGATGAGCATTGGTACGAAGATTTTGCTAAAGGGAGTTACGGTAGCAAGGGGCATGGTACTACTTGAGCCAGCAACGACGGTGGTCCTTGGAGGAAAGATCGATGCGCTGCATGAGGTGTGGATCAAGGACAGGAAGAAGATACTCAAAGAGGCAATCGAGAGTATTGCGTGAGAATGGGCGTCAACGAATAGCTATCTAAGTTAGTCCATGCACACAGTATAGGGTTCCATATATGCACCTGCGGCGTTTCTACTGTCATTTAGAACGAATTATCAGTAGAAGTAGTATTCCTCGCAATATCCACCATACTCTTACATATTAACAATCTTTGAGGATAAGCAAGTGTCTTGATAGAAGGGTTTCACAGTCGGTCCCTATGCCGGATAATCGTATGACCGAGATCTTCTATCTTGGTGGGTAACCGTGAACTTCCCAAGGTGGTTATCAAAATAAGCATTCACTTCGTGTACGATTCTATATTTGAAGATTTCTTATAAATTCTGTCTTGGCATATAGGAGCAGCGCTCTTCAAACTTTCTTTGGCTCTGGTGCAGATTTGCCCAAGTTCGTCCCACGACGCGCCAACAAGCTACGACTCACCTCTTTGTCTTGACGCGCATCCAGTTTTACCACCTTCGATAAGATAGACACCCCAACACAAAGGCCTCACATCCCCGCAATCGATGTTGTTTGACACCGAAACGTCTATTCTAGAGGCCTAACACTCGTTGACTTATTCCAAAGATGAGTGTCTCGGCCGGCCACGACCAAGCACCAGCGGCGTTAGAAACGAGGCTTGCAAATGGGAGTGACTCGAACCCTCTAGCCCAAATTCACGAAGCTCTCACTGTCGTCCACAGCCCATACTCCTCAAACGAATCTCGGAAACAAGCTTCTGCATACCTCGAGGGGATTAAGGCGGACAACGCAGCACCGTACCATGGATTTACTCTAGCCAGCGACAAGAACCAAGAGGCGGTTGTCAGCCACTACGCCCTATCCCTACTCGAGCACGCCATAAAGCACCGATGGAGCGAATATAACTCATTCGAGGAAGAGGCCATGAGGGGGTGGGTCCTGCAGCTATCCGAGAATGTCTCGCCGAAAGACCCTCTGTTCATACGGAACAAAACTGCGGAGCTATGGGTGGAAGTGGCAAAGAGGAGCTGGGGGTCACAATGGTTGGATATGGATACGCTCCTGGTGAGCCTGTGGAACGTCCCTGGTTCAGTGGTGCACAAGGAATTTGTTCTCTTCGTACTGGAAACCCTATCGGAAGAAGTTTTCAACCGGGAAGATGGCATCACGGCTATGAGAGAGACTGTTCTAAGCAAGGCATGCGTCGAGATCTTTACGCCCGCACAAGTTCTCCAAGAGGCATTCCCAAACCGCCAGGTTGGGGCCAATGTGCGCTGTGGTGATGAAGGGTGGCTTGTCAGGCTTGGAGCCTTGTTGGACCAGTGCGTTGAGAACGACGTGGAGAGCAATGAGCAATACCGCGGCTGTGCAGTTAAGATTCTCTCTGTTTACAAATCAATAATGCCATGGGCTATTCCGAAGGCCATTGCAGCTGCTTCATGCGTGTTTCATATCAGCAGAAGTTTGGCTTCACCAAGCGTTGCTGTTCAACAGGTACGTTTTGACTCTCCAGTCTCAGAATTTCAGCTAACAGATCAAGGCCTCACTTGAAGCATTACACGCATTATACAGCCGCACTCATTTCACAGACGAGGAGTTTCTTACTCTTGTTAGCCCGATGTATACAACTGAGCGGGTTAATCTCCTCCGCAAAGTCTATGAATGGTCAATAATCGACCCTAATGACATTGATGACGAGAAATATCTGCTCGGGAAGAGATTCTCAGAGGTATGTTCACCTTGATTCTCTTTTAAATGCCTTTACTGACAGTTGGCAGATGATGTCTAAATTGGGAAACTTCATTGGCCAAAAAATATCTTCGATCCCAGAGGATTGCGATCTACCAAATCTCCTAAACCTTTTCTTTTCCATTGTACAAAATCAAAGCTTTGTTGTTGCGATACCCGTCCTCGTTACTTGGACACATTTACTTCGTTCTGAAACTATCGTCGATTCTCCTACTACAGCGCACCTTATCGCTCCGCTCCTCGAACTCTGCAGCTCAAGACTTATCAGATATGAGAACCTGCCAGCAGATTCCGAGGACCCTTCACTTGCGCTCCTCGTGGAGGATATCGACACGATCCCAGAGCGACATGCCTTCCTTGGAAATTATAGGCGTTACAACGTGCAATGCATTGAGTTGATTGTTCGGAGAAAGACATCTGACGCAATATACCATATTTTGAGCCAGGTTTGGCACTCAATTGAGAATTTATATGATGGGATCCCACCATTTTCTATCGAGTCATATTCGAAAAATTCGCCAGCAATACTCCGTGTCGATGCCCAGTTCACAGTCGTCGAAGCAGCACTAAAGGGCTACATGAAGTGGAGAGATACCCATGGCTCGAATCCGCAAGAGGACGAGCAAAAGCGAGCCAAGATGGAAGAAGATTTCCAGGGCTGGTGCGAACGCTTATTAGGCATGAGCTTTGAGGACCCAATCATTAGAATGCGAGCTCTACAGCTTGCCGTTTTATTCTCGACTTCAGCACTAGACAAAAAGCCAAACTTCATGCTCCAGGTCCTTGAGCACGTACTTATGACGCGACCCGTTGACCACCCGGAACATCGAGCTTATTCAGATGCAGTCAAGGAATTGACCAGCGATTCGATGCACGAATTGACAAGACTAGCGACGAAAATGCCGGACCATCTCTTGGAAGTTTATGACCAACTAGAAGCCAAAGTCAGTGAAATTATCGCTGCTGGTAATATCGAATCCAGGCAGGAAATTTCCTACAGAACCTTCTTATTTATCATAATCCACCGCGCAAAAGGGATCGATCCAGCAGTACGACTAGAACGCTTGCAGTCCTTCATCGTCCCGGTTAAGCAAATGTGGCAAAATCCTGCCCTGGATACGTCGTTGTCGTCCTTTGACGGCTTTTGCGACCTTCTGGGCCTTGGAAAAGTTCGGGAATATTTGGTGTCACGACAGGTCCATAAAATCCAAGACTGGGGCTCCTCTACCCTCGACGATGAAGGCATCGCAATTCAAACTGAGCTTACTGAACGACTTAAATCTCTACCTCTGCGTCCTACCAAATCCTTCTTGGGGTGCTCAACCGACAAAATAGAAAAGGACACAGAGCCATACAATACAACATGCTCCCTCTGGCATGACTCGGTTCCTCTTATGCTTCCCGGCCTATTGAAATTCCTTGGCCATGCACATGCATTCCATAACCCGGCAAACTGGTCTGGTCTTCCTCAGGAGATGCAGCCCATTGTATCTCGAATATTGACTGATCGATTCTGGCAGTCTGGTATTTCAGGGGGAAGTAAAGATGACTTTTATGCACGTGTGTCTGGAACAAGAACGACGATGGAGGGATTCGCATCTTCTATCCGCGGGACTGTACGAGCAGTGAGAGAAGCTTGCTACTCTATCCTTTATGGTCTCAGTCGCCTCAACGTTCACTTCTATGGATTTCAAGAACTCCCGGGCCCGTTGGCAAATGCCTTATTCGCAGATGCTCACTTCCTTTCCTCCCACCAGCTTATTAACTTGATGACATTGGTCCGATATATGGTCGATGACTGTCCAATACAGCTGCGAGCTCACTTCGTGCCTCCGATATTGGCTACCTGCTTCAGACAGATGGATGGCAAGATAAGCTCTCAGTGGGAGCTACTGGGTCAGAGGCAGCAAACTACTTCTGACGAAGTCGGTTTGACTGAAGAAATGAAGGAAGAGAGTTTACTTCGCCAGCTTACCTACACAGCGGTGATGCTAGTGGCCTCTCTCTTTGACCCCCAACGCGCAAATGGTATTTCTTTCACCTCTTCTACTTACTATGATTCACTAACAACTTTCAAAGAATCCGAAACCTCTCAGCCCACCACTAACAAGGAAGCATCAACATACACGCCAGGTGAAGGCCCAGGCGGCGCCAAGGAGTGGCCAACAATGCGACGATTCTGCCTCACCGAATCATCCATTCTCGAATCCCTAATGCTCTTCTCCACCCACGCCATCCGCATGCGAGACACCCGCTGCTGCGGCGTCGTCCTACGCGTCTTCCGCTCCATCATCCCAGCATTTAGGAACCATCGCGATACCGACCCAGCCACAGCAGCCCCGATCCGCGAGTTCATTAGCACAGAGGTCCTCCAGGCTTCTATCACGTCCCTACACGAGCCCTACTTCGTCGAGTTGCAGAAGGATTTGGCTCAGCTGATTGCAGCGATACTGGTCTCCTACTGCGACTTAACCAACACGCCGAAAGCGATCCTGATGTCTCTCCCTGGACTACAGGAAACTGCAGTTGACAAGTGCATCGACTACGTCAACCGCCCAGGGGTGCAGCCTAGGCAGCAACGTGCTATAGTCCTTGATCTTCTGCGCGATCTCAAGGGAGTGAGTATCAGCGAGCAAGGGCGCATCTCCAAGACTGCGGCGGTGGTGAGGAAGGAAAGGAGCAAGATGCAGCAGGAGTTTATGCAGACGGAGCAGCAGAAGGAGGCGCCGTCGGGGCTTGGAAGGCGGACGCCGGAATTGGAGGGATTGGGGGCTTTGTTTAATATTTAGGTTGGCTCATCCTTGATGAGCGGGGTGATGTTGGAGTAGCTGTGTAGTTCAACGATAATGTTGTGTAAAATGGAACAGATACAGCAAAACTTCGTTACGTACTTGATGTGTTGTTTCTGAGCTTGATGGAAGCTTAACATGTTAGTTCGGACACTTGCATGGGTTCGCCGAATAACAAGCTTCTTCAATCCAGCTTGGCTGATGGAGCCTGGAATCAATCCATGAGGTCTTGGTCACTGTAAGCATAATAGTCTCATATTGTATCCCATAACATCTTCCATTAGTTAGTACTATCTACGTGCCCTTAGTTTGGTATCAATTATCTCAAGGAATGTAAGGTTCTCATTATAAATCCCCCTTTTAACATGAAGTCATCAATCTCTGTCCAAAGTTATTTTGAGTGGCGTTATATTTGCTCTCTTTCCCATTATTCAAGGCCATCAAGGCCGAACTCCTACTTGCCAAATATGTTTTTCAGCCTGGGGTATCTTTATGCCCTTATTATTTTCCAACCACAGTTACCTTTCTGTCCCGCAGATTATTCCCTCCTTTTCTCCTCTTCCTTTTTGTACTTATCCCAGGTTCCCCACTGCCCAGAGCTCCACGCCAATTATATCGAATTTCTTCCCCTGGTCGCTCAACGGTTCATTGCCAAACGTGAGGCACGTGCTGCTAATCCCGCGATCAAAGCTGTCGTCAAGCCATAGCCCATAATTACCATCTCCCCCGCCGATGCTAAAAAACGTCGCGTCGCAAAGCATGAAGTAGTCGTTAATGCCCGAGTATGGAAACGCCTTAAAGCGCACCTGTGAGGGCGAGGTAGGGCGCGAAGGAGGCGCTGTGGGTGGTGCCAGGGTGTTTGGGCTTCGTGGGTGAGGGCTAGGACTCGGTGATGTGATGTTGAGAGAGGTATTTCGCTGCATGTTCGTCGTATCCGCCGAGGGCGGTAGGGGGAGCTGACTCAGATCCGCCTGGGAGAAGACGGAGGCACGCCAGAGGAAGCACTCTCCCGTGCCAAAGTAATGTGGTGATATATGAGGTGCTTCCGTTAGGTACGCTCCGAATAGCTACTGTCAATCAGCAATTGTCTCAACACAAGACGAATCGCGGGGTAAATCATACCCCGCCGTCCCCGTCCTTAACCACAAGGACATACCCGTTCCGCAGCCCCATCAGCTGGTCACAGTTTTTGTACATAGTTCCCAGGCTAACCCCGTCTTGCTCGAGGCTGTATACCAGGTGCCATTCGTCGCAGAGTTGTAATCGCGGCGGTATCAAGAGTCGTATTTCCTCGGCAATCGCCTTACTCATCAGCCTCGCGCTCTCGTCTGTATTTTCGGAGTATCCACATAATGAGAGCGGGTAGAGGGGCGGCGGTTGGAAGGGCGAGGCGGTCCGTAATGGCGGGGTGTATATGGAGCCATGCATGTCGGAATCAGGCTCCTCGAACAAAGTCTGTGAGTTTTCGAGGGACGGGGAGGCTGGGGTAGATGGCGTGGATCCGTATATCGGGCCAGAGGAGAGTCGTCGCAGGAATTTGCCAATCGAAGGTAGATAGCCAGACGATGAGGTTGTGGCAGTGGTGTTGTCGTCGGTGGTGTTTTCGAAGGTGGAGGACCGGGAGAGAGGGGTGCTTGGTGGTGGACTTGACATCGGTACGGTTGGGGCTGGGGAACTGGTAATAAGCGCTGGTTTCGCAGGCGCTCTAGTGTCGTGTAATTGCGCTAAATTGCGATATATAAATAGTGAATTTATTGTTCCGAGATGGCAACGATCGGTGATGCTGTGGTGGATGAGTAGTGGGGCAGGGATTGATAAGGTAGGTAGGTGTTGTTGTCAGGGCGGAATAAATAATGGGGGCGGGATGGAGGATGTGGGATTTCCGTTTGCAGGCGCCGTCACTGGCAATACCCCTCGTGCCCGTCTGGGTAAGCAAAAAAAAGCTTAGCTATTGAGGCTGAATAAGAGATTCTCAATGTCTGAGCCATGATTTAGATAACTGAGAGTCTCATCTAGATATTTATCATAATAGTTCCCAAAAGAAATTATAACGAGGGGCATGTATCATTCTTACTATCCAGCACCACAGAAACCATTGTCTCACCTACTACATACAGCCCACACAACCGTGTCACCGTCAATAATTGCCCACCTGTGATTCTGTGCTGCTGCATTGAAAGGGGAATATTTCTCGGATTGTTACTATAAAGCCATATCCAGGCAGGTGAGTAGGGATTCCCCGCGGGGGCGCCATCTATGTAAACAAGGAACAAAAACTCCATCCCATACCAGATACACTGGTTCCCTGAACGCCATTGTAAATGCATACACAGCCATATATCATACACCACCAGCACCCTGTTCCTGGCTTCCCATTTATCCACACCTCCCATTCTTCCACCCCGTCCTCCACCTCTCCTCCCACTTATCGCAATCGAAAGTCTTCTTCCCCAGCTTGACATTCACATCATTATGCGCCTCGCACATCCACCTCCCAAACTCATCCCTGCTCCCCACCCGCACCTTCTCGCGCTCCATATATTTCTGAAAGTCCTCACCGCACCAGGTACACGGGTATAGCTTCCCGAACGACTTCACGAAGGACATGGCGCTGGATTGCTCAGCGAGTGTCGGCTTCTCCGGATACGCTGCGGTGATGCTGTGCAGGAGCGTCCAGGAGGCGCGCCCGAGGGCTTCGACATCGGGAGGGCAATCGTCAGGTAGGGCAGCGGGGATTTTTGTGCTTTTGCCCTTCGTAGCTGGGGAATTGGAGGTTTCGGTGGCGGCCATTGCGGACCAGGCGGCGAAGGAGGTACAGGAACGGCAACTGGGTAGTGTTAGCTATTTGCACATGCACCCAGGCATCCAATCCAATAGATACGCCTGCATATAGCAGGCAGGTTCTTAAGGGTACATACGGCTTCCCATCTTTCCCCAACACGACACCCTTGGGGTACTTTTTCGGCACCGCGCCAGGTGTCGACGGCGGCGTCACCAGCGCATCCTTTGTCGGCGCGCTGGCGCTCTGTGCAGGCTCTGCCATCCTCTACTCTAGTACACAGATAATCAAATCAGAAACCAAATAAATGAATGAATAAAAACCCTAAATGAAAGTGTGCGAGCGGTATATATTTACAAAAGTAACAGACGAACGAGAACGAAAGCATTCGCGCTGACCAGACCATCGAGGTTTGTAATACAAAAGCACGGCGGAACCTTCCGCCCAAATTTCTTATCGCCGATTATCCCCTCCATCACCTGCCTCCCCACTATCACCTCGGGCTGGCTGCTTCCACAATGCCTCAATCCAACCATGACTACCACATCCCCAGATACGGGATCAATTCCCATATTCCTCCTCAAGACAAAATCAACACCCCACGACGGGTATGAAGAGTTCTTCTCCGCTACCAAACTCGCAGGCCAAGACCTCGCACCGACTTTCGTCCCGGTCCTCGAACATAAGCTCCTGGAGCCAGGTCTAGATACAGTGCGCCAATTGCTTCGCTCGCGGCGGATAAACGATAGCGGTGATGAGGGAACGTATGGAGGGATGATCTTTACATCCCAGCGCGCCGTCGAGGCATTCGCAAGTCTAGTCGCTGAAGGTTCGCCCAGCACCCCCATCTCCCAGCTCCGAGCCAACAGCCAGCTAACCCCCTCAACCCCCCAGGTCCCCCCTCCTCCACCGACGACACCACCTGGCCCTCCCTCTCCACAACCCCAATCTACACCGTCGGCCCCGCCACCACCCGCGCCCTGCGCTCCATCCCCTCCACACCCCCCCTCCAAATCCACGGCTCGGAGACCGGGAACGGCGAAGCCCTCGCCGGATACATGCTCACTCACTACCTCCCCTCCGCCCCCAAGCCACGGCCTCCGCTCCTCTTTCTCGTCGGCGACAACAGGCGTGACATAATCCCCAAGACACTCATGAGCGATTCCCTCCCACCCACCGAACGAATCCGTGTCGACGAGCTAGAAGTCTACGGCACGACCACACAATCCAGTTTCCCCACCGCCTTCGCCTCCATCCTCTCCTCCTCTTCCTCCGCCAAAACGCGATGGGTAGTAGTCTTCTCCCCCACCGGGTGCGAAGCCGCCTTACGAGAACTAGGATTACTAGACGAAGACACGGGCCGCGTGAAGACAGGGGAGAGGGGAGGCGGGTGCGGGATCAGGAGGGGGAGGCGACAGACGTATGTCGCTACTATTGGGCCTACGACGAGGGATTACTTGAGGAGGGAGTTTGGGTTTGAGGCGGATGTTTGTGCGGAGGTGCCGAGTCCGGAGGGGGTGGGGGAGGCGATTGGGAGGTTTATGGTGGGGTTGGAATGATTGATATAGGGGTGAGATTATGTTGGCAATATTACTCGTATATAGGAGGCATGAGATGATATGTGTCATTCATTGGGGGAAAGAGATACTACAGGCTGCCATTTCTCGCATATGTTCGTTTTCGTTACCAACCAACCAACGCTCCCATCTGCCCTGCTATACTGTGTAACTTGCGCAGGACGCAGCAAAACATCAGTTCAATCTTTTTCTGCCCCCCAAGTGGCTGGTGGTCTCTCCTTTCTTCCCATTTCCATAGATTCGAAAAATAAAACGTCCGATTGGGTGGGGACTCCGTTGAGGATAAAATAAAAAGAGATCTATGCTAAATGAACCCCCTCGGCGGCGCTCGTTAATCACAACCCAACCACAATCTCCATCCCCCGCAAGAATACCAAAAAAATGAGAAGTAGGGGGGAGCGTAGCGGCCGTCCAGCAATATCAATATTCCAACCCGAGCTTTCATCGCCCTTTGTTCTCCATCCATCCATCCCGATTTCCCATGGCGCCAGCCCAGCCCAGCCCAGCCCAGCCATCCATCCAGTCCGTGCATAAACTACCGCATGATCTCGTTGAAGATCAACTGCTTCAGCTGCTCCTTGCTCAGGTTATCCTTGTTCTTATCAAAGTCGAAGAACTCCTCCGGGATAGGCGCGGCGGTCGGCTCGTCCTCGGGGTCGTGGTAGGGCTCGAGGTAGGGGTGCTTGAGGGCTTCTTCCACGGTGATGCGCTTGACGGGGTTGAAGGCGAGGAGCTTCTCGAGGAGGTCGAGGGCTAGGTCGGAGGTCTTGGGGAACATGGACTTGAAGGGGACCTTTTTCTTGAAGGGGAGGGAGCGGATGTACTCGCGCGCGCGGCGGGACTTGATTCCGTAGTAGTCCTCCATGGTTGGGGTGCCGAGGACGTCAAGGATGAGGGTCAGTTGGTGGTGGTCTGTGGGATTGTGTTAGCTACAGTGATCAAGGAGGATAGTAAAAAAACAGGGAAAAACTTACAATCCTTTCCTGGGAATAGAGGCTTCCCGCTCAGCATCTCAGCGAGAATGCAACCCACACTCCAGACATCAATAGCCTTGGTGTACTCCTTAAACGTCAACATGATCTCCGGCGCCCGGTACCAGCGCGTAGCCACATATTCCGTCATGAATCCCGAGTTATCTTCTTGCGAGGCCGCCGAGCGAGCCAGGCCGAAATCACAGACCTTCAAGTCGCAGTTCGCGTTGAGGAGGAGGTTGGAGGGCTTGAGATCGCGGTGGAGGACGTTGGCGGAGTGCATGGCTTTCAGGGCGCGCAGGGTCTGGTAGATGAAGTACTGGCAGTGGTCGTCGGAGAGGTCTTGGGTGCGGATCACGCGGTGCATGTCCGTCTCCATGAGCTCCTGGATCAGGTAGACTTCGGTGAAGGTCTCGTAGCTTCGCGGCTTCTGGATGTCTAATATGGAGATGATGTTCTCGTGGTTGAAGTATCGTAAGAGCTTCATCTCGCGGAGGGTTCGCAGACAGAACATGGAGTGGTCGAATGGGGTAATCTTCTTGATCGCAACCTTTTGTCCGGATGGCTTGTGAAGCGCCGAGCTGGAGGATTAATGTTAACAACTTCACCTTCGTCGCAGCGTCTGGACATTACATACCAGACAACACCGTATGCGCCCTCTCCAACAACATCCTGGATATCGTACTGCTCGCTGACATTGAACGAAATCTTTCTCGATCCCGTGGGATTGGGTGCGCGGGTCGCCATCTTGACAGATTAAAGTCGATTACTTGGTATATACCGTGGTTCGAGTTGCTGAAGTTGCAACGAAGCTTACGACAGAGGGTGGCCCAGCTTCAGCGGCGAACCAAATACTATTATCGCCTTGTGCGCTTCTTTGTTGGTAGTTTCGCCGGAGTGTTGTTAACAATAGAGCTGCCCCTCGGATCGTGCTTTGCTGGCAATTCGTCGGTTGGGCGCCAACGCTTTCGAGCTCGCCAACGTTACAGCGGGTATAATAGAAGCTTTAGATTAAGTCCGTAGTAATAATGGTAGGGTTGTGATATGATTTGACTTGATTTCTGTGTGCCTATTCCATGCCAACGAGTCAGTATATGATTTCCAACTATCCGCCAGGAACGAGAGGAAGTCCCAACACGAGAGCCCAAAACACAGCACATCGACGGGGGGAAACAAGGGATGGGAAAGCGTTTCAACCCGGAAGCGGGCCTCGACTTTCCTCGTACCTTTGTGCTGTAATCCCGAGCGAGTTCCCAGCCGAATAAAGAATAGGTTCAAATGTTCAATCGACGACGGTTTGATGTAGGGGGCCAGATTGTTGATTGATTTTCGATGTCTTTCGTGATGGCGGACGCTCCCGGACCCTGGTGCGGGGTTTGAATGGGCGGGGCTGACGTGCCAACTGTGGGTTTTGCGAGTTACAGTATTATCGGTAGCGCAGAGCGAGTGAAACTCTTGTCGCGAACAGTTCGAGTTTGACGGTGAGGATAGAAGAGGATGAAGAGGATCAAGGGATGATGACGAGAAGTCAAGATTTTACTTGTCAGTCTTTTTTTTTGGAGGAGAGAGAAGCACGACGACAAACGGCAGAGCGGCCGTACTAGCGAAGACGAGCGAGGGGGATGGGGGGGGTGGGATATATGGGGGCTGAGACGAGGATGCCGAAGATGGGATGAATGATGGTTTCGAAGAGGTCGATGATCCCCGTCGGCCTGGTCTAAGTGGTCTAACTGGTCTAACAGGTCCAAGTTGGTCTAACTTGCTAACTGGTTGGGGAGGTGGTTGGGTGTGATTTTTGGTAGTTGATGCAGGTGCAGGCAGAGCATTGACGGCGTACTGGTGGTGGTGTAGTACTGGATGCTGTACGGGGATGCTTGTCCCCTGTTGCTCTGCCCCTAGACTGGCTGGACAATTGTGGACAATATGTGATACTCAGATACTCTGATACTTGGAATAGACAAGCTGCGACCTAAAACAGATAAATAGGGCTGCTTCGAGAAGTTCGGCGCATACAAGGAGTTGGTCTGAGTAGCTAGTTAGTTAGTTAGTTAGTTAGTTAGTTAGTGCTCGGAGTATATTGATCAAAGCGGTATAGAGAAAGAGAACAGACTTCTAGCCAGATCTATATATAAATATACGGTTTCAAGGTATAAAGCTATAAAAGTATATAAAGGTACAAATACAAAATAGAAATAGCTCATAAGGCACAGAGCGAGCACCAAAAGAACCAACAAGCTTCACTTCGGCAGATGGTGATAGTGGTAATAGAGAGATAAACGAAAGGGGTCGCAGAGATGGTCGCAGTAGTCCAACGGTACCTTAAAGTACATACAATAGACCACATTAGACAAGGTACCAGAAGACGGATAGGATGAGACGGACGGCGGGACGATGGGACGATGGGACGAAAAGACCCTTTGAAGCCAAGCTGGTGACCAACCCACTATCTACCAGTCCCCTACAAGTACAAAAAAGTCCTAACAAGCCCACAACGCCCACAACGCCCACCATCCCACTAACAGCAACCTGCATCCCCCCAAAACCACATACAACGAACCTTGACAGGCCAACAAACCCCGTCATCCACCAGTGATTCCCACTCCCTCAATCACCCCCAATCCCACACGCTGATAGGTCCCCTAGCCGCCCGGCGCCGTTGCCATCACAGACCACCGAAAAACCGTAGGCTAGCTAGATGGTGGGGCATCGCCAACGGGGGGGGACACGGGCGGCCAACCACGCGGGTGTTTCAGTGAGGGCCTTGCGCGGTTTCAGTCATGTCGCGACCACGACATCGTGAGACTGCGGGTGCCGCTGAGGAGAGTGGGAAGTGGGAAAGAGTGAGGAGTGCAGGGAGCGAGATGGGGTCGATTAGACATAGCACGGGGGTGTTAGACAGAGCACGGGGTTGTTGGATGGGGCCAAGGAGGGCACCGCGGCGGCACAGAGCGCACACACAGCCTAGATGGGGGGAGGGGGGGGTTGGCTGGTTTCGTGCGGCACCATCCATACGGAGTACAAAACGCCTCCACGATACGGATCCAGAGTGTCGGGTATGATATCTATGAACAGTTCGACTCCGTCGTACATACAGTAAAGTAAGGTAAGCAACATTCCCTCCCCTCCCCCGTGCCAATGCGCCTCCAACCTCCCAACCATCCCATACCCCCCAATCCTACCCAGCCACCCCCCCAACACACCACCCAATCCAATCCGCTCCAACCCCGCCATGCACCACGAACGCACCCATCACGAACGAAACTCCATCCCTAATCGTCCCACACCTTGACGTTATCCGAGTACTCCAAGATCTTGCTCGTCACCTCGTCCTCGATGTCATCGCCCCTCCCCGCCGCAATGCGCAGGATCAACTCATTCAGGCTCGCGCGCCCCAGGATGTCAACGTGATCGCCTGTGTTGGGGCCACCGCGCGGACTAAACCGGTCCGGCTCGTGCGCCATCTCGCGGACTACGATCTTCGTCCCCGCGGGATTGTACCGCTTCATCTTCCACCCCTTGTTGCACATGTAGCCCATTGATAGGAGGTTCACCGTCCCGTCGCCCTCGGAGAGCACGATCCCATGGTCGATGTTGCCCTCGTTGATCGCCGTGTCTATCGTAACATTAAGGCCCGGGTGCGCCGAAGTGTCATGGTAGAAGTACGACCGCTCGGTCGGTTTGCCCGTGCCTGTTTGCGCGCCAGTCGTTAGTTCAATGCATCAAATCAACGCCGCCGTGCCGCGCCGCGCCGCGCCAGCCACCAACATCCAACACGCCGGAGCTAGAGTAGGAGGGTGTGTCTTACCGTAGAAGCAGAAGATCTTCAGGTTCGGAGCGAGCGGTAGCCGCGTCTCGAGCGGGTTCACCCACTTCCGCGGGTCCTTCTCGTTCGCGTCCACCTCTGCCTTTGAGTGCGCCACCCCGTGCGAGTAGCTCCCCTTAACTGCATCCTGGTACCACGGCTCCGTCGTGTTCATTAAAAACTCCAGGCTCTCCGTAACTGTGAGGTTGCGCGCGGGATGCGTGATGTTGTTATCCTTGAAATTCAGGAATGGTCCGAAGCTTACCTCCTGCCCGGGTTGGTCGTCTGGTGCCCATGTCGAGTTGCCCCAGACGGCTTCTCCGCCCATGGGCAGCATGGATGAGATTCCCGGCATGGCGCGGAAGATCTCGACGCGCTCTTCGCGGCTGAGGAAGCGCTCGAGTCCGTATACGGCGAAGGCGTTTAGTTGGGCTGTGTCCTTCATCTCGCCGGAGAGTACCGCGGGGAGCCCCTTTAGAGCACCCAGCATACACCCACTCACGTTGATCCAGGAGTCGATGTGGTCATCTACCCAGCTATCCCCACCGTTTCCGCCAAGTGGTGAGGCCACCCAGTGGAAAAAGTAGAACATAACCTGTCCGCCCATGCTGTGACTGACGAGCGCAATCTTTTTATTTTGGACACGGTGAGCCATCTCGATGTGTAGCTTTAGACGCGTGAAGTATTGATCGCGAGCCTCGAGGTTGGAATAAGAGAGGCGCCAGTCGTAGGATGCGGTGTAGCTGTTCGTCGGGTCGTAGCCGATCGACGCCAGATTTTCGAGGATCTTGCTCCAGATCCAGTAGCCCGTGATGAAGAAATCAGTTGCATCGAAACCTTGGGCTGCGCGGACTTTGATGCCAGGGGGATCAAGACCAGTGTATTTGTCCAGCATGATATGTCTCTTCCACTCCTCCTTGTCCACTACCAGCGCGCGCATCATAGTCCAACTGCCCCATAGGCGCTTTCGAAAGTATGGTCGTGATACATTTGATGTTCCCCAAGACTCGAGGCCCGACGATATAACACCTGGTATCATAACAACAGGATGGGTCGCTTCGAGGCCTTCTGCGGCCAGTTTCAGACCTACAGAGAAAGCATCGTAGTTCAGAGCCTCACGCTCTCCGCCCTATAGCTTGTCAGTAAGACAGTCGCGTAGAATACCTCAAGCTACTCACCTTCAATTCCCTTGCTTCCTGTAGAAATCCCGCCGGAAGCACCTCCATCAAGCCAGTAATATTCAGATCCGAAATCAGATCCGCGAACTCCGGCAGCTCGAAGAGGTCATTCTTCTGCGCAAAGAAGCCCGCCACCAAAATTCCAAAAATTCCACCCAGGAAGAAGACGAATCCACCCCTCCTCTTCCTGCCCTTCGGCTTGCTGTGTTTGGTGAGATGCTTAATCGCAGATTTTGGCACCAGCGTCAACTCCTCCGAGATCTCGCTGCTTTCCGCTGATAGCGAGATCTTCGCGCCTTCCGGCGCTGCAGAGGGCCCTGACCGAGCGCCATCTTTCGCCGCCCGCTTTCGGACCGAAGACGCCATGTTTGCACAACTGAGCGGCTTCTTTTCACCGATCGAGAACGAGCGTAAGCAACTGGCGCAGCCGTTGCTAGTGAGGGCACATGTTCCTAGAAACATCAACATTCGGACTCACCGCCTTACTGCTACGTCATATGCCGAATATTCTGCCGGGGTCCCTTTGACTTGGCGTTTTGGGCCCAGGCACAATCATGTGATTTCTGATTCTTCAAACGACATTGGTGGAGGCAACTTCACCTTCTTCAAGCAAATGGCAATGGGAGAAAGGATAGCAGAGCTTCCTCCGGACTTGCAATATATCCAGTATGAGCACAGTCTAGAGAAACAGTACCTGCCGGCCATTCGGAGCTTGATATCCAAGGATCTCAGCGAACCGTATAGCATCTATGTCTACCGTTACTTCCTCTATCACTGGGGCGACCTGTGCTTCATGGTGGGTAGACTCTCTCGTCACAAAATAAACTTTCTGACAACTCCGCCAGGCAATTGATCCCAAGACCTCCGCGCTCATAGGCGTCGTCGTCAACAAACTTGAGATCCACCAATCCCACTCCCCACCCACCCTCCGCGGCTACATCGCCATGCTCGCCGTATCCTCGTCATATCGTGGCCACGGGATCGCCACAACGCTCGTTCAGAAAGCCATCGATGCAATGATTGCACGTGATGCGGATGAGGTTATCCTTGAGACGGAGGTCTCGAACACGGCGGCCATGAAGTTGTATGAGCGCCTCGGGTTCCTACGGAGCAAGAAGCTGCATAGGTACTATTTGAGCGGGAGCACGGCGTATAGACTGGTGTTGCAGTTGAAGTCACAGTTGGGTTGAGGTTTGGTGGCGTCGAGATGGGGGTTTAACGAAATGCGTTATGACACAAGCGAAGACTATCACGGTTTTTCGGATTTGATCAATGAATATACCACATTCAACTGTCTCCTCTTGTGTGTTATATCTTATACAGATGTTTTTGGGGGGCTCTCAAGTTTCTAACGGGCAATCAAAGTCCCAATCTCGAAGAGTGGCCGAAGGGTGGTTCAACTGAATGATACGCAGATTGGCATTTGTATGATGGTAGTGGCACCACAGACACTACAAAGGCAAAACAGGAAGACAGTCAAATTAAGAATACTCGAATATCTCTGTTTAAAAACCTCTGCTGTATTTGAGCTCATCCTCGCCATCTACGTGGGGTATAGCTCTTCCCATTCTGAGCAATTGTATGTGTTGCCCAGTTGTTTCCCTACAACATACCTTGCGAGCTGTATAGCGACGGCCGAATGTCCCATCTGTTGCCAGAGAATATTTCGAGGTATGTGTAGGCGTCTATTTCGTTTCAATCAGATGTATTCATCGCAACGAGACAGTCGATATGGCTTACCGCACTTGTAGTATATCGGCGTTTCGTTTCGTCGAACGAGCCCAAGATCTCTCAGTGTGTGCAAGACTCGTATGACATCCTCTACATTAGAGAAATCATAGGTGTAAATGCAGATAAGTTTGCGCCCAGTTTCCAGATGGCCGAGTTTCGGCGACACCTTCGCACCAAGGCCCAGATGACCTGTGGCTACAGCATGGGCAACAACCGACCAAATGTGGTTCACTCGGTCTAGAGGCGGGAATAGCATCCACTATTGGTTGTTAGCGAAATTCTGTACCAAACTCTGCTTTGTGTCCTGAGTATTTTTGGAGTGTGAGGCATGGATGAGGCTCCTGACCTTCCCATTAGTCATTTCCTTTGTGATGGCCATATGATGTATAGCCGCAACGGCTATGTCTCTCTCAAAGCACATCTGTCTGGTGACTATCGCCGCTGATAGCTGAGCAATATTTTGCTCCAAGGCAAACTTTGTCATCTCAAGATGATGTAGTATGCCTCTTCCGTGCATACGCAGCATTGGTATTTTGGAGACATGCTCCATCCATTCATCCCGTGGAATTCCGTCAGGGTCAAATTGAGGGGGAGGCACATGGGGGTTGCTGATCCAAATCCATTGCAATTCTCGAGAACCTTCGGTTGTTGCTGGTGGAAGGCGTTGCAGAAATTGATCTACAGTCTCCCAGTATTGACGCGCAAACTGCTTTCCATTGAATTGATGGGGGTGTGCCGCCGCCGGAGAAATCTGCCCGCAGTAGTCAGCCGCCATACTACTCGGCGTCCAATTCTCTCCTAGATGGAATACGGATCCTTTGCCCAGCTATTGCTGCTCCGTTAACAGAAACTAAAGCGTTTAAGTTGTAATGTCAGGGCTTGTATTGAGGATTAAGTAGCTGCGTCCCGGTTATAGCTATAAGAAGTAGGTGCGAAGCACGTCGGTCGAGCCGTCGCGCTTGCTTGTTATATGATAATGAGTGTGAACTAAATACTTGTTTTTTTATAATCAACAATCTTAATTGTGATAAATTCCTAGGATAATATAAAGTTGAACATTTAAATATAATAAAATGGAACAACCTAACCTATATAATCATAGATAATCGCAACTTTTAAATAAGCGTTCCTTAGAAGCTTATGCACGCTCTATATATTCAATAGGTATACTATATTAATTTAACAAAAAATGATAATAAACTGATGTGCATGGGGGCAGCGATAAAGTTTCGTGGTCGAAAGAAGGTTTGAGACCAGGGACCCGGCGTAGATCGAGTCGAATTAATTGCCCCACGCCAGAATTTCAAAAACTCCCCCGCTTTTATTCTACATCCTATTCACACCCCAACCCACTCGCAAACCATACGTCAAACAACTTGGTAACTCTTTGTCAATTTGATATTCAAAATGGACGAAGGCTCTTTGAAAAACCATGCCGTCGCTACCACTCTAGACCTCCCGCCGAGCTGCATAGAGTTTTCGCAGGCGTCACCTGAATATTTTGTGGTTGGCACGTATAACTTAGAAAAAGGAGAGACAGAGGAGGCGACACATGATCAAGAAAACGATGAGGATGACAAGCCCAAGAATGAAGTAAAGGCACAAGAGAGAAATGGCAGCCTCATTCTTTATAAATTGGAAAACGACGAATTGTATGTTGATTTCTTGCCGCCCGAAAATAATGGCATTTTCTTCCTCCTCCACACAGTCCCTATTCACATATCTCCTATAAAGCAGCGGTTTTATGGCCCAGATTATTACTATCAAATACTAAATCATAATTTAGATCCTTAACTTATACCGTGACGCACCCCGCGGCAATTCTTGATCTTCACTTCTCGCCCTTCTTCCCTCAGATCATTGCCGTCGCATCCTCCACCGGCTCAATAAGTTTATACAAACTTGAACAGACACCAAGACCCCACCTTGCCCTTCTTCAAACATTCCAACTATTTCCAGAATCTACTCTCGTTTTGTCTCTGGCATGGCATCCGTCGCATTCTCAGCTCCTGGGATGTACGTTGAATACATCTACAGTGGCGCTACTCTCTCTCTCGCCTGATTTCACCCAATGCACCGTACTCAGAGATGAGCTCAGTCCGCATGATGATCTAGAAGCTTGGACACTTGCTTTCTCGCCAGCCCGGCTAGATGGAAAGACAATGCCCCAAGCGCTATATTCGGGCGGCGACGACAGCAAGCTACGATGTCTCGCCTTTTCATCTCTGGCTTCCTTGAGCCATCCCCTCCCAGAGATCACAGCTGCATCTCCCGGTGGCAACCGTGGAATGCGAGGTCATGAAGCTGGAGTTACTGCAATCCTTCCTCTGCCTCTTGGGACCGAAGCCGGAAAGGATATATTACTGACGGGGAGCTACGATGACACCGTCCGCGTGTTTGCTACTTACGACTATCGCAGTGGCCAAAATTCAAATTTTAAAGTGCTCGCAGAAAAGAAGCTAGGAGGTGGCGTCTGGAGGCTGAAGTTCATGGACAAGGAATCGGAAAAGGTTGCGGACGGGGAGCGGTGTTTCAGAGTGCTGGCATCGTGCATGCATGCGGGTGCAAGAATCCTCGAAATCCGAGGTTCGAAGGAGGGAGAATGGACTATTGAAGTGCTGGCCAGATTTGAAGAACATAAGAGTATGAACTACGGGAGCGATGTCCAGCCATTGAAGAGAAAGGATTGGAGAGGCAACAAGAACGACGGTGAAGGAGGAGGCTATGACGATGCCAAGGAAAGGATTATTGTGTCTACAAGCTTTTATGATCGCCTGCTTTGCGTATGGAAATATCCTTGAGGGTACTTCTGGTATATACTTCAATGCGAAACATTGTTGATCATCACCCGTTTCATTGTTTGAATATGTGACATGTTTATTGTTTTGTCACATTGCATTGATTAATGAGCTGGGGACCTCGGTGTTTTATCCCACTTTCTCCTAACCTTGCAACAAGTTCCATGGGCACGGACCGTTCACAATGATGAGCAGTGTGGCGCACGCGTTTGCCATGTTGCCATACCATATATGACGAGAGTAAGAATTGTGATATATTATAGATATGGATTCTGCAATAATGGGTTGGGTACAGAGTAAGATCGGATAGGCGCCGGTCGTACCCTACCCTTGATTCGAACCCTTGTTTTCCGTTCTCCCCGCAAACGCGGACCACGCACTGTCTTACTGATCTAAAACCGTATCAGGTGGCAAAGTGGGGGGCGGGGCTGGCTGGACCTAGATATTCTCAGATCCCGATAATAATTAATGCCATTCAATCACCGTATATTCCATATTATCGGATAAAGGGACAAACTCGGCCTGCTATTCCGTACAGCATGGTCCTATAATCTGCAAACATTGCCGTACAGCGTTAGAGCTGAGGCTGTCTTAAACGTGCCGAGGACACGGACTTTCCCCACTAGGATCGTCGCGGACATAGCGCACCCCGATCCAAACGGCCTTACCGACAAAACAAAGCGACATCTCCCGTCGATTTCCAATCACCACCCACAAATCCTATCGGTCACGATCCGGATAGACCTGGCTCTTTCTCCCATTCTGTCCCCAACACGCTCTCTATCTTTGAGGAGACGCCGCCGCATGTATATATGAGAATCAGTCTTCAAGGCGACTATCACAAGCCAAACGAAGCCCAACTAAGTGGTAAGTATAATCCGGCACTTGACATCACAAGTGGGCCATATCTGCTCCACCTTCATGACTTCCTTCCTTTTGGGAGCCCCATGTGTGGATCTTGGTGTGTTTGGTAAACTCCATACAGTCCGGAGGCTGATGATAGAAAAAGATCCCCAAGGCACACTTCACCGTGCAACTACTCTCGCTAACCCGCCCCCCGCCACTCTCACGCCCTGCATTGAAGACATTGGCTTCACGTCAAGCAGACAAATAGTGCAAGGCAATTGCCCTAACAGCTCTTAGCGAGTCAGGTTCTCCGCTTCCTTCTGCAGGTTGGGAAGCTGCATGCATGGCCCACGTGGCACATGCGAAGTAAAGAAGGCAGTCCGAGAAGGCATCTCGCCCGGACCGCGAGTACCTGCAGGATTCCTGTTCGACGTTGATGGGCTGAGGCACCCAGGAATCTTTCATTCTCGTCAAAGCCGCCTTCAAAATGGTGTACTGTGGCAAGCCATCCAGGGGATGTCAGATGTGCCGGACAAGACGAATAAAAGTATGCAGGACTCTCTGTCACCGCCTCATTTGCTTTAGCATCTAGCATATGATATATGTCTCCCAAGAGAAAGACTGATGAAACTTACTGACTATTTTTGTCTGACAGTGCGACGAAACAAAACCCACGTGCACACAATGCCGCAAGTCCAGGCGAGAGTGCCCTGGCTACAAAGATGACTTTGATCTCGTCTTTCGCAATGAAACGCAGGCCACTGAGAAAAGGGCGAAGAAGCCAACTGCCAAAGCAAGGAAAGCTGCATCTCAAGCAGCAGCTCCATCGAACCGACCGTGGAACTCTAATGCGGCACCCCCTGGCGCAAACCACCCCGACTCTTCATTGGTACCCAGCTCGAGACCAGCACAAGTGCCTGCTACCATCTCTATTCCAGTAGAGCAAGTTGCATCACATTACTTCTTTACCAATTTTGTCGCTACGTCAGACAATGGCGCTTCGATAGGACTCACGGATTATATTATACCGCTTGCCAATGCGAGTCCATCGAACAAGCATTTATCACTCGCCTTCAGTGCAGCGTCATTGGCCGCGTTTGGCAACCGTCCAAGTGGGAAATCACTGTTAACGAAGGCACAAGAGCAGTATAGCAAAGCTATACGACATGTAAACGATGCACTACGGGACCCAGTGGCGCAAAAGACGGATGAAACCCTCGCATCTGTGATGTTGTTGGGGATGTACGAGGTAAGCAGCTCATTATCGTTGACCAACAGCTTGTGTCTGACCTGCTTCAGACTATTCTATCTCGACCTGTAGCTATGGCAGCCTGGGGCTCACACATAGACGGCGCGGTGATGCTAGTCAAGCTCCGAGGGAAGAAGCAACTTCGGACGAGGGTTGGGAGCGCACTCTTTATTGCCGTTAGGAACCTTATGGTACGATTGCCGATTTTCCCCTTGTAATTGCATTCTAACACCTTTAGTCCATTAATTGCCTGTCGACAGGCAAAAGGCCGGACTGGGGCATCGACCCGTGGAAATATGACGGTAAAGATGGCGACGTAAGAGAGGTTGTAAACCAGCTAGCCCTTCAAATGGCAGAGTTGCGATATGAAATTAACGGGCTCATGACTATCGCAGAACGTACACCTGAAAATGTTAGCAAGGTCCAAGATGCAATGAGGCGCTCCTGGGAGATGGAGCACAAGATCCAAGATTGGATAGCCAAACTACCAAACGCCCTACGTTTTAAAACTGTAGCCTGGGTGAAGAGCATTTCTTCTGATGAAATTCTAGACAGCGAGGTGTACCCGGGAAGAATCGATACCTTCCCGGATGTTTGGATTGCAGGTGTGTGGACGCTTCTTCGTGTTACACGGCTGTTTATCTCAGGCGCTGTGGTACGTTGCGCTGCATGGCTGAACACTTCCGTGGATTATCGCACGACACCAGAATATGCAGCGGCTGCAAGGTTAGGAACAGATTCGGTCAACGACATAGTCGCAGGCGTTCCGTACCATTTGGGCTGGAAAGCGAACAAAGGGCCTTTGCAGCGCTTTGCTGTGGCAGGTGACAATTGTTTTGCCTTCGGTGACAACCAAAATACACCAAGGGCATTGGGATCATACCTTTCTACCTGGCCAATTTTCAGCGCATCTTGCAGCGACTTCGCAACAGATGCCCAAAGGACATGGTTGAAGGGTAGGTTACACTACATAACAGATGTCATGGGGATCAACCAAGCTGGCACATTAGCTCTCGTGAGTTTCACCCCCATCCATATTTATTCCAAATTATGTCAGATGAGTATGTGAATTGTGCTAATGGCCCACAGTATCAATTACGCCTCCCATCTATGACAATTAAACGCGACTTGATGAGCAGAGCCGCGCTGTTGACAAATCAGCTTCCTAACCAGGCCTTCACCCCGCCATCTACTGCCTCTGTATCCCCTCCGCATTCAACCAGCACAGTTCCATCATCGACGAGCTACACCACACCTCAAGGCACCGCTTACCCTTCCTCGACGTCCTCCCCACCCACGAGCCTCCCGCCCAACTACCCCTCCGCCTATCCCATGCCTACAAGCGCGGCCCCAGGCCACTTAGTCAACGCACCTCAAATACCGCCCCAATTCGCATACCTCCTGCGCCAAGAATCCCCACCCGACGAGCATCTCCTCGCAGCCATGGAGAGCTCTAGCCAGAAACAGTGGGACCAATGGGAGCGAGAGCGCAGGAAGCGAGAGCTCGAACGAAAGAAAGAGGCCCTGGTTGATGAGGGGACTGGCGGGGATGAGATGTTAGCGGAGCTGCTTAAGAGATATTTCCAGGTGGGTATGATGGACAAGGACTGAATTGGTTGACGGGTTTGGAGAAGATAGGATCGGAGTTGGGGTTGAGCGCTATAAGGCGTATGAGGGATGGGAGAATTGGATTGCTATTCTTCGGCCGTTCGGGGGTGGGTAGAAAGGACGGGAGCTGGGCGACTTTACTGTATGATGTGTGTGCACGCGTGCGTGCACCCTCGCAGGTGGCTTGCCTATGTATTTTTTGCACAAAGTTGGGAACGTGTATCATAACGCCACGTTTACGTATTTATGTTGTTGGTATATATATTTTGCTTGAAGAACAATTAAAGAGATACATATTTGATAATTCACTTGTCTAGTAAGGTCGCAAACGGAGACAAGTGGCTAAGTATGGCCATGAGAAAGAGAGGGACCTCAAGGGGTTGGCCGCTTGAACAGTAGTTTGAAAAGTATTTAGCATATTTGATTCGATCCTTAATGACAACAATGCGTATATCCCAGGCCAAGTTACAATAAAACCAATATAACAGATTTCGTCCACTAATTCAGAATAAAAAGGTGAGACACAATAACTTTGCTGTATTTTCCTAATAAAACAAAACAGCGTAAACCCCACCGCTCGCTTGGCTTGCAGAGATCGACGTACAGATGCGAACCGAAGGGTATCTCTCATGTCTCATTCCGACTTCAAGATCTAACCAGCCACAAAATCGGCTCAAGAACGTAAACATAAGTGCAACAGGACCAAGCTGCTGTTGGACGCCGTGCCCATCCCATAGATGCACGAAATATATCCCACGCGGTGGACAATGCACAGTGCCGTCGAGGCAGCTGTGACGAACCGATCACGACCAGCCGGGAACACTAGAAGCATCGTTGCCATATCCAATGACTTAATTCGTCTTTCCCTCGTCCTTCTCCTTGTTCCAGATCTTGGATTTGTAGCCGGGCCAGGTACTCAGGTTCCACGCTTTGACGAGGACGCTCTGCGTCTGGTCAACGTAATCGTCGTTTCTGATCTCTTTCACGCCCACTTTCATGCCGTCCTTTGTGAAGACAACGTTCTTCTTTTCCATCTTCTTCGAGGCGGCATCGGAGATCTGCATGATCGAGAGGTAGATGTGGTACCCGACAAATGCCAGGCCTCCCAGGACTCCAAAGAGGATAATGAGAGGGACGAGCTTGCTGGGGGCCAGTTAGAAGACGATCAAAGCATCGGATATGGAGGAACTCACGCAATGGCTGACTTGGGAGGTGCAGGGGGTTTAGGAACTTTCGCGCTTCCCCAGGCCATGATGGAAAGCTTGTTTTTAGGAGATTGAGCTATTAAGAGCGATGAAGGTATGAGTTCAGGTTTGAGAGGTCGCAGAGCGTCAGAAAGCTTGAATAGAAGAAAACTTGGAAAGAAAAGTGAACGATTGATAAAGAATTGGGTATCAGAGAAAATAATAACGAGAGTTTTAGAGCTGAAGTGCACACATCAAGCAAGCTTGTGATTGCGGCTGGCTGGACACGCAATTACGAGGTAGTAGCGCGGGGGACGAGGCTGGACAAATCAAGGCGCCTGCGCCCCATGGCAACGCACTGGCCAATAGGCGGGTCTAGGCACGTGATTGGAGCCTCGCTTAATCTCAGTCGTCGTCCAAGCTTCTACGAACACAGTGTCCCGCGCCAGGAATGGGGAGCTACTCGGGACAGCTTCATACCACGTACACTCATATCAATCTAGGCTCATAGGTGACAGCGAACCCAATCTTGCAAAGCTACAGCTTGTTAAAGTCCCTGGGCGGCCTTTGCACAGCATATTCGCATTTAAAAGTGGTTGCAGAGTCTCATTATCCACCTGTCTGCCCGCTTGACGACACCAATACATTCGCGCCCACGACGTCTAGACCGGTGACAAAAAGGAACCCAACTCGACCTCAGCCATGTCGGCCCCTCAAGAAGGTTATCCACCGCAAGGTTATCCGCAACAGGAGCAATATGGGGAGCAGCAACCACAACCTGGCTTCGGAGCTGCTGCACCACCTCCGGCCGAGGAGCACCATGACGGCCATGGCAAGAAAAAGAAGAGAGGATACGCTGCGCAAGCATACGATTTTGGCGCTGGCGGTAACGCAGCTCTAGGAGGGCAACCGCCAAACCCAGAAAACTTTGCTCCAGTTGGCGCCCCAGCTTATGGTGGTTACCCTGCTGCTGCCGAGCAGCCAGCTTATACTGGGAACCAGCCATACACCGACGCCCCTCAACCGTCAACTTTTGGCCAGTCTGCCCTCGGCGGCCTTGGAGGATACCAGGCACCACAACAACCAGCTGGGTACCCGGCACCTGGAGCCCCTCCCGGTGGTGATGTTGGAGGTATCACGCAGGGAATGGGCCAGATGGGAATTGCGCCTCAAGCTGCTGCGCCAGGCGCTGGAGGTGCACCGAGGGTTGCCCTGAACCAGCTATATCCCACCGATCTTTTAAACCAGCCATTTAATGTTGCTGAAATTGAGCTGCCTCCGCCACCAATTATCCTCCCACCAAATGTAAGCTGGGCATTCCTAACTGACAGAAATTATTTGGCTAATTTGCTTAAAGTCGAGCGTCACACCGTCACCGGACGCAAACAGCTCCCACAAATACGTGCGATCTACCCTCAATGCAGTTCCAACAACCAACAATCTCTTAAAAAAGTCGAAGCTTCCATTTGCCCTCGTCATTCAGCCATACACTTCCTTACATGATGCGGACGACCCAGTTCCAGTTATCCAAGATCAGATCATTTCTCGTTGCCGAAGATGTAGGACGTATATCAACCCCTATGTTACTTTCCTCGACCATGGACACAGATGGCGCTGTAACATGTGCAATCTGACCAACGATGTCCCACAGGGATTTGATTGGGATGCTGCAACACAGCAGAGTGTAGACAGGTGGCAGAGAGCCGAACTGAACCACGCCGTTGTCGAATTCGTGGCTCCACAAGAGTACATGGTTAGGCCACCGCAGCCTCTGGTGTACCTCTTCCTCTTCGACGTAAGCTATAACGCTGTGAACAATGGCCTCTTGGCTACCAGCGCACGCACAATCCTCGACAGCCTCAACAGGATACCCAACGCCGACCGCAGGACGCGCCTCGGCTTCATGGCTGTGGACTCGAGCTTGCACTACTTCACAATTCCAAAGGATACCGAAGAGAACGGAGAGACAAATATGCTTGTGGTTAGCGACTTGGATGAGCCGTTTTTGCCAATCCCCCAAGAGTTGCTGGTACCCCTGTCGGAGTGCAGGACAAATATCGAGGCATTCCTCACCAAATTACCGAGCATGTTCCAGAACAACGTAATCACCACATCGTGCATGGGATCGGCATTGCGCGCCGGTCACAAGCTTATTTCACCGCTTGGTGGCAAGCTTGTGGTACTGACGGCTACGCTGCCCAATGTTGGCTATGGAAAGCTCGACTTGCGTGAAGATCCAAAGGCTCTCGGAACCAGCAAGGAAGGCGCCCTGTTGCAAACCCAAAACAGCTTTTATAAAAGCTTTGCTGTCGAGTGTTCCAAGAACCAGGTTTCCATCGACATGTTCCTCTTTTCTTCACAATACCAGGATGTGGCATCGCTGAGCAACCTGCCCCGATACACCGGAGGGCAAACCTACTTCTACCCAGGATGGAGCGCTGTGAGAAGCGAAGATGCTATCAAATTTGCCTCGGAGTTCAGCGACTACCTCTCTTCTGAAATCGGTTTGGAGGCCGTTCTACGTGTCCGTGCGACCACTGGACTGAGAATGAATACCTTCTACGGCAACTTCTTCAACCGCAGCTCTGATCTGTGCGCGTTCCCAGCGTTCCCTCGTGACCAGGCATATGTCGTTGAGGTCGCTATTGACGAAACCCTCACGAAGAACTTCATCTGTATGCAGGCCGCTGTGCTCCATACAACGAGCAATGGGGAGCGCAGAATTAGGGTCATGACACTGTCTCTCCCTACGACAACAATCCTAGCCGATCTCTACGCGTCAGCGGATCAATGTGCGATCACTACTTACTTCAGTCACAAGGCAGTCGAACGCGCCCTTAGCAACGGCCTGGAGTCCGCGCGTGAATCCCTGCAGTCGAAGCTCATTGAGCTCCTCCAAACGTTCAAGAAAGAGCTTGCTGGAGGAAACATGGGTGGTGGCGGTCTTCAATTCCCAGCTAACCTCCGCGGCCTCCCTACTCTTTTCCTGGGACTGATTAAGAACCTCGGTCTACGAAAGTCGGCCCAGATTCCGTCCGATCTTCGTTCTGCCGCCCTTTGCCTGCTCTCCACGCTGCCATTACCGCTGATGATGCAGTACATCTACCCACGCCTTTACTCTTTGCACGACATGCCCGATAATGTCGGTATCCCAGACCCAGAGACCAGCGAGATTGTCCTCCCGGCTCCGCTCAACCTCTCTTCCGAGCGCCTCGTTCCATATGGTCTATATCTTATCACCGATGGCCAAACTCAATTCCTGTGGGTTGGCCGCGATGCTGTACCGCAGCTCCTGGAAGACGTCTTTGGCGTGCCTGATAGGACACAAGTCAAGGTCGGCAAAGCATCACTGCCAGAGCTAGACAATGACTTCAATGAGCGCATTAGAGCTGTCATGCTGAAGTGCAAGGATTACAGATCCAGGGGTGTTGGAAGCATAATCCAGCCACACCTATATATCGTCAAGGAGGATGGAGACCCAAGCTTGAAGCTGTGGGCGCAGACAATGTTGCTGGAGGACAGGGCAGACCAGGGGATGAGCTTCCAGCAGTGGATGGGGACACTGAGAGAGAAGGTAGGTTAATCGTACATGACCTTTTAGCCTTTGAAAGCCCGGCTCTGTGCAGAGGCGTTAAGGCGTGTTAAATCGGACTCACGTGCTGATGTATGCTTTGCGTGCAGGTTATGCAATAAGTGCTAAAGCACACAATGACTCGAAAGCGAAATATACGACGGTGGCCACTGATGATGAAATGAGCGTGCTCTAGTGGGCAGGCGGGGTATGAAGGAAATAACGATACGTTGATAGCAATTTTGATAGGGGAGCAAAGAGTTTACGTATAGACTGAGTGTGAAGAGAAGCACTGTTGATTAATATACATCGTCCAGTAGCTGAGCCTCTAGCATTATATCTTCTGCAATTTGGAGTCTATTGATGGATGCACTTCATGTTAAAACCTAGTTACAGTAGCAACGTGTAACTTTCTAGCGAATAAAAAATGTCAAACAACACGGAATAAGTCATATAACATGACAATCTATCCACTATTTCCAAATCCAAGACTTCGTCATTCAATATGCCAATAGCTCACTGTTTTGTTTTTTTCTACATCCTGCACATTCAATATTATAATTTGGCCTTCACGTTTCTAAATGCACGTGACCAATTGCTCATAGATTCTCGCTGAGTCAGCATTATATTGTAAGCAGCCAATGACAACCACCGACAACCTCCTGAACCATCTCCCAGGAACTCTATGAATCCCGTGACTAGAACGCATCATTAGTTACGAAGAGATGGCAGCTGGTTATTTCCCGACCAAGGGGCAATCGCCGGTAGATAGCCGCGTTGCTTCTCCCGCCCTGTCCAGTACTGGCCAGGCGCCCATACGTTCTAATGCGCTGTCGTCGAAGGTCAACAGTGTCCTCTCGGCATCATATGCAGACCTTGAGATCAGAGATGCCTTGCAATTACTTGATGAAAGAGGAGTTGAGAATACAGTGGAGACAAGACGTCAGCTGAGACTCGATATTCAGAAGGATGTCATTGACAGCAATGGGCTGGTGATCAAGGAGTTCGGCCATGTCGCAGAGGTGGGTTGGCTGCATTTTCGACTCTCCGATATACGGGCCAAACTGACACGTTGAAAATAGCAACTCAGACGCATCGGGCAGAGTATTGCAAATCTGAATCAGGGATGTGAAGAGATGCGGAGGCACATTACGGCCGCTCACCAGGAAACCGCGCCAGTGTTGGATGAGGCGTCTGATCTGATGGCGCGCAAGAAGGATGTTGAAATGAAGCAGAAATTGCTTCAAGCTTTCAGCGCCCATTTTGTCATGTCCGACGATGACATTGCGACTCTCACCTCTACCGCGGAACCAGTTAATGACGAGTTCTTCATCGTTCTTAACCGCGCTAAACAGATCCAAGTGGACTGTGAGATCCTCTTGAGCTCTGAGAACCAGAGGCTTGGCCTGGAGATTATGGAGCAAATCACGACAAACCTCAATGGCGCATTTCAGAAGTTGTATAGGTGGATCCAACGCGAGTTTAAGTCACTTAATCTGGAGAACCCCCAAATCAACGCCTCCATACGAAGGGCGCTGAGAGTATTGGCAGAAAGGCCAACACTGTTCCAGAACTGTCTTGATTTCTTCGCCGAAGCGAGGGAGCATATTCTGTCAGATTCGTTTTATACGGCATTGACTGGTTTATCGGTAACCGGAGATGAAGATAAGACAGTGAAACCTTTAGAGCTTGTGGCACATGACCCCCTGCGCTATGTTGGTGATATGCTGGCGTGGACCCATTCTGCTACTGTCAGTGAAAGAGAAGCACTTGAGGTGTTATTTATCTCCGACGGCAATGAGATTGCCAAAGGCATTCAAGCTGGTAGAGATAGTGAACCGTGGAATAAATATACTCGGGACGAAGAAGCAGACACTGTTTTCGATGGCCACAAGGCCCTGAATGATCTCGTTGACCGAGATGTCGCTGGCGTAGCGCGCGTGCTGAAACAACGCATTGAGCAAGTTATACAGAGCCACGACGAAACAATCCTAGTTTACAAGATCTCGAATCTGGTTAACTTCTATCGGGTCATGTTTACAAAAATCCTGGGCGAAGATTCTGCGTTGCTAAGCACACTTCAAGGACTAGAGGACTTTGGCTTACGCCAGTTCCGCGTACTGATGCGAGACCATATTGCCAGCTTGCAGACTGAAACGCAGCAGGCACCTGCAGACTTGGGCCTGCCGATTTTCTTGCAAGAAGGGCTCAAACAGCTCACTGAGATTATGAAAACCTACGACACATCATTTACCAGCGCGAAGAGCCGAGAAGAAAACTTCAAAACAGTTCTCGAGGATGCCTTTGAACCATACATCAGGGGTATAGAGACCATGGCAAAAGATATGGAGATGCCATCAAATTCGATATTCATCATCAACTGCCTCCTATCTTGCAAGACGGCGCTAGAATCGTACCAATTCACAGCCGACCGCGCCGAGGAGCTCGGAAAGACAGTAGAGCAGCACTCAATTGACCTTATTGAGTATCAATATGCCTTTTTCTTGCAGAGCTCTGGACTACAGCGTCTCGTCGACACGTTGCAATCCATGGGCAATGAGCCAGACCTGAAAAAACTCGTATCCACCGAGGCTTTCCAGCCACAAGCTCTTAAGGATGCCAGCCAGATACTAGACGACTTCTTGCCATCCGCTCTCATGGACGCGTTGGATAATTTGAGGAAGCTTCAAAGTTCAAGGTTAGCACGGGAAATCACTGAAGAGGCGGCCGATAGGTTCTGCGAGGACTTTGAGGTGGTGGAGGAGAGGATTACCCAGGCCGATGGTGTTGCGGAGAGGTCAGAGGATGAGGAAGAGGAGGACGAAGAGATACTTGGACTCCGAGCTTTGTTCCCACGAACTAGCGGGGAGATTCGAGTTCTACTGACGTAGAGAGGGAGCAGATATATCTTGGGATATTGGCAACTTAACTTCGGGAATCCGCATAATACTGTGGCCCAAATATAGACGATGAGACATGCAACAGTATCCCTTAACAAAAGCTGCGGTGACTACATTCCGTGACGTTTGACAACGGCTCATTAGCGCCTCAGTTTGGTATATATACAGTATGTAGTTGTGACGGAGGCGATCGACAGCTGTCTGGCGCATGCGGAAGCGTAGATTGTGGTGGGGATCCTTGCCAATCAAGTGCCACCCCGCATTTCCCACTGTGCCAGCCTCACTGGTGATGTGTGCTACCCTGTTCGTCTCTACTTTTGCCATGAGCGTCATAATTAATATCTTGTATACTAGAGGAATTATGGCCTTGTAAAGTTTCCTTATCGTCTTGATTGTAGTCTGGAAAAGTAACTGTAATATTTCTGGTTTTGCGCGGCAAGCACAGGTCCCACTATCAGACATCGACGTCATTTTGCACCTGTACGAACATCAATCAGCCCTGCCACAACTACGGTCATCCCCAACATACGAACAACAATACTGCGAATTAGCCAGGCATCAACCCTGTGGGATGTGTCGGCTGTTAACTAAGAAACCATGATGCGGAATAAGAATTTCTCGTCACTGCAAAAGACGTACGATGAGTGTTACTTGATATGCTCAACCGCAGTGTACTTCGAGAGTCAGGTATGCGCAAGACAACCCTGCCGGCGAAGACCCCATGCTAGGTCTTCACTCATTGAAGTTTATATTTACTAACGTATGGCCAATAGGGCAATGAAAGCGAGGCCTTGCGGTCATGGCGGTCAGCCCTCGACCAGATTTACTTCTTCAACGCACGAACACCTGCCGATCTGCGCCCACGGTCAGAAACCGAGAAAGCATTGAAGGATAGTCTGAGGGATATGGAGTTGCAATGCAAAGAGCGGGTTGAACTTCTAGAGGCTCTGAGCGTTTCACGAGGAGATAAAGCGTCGGCGGACGAAGGCGCGGGCGTCGGGTCATCATCTCAACAGTCGAGCACAGCGAACAAGCTCTCGAAGAGCCCTATAACTCCGCGCCCGTCAAACGAATCCGAAGCACCTGTTAGAGGATTTATTGGAGATGGTACTATTCCTGCTATGAGCTATCCGGATCTCTCTCGGCCTGCTCGTCCTACACCATCCCCAAGACCAAGGCCACCAGTCCCTCCAAGGAATATATCCGACCGTGCGGTTGTTGGACGGAACTCGTCAAGCACGACAGTATCGAGCGATACTGCTATAAACGCTGCTCAGGCTCAAGTGCCTTCTTCTGGGCCAGACAGCTTAGTTCCACCAAAGAAGGTATCCAAAAAGACGTCTAGGAGCAGAAGTCCACAGAAAGAGCGATCCATGCTTACTACACTACGATTCAACAAGGGAGAAAAGCGACCTACTAAACCGGCACGGGTTTCTTCGAATACCACTGATGACACTGTGACTAGCAAAGCAGCAACTCTGGCATGGAACGCTCTCCGAAAAAAGCCGTCACCTAAAGATGATGGTGGCAGAACACATGCTCTAGGAGTGGCTGCAAGCGCAACTGCGTTGGATAGCAGTCGCAAACAAGGAACAGCAGAACGACCAAGTTCCGATAACCAGGAAGTCTACTACAACAGTCATTCCAGGAGACTTGTCACTGGCCGGCCAAAGAGCAATAGCCCGCCAGAATCTACAACCCGAGGTGAATCATATTCTACTGGCGACGGTCCTGAATATCCATTTCCGTCTACAAACCCACAACAGCAGGCAGCTGGGTCTGAACCGATGCTAAATTTTCCTACAGTCTCCGAAATTCAGAACCTTCCACCCATCGCTCCATCATCAGATCCCGAAACCACCTCTAGGTTTAAGTTTAGGACTCCGCCTCCGGTTCCACCAGCCAAGCCCGCAAAGTTCGACGCTCCATCATATCCTACATACCTAAGGGAATACCCAGAAACTACTGCCAAGAAGAATGCTGTGGAAAGCCGAACCATGTTGCCACTCCGTAGGAGATCGCCCGCTAAGCCAAGGACCTCTGGGGAAGAGAGAAATCCGGAAGCAAACGGCTCGTCTTCCCGCAAAGACGCACGCCATGTAGGAAGAACGTCCCTCGATGATGATAGCTCCTCCCCTAGTTATGATGAAAGGTCCGGTCGACCCAGGAGGCCCCGGAGGAAGATTCCAAAACAGAAGGAGAAAGAAGATGCCATTTTAGCAGACGCCGATGCACCGAAGGTTGAAGAGTCTGATGACTCTGCGGATAGGCAGGAGCAAGATGATTGGGCAAAGAAAGTCAAGTACATGATGAAGCATCTGCCCAAAGGCTGCGACGAGCTTGCCGCCAAGCAAATCTTCAATGAAATTGTTGTGAAGGGCGATGAGGTTCATTGGGACGATGTGGCTGGACTAGATGCTGCAAAAAATGCCTTGAAGGAGGCTGTGGTGTATCCATTCCTGCGGCCGGATCTTTTTATGGGTCTCCGAGAACCAGCTAGGGGTATGCTCCTCTTTGGCCCACCGGGAACAGGCAAGACCATGCTTGCTAGAGCCGTGGCAACGGAATCCAGGTCGACATTCTTCTCGATCTCGGCGAGCAGTCTCACAAGTAAATATTTGGGCGAATCCGAGAAACTTGTCCGGGCGCTTTTCGCGCTGGCAAAATATCTCGCGCCTAGTATTATCTTTGTCGACGAGATTGACTCTCTGCTCTCTAGCCGTGCCGGTGCTGGCGAACATGAGGCTACTAGAAGAATCAAAACGGAGTTCCTCATCCAGTGGAGTGACCTCCAGCGCGCTGCTGCTGGCCGAGAACAGACTGATAAGGAGAAGGATGCGGGTGATCCCACTCGAGTGCTTGTCTTAGCTGCCACCAATATGCCCTGGCTAATTGACGATGCCGCGCGGAGAAGGTTTGTAAGGAGACAATACATTCCACTGCCGGAGGGTGATACCAGGGCCGTCCAGTTAGCAAATCTGCTTGGTCACCAGAAGCACAATTTGAGCGTGGAAGATATCCAGAAGCTGGTCATGATTACTGAAGGTAAGCATTCTGAAATTATATACGCCAAGCACCCATAGTACTTTGCTAACTATTCAAGGCTTTTCTGGCTCAGATATCACGGCCCTGGCTAAGGACGCTGCTATGGGTCCTCTCCGTTCGCTTGGTGAAGCGCTCCTTCACATGCCCATGGACCAAATTCGCCCATTCCAATTTGAAGACTTTATGGCAAGTCTGGTGAACATTAGACCTAGCGTGAGTCAGCAGGGTCTCATGGAGTATGAGGCGTGGGCGAAGGAATTTGGTGAGAGAGGCGGTTGATGCATTGTTATTATAAGGGCCTGGTATTCTCGGTGTGGGGACAGGGGGCGTTCAAGGCGGCATCACCAATGGGGCAACGGATCACTGTGGTCTCCATAGAGTATAGTAGGATGCGCAGTATTGATATGCGAATGCACGACTATATAATACACATGGTTACTTAGTACATATTTTACAGTCTCTCCGCCTCCTCGAATCTATATCACAGCCTCAATGTCGCAGAACGCCCCAAAAATGCCCAAACCCTCCGATCATCAAAACAATCCCCGAGCAGGTAGTTTCTCTCCAATACCCTACGCATTCTCCTCAATCTTTTCCTCTGTGCCAATCTTCGCTCTCCTTAATTGTTTCGCCTCCTTCTTCAACCTCCTCTCCTCCAGACGCTCCACCTCGGTCATCACTGACGGTCGCGCCTCGATGGGCTCTCCAAAGGGCGCGATGATGCGGCTTACGACGTGGCGCACACTCTTGCTTACACGCCATCCGGAGCTGATCTCGATAATATCGCCTGCGCGCAGGGATGAGCGTGGATCGTGGACCAAAACCGTTTGCGGGTAGTTGAAGTACTAAAGCTTACTGTCAGCATTGGTATTCTTTGTCACAGAGGCTACTTTAATGCGACATAGCCGGGTGGGCAGGAGGAGCTCAAGGCGAGTGATATAGAGAGGAAATTTACCTTCCGGACGTGCTTGTTCCACTTCTGACCCCCGATGCGGACCTTGACGGTCTTCTGCATGAGGCCTGCCGTGAGCACGACGGCGTTTATAACGCGCGATTGGGGGGCCGACATAGTTGGGTTTCGGCGCTTTGAGCGCGGTCCAGACTGGTCGTGCTGCGAGTTCAATTGAGCTGTATTGACTGCGGGAGAGGAAGAGCGGTTACGGAGGCCGAGGATGTGAGGCGTAGATTTGACATCGTGAGGGTCTTCCGAATTGGACGAGGTTCGAGAGATTTTGGTGGAGTGTTTGTCATGTTTGCTCGGGTACAGGGGTGTGCTCGACAACTTTATAGAAACCCAATCTGCGGTTACTACAACAAAACAGAAATTGGGCCAGACCAAAATAGTGGCAGATAGCTTAGTATATTTTTCTCTGGTTTTCTTATTCCAATATAGATCAATTATTGATGTATCTGTGGCTGCGCCCTGTTTTGTTCTACGGCTAATATTTGTCTGGAGAGATTTTTGGATATGTAATCTCCCCGACCAAAACGAGTTTCCCCAAGTGATACTCAGATGCTTTATTTTTATATTTTTCGGTATCACTTTCTTATTTAGACTACGTTTTAAGCCGGTATGTTGCTCTACACTATCCCGTACATCGCAATGTAGGAATATCCAAAGATGGATAATATACCACAGCCCTCAAATATATATTTACAAAGTCGCATCCCTAGGCTGAGTCGACTATCATCCTTACTTACGAAACATATAAGTCGAGAACTGCAATTGAGAAGAGACGGAATGTACCTGTGGGCGTTGATGAGAAAAGGAGGCGGTGGGGTGAAAAACTACAGCGGCGGCAACAGGAAGGGGGTCCGGTGACGGAACGCCTCGCGGTGAGCGCCAAATCGTCGAGAGACAGCCATAGTTCTCGATTCTCCTTGACGATTTCTACTCTGGCCTTATTATCCTCCACAGATCTGCCTGTCTTCTGCTTTGCGACCTCGTCCTGGACAATCTATAGCTGCGCAGTGACTTCCCGGAGCTGCATACGCAGCGAAGACAACAGCAATCACTAGCAACGAACGTATATATACCACATATTCGCTCGAAGAACAGGCTACAGGCTGTAGTGAGAGGATATGGTTATAAAAGTTCGATATATTGTCAACAAAGGCTTAATAAATAAATTTTGATATGCACTCTTGTGGTAACTCAATTGGTTCCATTACATATATACAGAGTTCAGGTGCCCACGCCATTCATCCATCCCCTTATTTCGAAATCCCTTGAGGCGTCGCTGCGAATGTAGGTCGCACAAATCTGCAATAGATGTCAGTCAAACGTGAAGAGGAGGCCCATCAAACTCGGGATGATCGTACCTATCGGAATTGTATGCGCTCGTAGTCTTGCCCAGCAGCTCCTTCTCTCTGCTCTGGTCGGCCAAATGCCTACGGACAAGATCTCTATCCTCCTCTGCCGTCAACATCGGAATCAGGTAGATTCTCGACCACATCTTCTCGCGCGCAAGCTCACTGGAAGTACCGTTAGCACTCCATCTCCACAACCACATTCCAGCTCCCTGTCCTATCGCATGTTGGTAATCGACATACTTTTGTTCTCTGATTCCCTGTCCAACTCTCCAGAAGCCGTAGGTCATCAATGCGCCCATTCCGAGAAGCAGATATGCCGGGCGGAAGCCTCTGGCCGGCAAGTTGCGCTATTCCGCCGTTAGCACAGTATAGAGACAGCCGAATCATCCAATTGATTGAGAATATATACCTTGTACTGGACGGCATTGTAGCCACCAACTGGAGGCAGGTCTTGAGGCATCGTGATGTGTTTGGCAGCTCTATGGTGGTTCACGCGTGGTGAGCTTCCAGGTGAGGTGAAAGCGGTGAGTTGTCGGGTGATCACGTGATATATTTGCAACCTAAGGCACACATAACTGTGCCTTTTCCAGGGCCGAGACTAAGCCTTATACAGCGATGGTGGGGTTTTCTGCCATTGATTCCAAGAGCAGAGGACGCACAAGGTGCTGACCCAGGTCAATTTCAGTAACTGCACCGGCGAACTCAGAGTGGCGCATAACAATCAGGATGGCGGAAACAGAAGAGCGTCCCTCAAAAATGAGGAAGCTCGAACCTGTCAACGATATTAGTATCTCCCAGACGGATGGGCAAGATGACATTGAAAACGATTTAAAAACCTCACAACAATCTATTGAGAAACACGAAACTGAAAGCGCCGTACCCTCGGACTCAGAACATGAAGAGGAAGAACAAGATGTTAACAAAAACAAGACAGCCGGTGGTCTTGCGGGCGACTCGGGGACTCCCTCTATGTCCAAGAACCAATTGAAGAAGATTCGCAGAAAGGCTGCGTGGGAAGCCGGCAAAGACTATCGAAAGGAACAGAAGAAGGCCAAGATAACTGCGAAGAGGGCACAACGAGCAGCAGATAAGGCCGAATTGCTTGCGAGTGGCATTGACCTAGCCGCCCTGGCGAAACCACGTCCGACACCATCAACACAAGTTCCCGTAACGCTACTATTGGATTGCGATTTTGATGGCTATATGACGGACAAGGAGGTTATGAGCTTGGGTCAGCAGATTACGAGGTGTTATAGCGACAATAAGCATGCAAAATACCGAGCGCACCTGGTTGTTAGCAGCTTTGGCGGGCGACTAAAAGAAAGATACGAGACGGTGCTGTCGAACCATCATTTAGGTTGGAAGGGCGTTACATTTTCGGAGAAGTTCTTCGTCGAGGCAGCAAAAGATATCCATGATGTTATGATTGGGTCCGAAGGGGGAAGGGTGAAGGGTGCATTGCTAGGCGCTTTACTTCCAACAGACAACATTCCGGTACTGGTTCAAGAGCCAGACACGAGCGATAAAATCCAGCAACCAAACGAACCAGCCTCGGAGCCAGAAAAGCAAACTACAGCTCAACCCGCCCAGGCCGCGAATGGTTCTGAGTCATCAATCCCTTCTGAACCAGTATCGACGCCCCAAATTCCCGATATTCCAATTCCAACTACTCCCCAAATCGTGTACCTCTCTTCCGACTCCGAGCACACCCTTGACTCACTCTCACCATACACTACCTATGTTATCGGCGGCATTGTAGATAAGAACCGCCACAAAGGGCTATGCCACAAACGGGCCAACGAGCTCGGCATCCCGACAGCGAAGCTACCCATTGGAGAGTATATGCAGATGCAGAGCCGCACAGTACTAACAACGAACCATGTGGTTGAGATCATGGCGAACTGGCTGGAAACTGGGGACTGGGGGGAGGCATTCTTGAAGGCGATTCCAAAGAGGAAGGAGGCCGTCTTGAGGAAGGGTGGAAAGAAACAGAGGCCAGAGAATGGAAAAGAAGGTGAAAATGAAGGCGAAGATGATGTTCTGGAAGAAGATACGATGGAGATGGATGAAACGAATAATGATGAAGCTACACCCAAAGATTCGAAAGGGCAGAATGCTGCAGCGGTTGATGAGACAGTTTAAGAAACTGCTAGATTTGCTGGAATATTCTTGTCCATGCTCATTCTAATTGTAGGCTCGGGACCCTGTTAATATTTTCTATGTATATACCAGGAGCGTCAGAAAAGTTAACATGCGCCCGACATCAAAGAGTACTATAAAGGAGTTAGAGTCTATGCTAAGGGTGCGTGAGAATTATCGCCAGAAGCAATTTCTAGAAGCAGATAGATTCTTCACCACAGCTTCTTGCACTTTAATGTCTTAGTTTTCGAGATGTCGCTCACTCATGGGTTTTCTGGAAAAGTATATTGGCTGCACCTCGATACTTATGTACTAACAATACCTGGTCCGCTGTCTGTTAAATACGTCGTCGGAATAAACAAGCTCATTTACTTCAGAGAGTCACGAAAACAAGTCCCACCGCCGTGTTATCGTACGCCATCCTGCCCAGTACCGACTCGAATCCAACGTGGCACTCCAACACAGCGCTTCTGGATCTCAGAACCTATCGTTGACCACATCCTGGTACCTACAACTTCACAAGAGCAATGACCCACCCTGTTCTCGCTCTCCTCAGCATCGGGCTCTCGATATGCATCGTCCTGCGCTGGCAGTCAACGGGCCCCTGGACGGACTTCTTCCAGCTTATCATCCTCGCCGCACTCTCCATGAAGGTTCTTGCTTGGATAATTTGGGCCTCGCTGTGGGAGGGCTGGGAGTGGGTGGAGGATGATGATGATGAATATGAAGACGAGGAGAGAGAAATAAGAGAATACTGGCGTATGAGGGATGAGGAAGAAATGAGTGGGATGGTGGGAAGCGTGATAGATGGGGAGGAAGGAGAATAAATGAAATTGGAGTGGTATACCTTTGGACTGTGCGTGTGTATGAAGGCCAATCCATGGGGATATGATATTTAGATTTGAGATTGTAGAAGGTCATTCTAACAGCCCTTTTATCTTTTATGTTTATATTACTATAAGCGGCACATGACATTAGTTGATGGCGCAACCCCGCAATAGCCCACCCCCCGTCCGTTGTTCGTTTAGTTGCGGGGAAGGGGATCGTTCAGGGCCAGACGGCAGAACCTAACTCGTTACCGGAGAATACGCTCCGATACGTATTTAATCTTACAACCCTACCTTACTGTACTTGGTTCGGATTTTACAGGGTTCCCCTCAGGATATTATAATCACTGCGGTAAGGGTCTTAGTTCAATTCTTGGCATACAGTACTGGTCCTCGCCCACCCCAGAGAAACCGACGACGTTATCCTCATCCTTACTTCTAGAACGCTGCATATCGTAATCCCTACTTCTAGAACGATACACGACTATCATAATTGGTTATTGACCGTGGTATATATGGGTGAGCAAGCTCTATAGGCGCGCCCCTAAAAGAACAAGCACATCCTTACTGGCTCATGATGGATCGAGACATGAACTCCAGCACTAGCGCTCTCGATGCGAACCATCTTGAGAGGCCCTTCAGGTGCCTCGAGTGCCACTACGCATTTAGACGCGTAGAGCATCTCACTCGCCACGCGCGCAGCCACAGGGCGGAGCGCAACCTAGAATGCAGCTACTGCCGCAAGAGTTTCTACCGACTGTACGCATGGCCCTACAGTCCCATCAATTACGTGATAAGCCAATCGCTAACAGCGACCCCGCAGCGATGCCTTGAAGCGCCATGAGAAAGTCCACGCTGAGCCAAAGCGTAGCCTGCTTGGGAAAGGGGAAAGAGCATGTCTTGCCTGCGCTGCGTCGCGGAGAAAGTGCACCGGCGATACCCCGTGCTCGGCCTGTGAGCGGCGCTCCCTCGAGTGCGAGTATCCTGCGGCAGGCAAGAACCGACGGAGGCGTCCGGGAACGGCTCTTGATGAGTCCTCGAATGGTTTCAGCGCCGAGGATGTGATTACGAGCCCTCGTGAATCCATGATGTCTTGGTCAAATACCCCGCAGTCACCAGTTGCTGCTGGCCATCTAACTTACCAACCAGTGCTTAGTGATCAAGCTGGTGAAAAGCGGCCACGTTGTAGTCGATGCAAAGGTCGAAGATTGAGATATGAATATGGCACAACACGGCCGCGAACGATCAGGAGCCAGAGTCCGGCGCCAATTCAATATGATGGCTATGAGCAGTACCCTAACGATGACTGGACCACCCAGCAAGAGATAGTGCCTGGACACATACATTTCTTGGATGAGCGAGGCTTTGAGGAACTAGAGACGACCTCAACCTATAGTTATGACTCGAATGTATTAGGAAATACACGCTCGCCTGTAGGGGATGATGCGACAGATATTGCAAGAAGTCCATCATTAAGTGCCCAGGGAGATGGTTTATCTCGCTCACGAGTAAATGCTGCCATGACGGCTTGGCCAACTATTCCTCCAATTCTGCTTGAGCTCAGTGTGCCAGCATTCATGGAGTTCTCAGAGAAGAGGAATAGAAGGGCTTTGGTTGATTACTTTTATAGCGTCTTCTCTCACCTTGTTGTTTTCAGCGAAGACATAGGAAACCCATTTCGACAGCTGATACTTCCCCTTGCTCACAGAGGATCTCCTGTCATGAATGCTATCTATGCTCTATCGAGCGCACATCTGGAGATCAGGGGCGTTAATACCGAGGAGAAGTCTTCATACTTTCATAACGAAGCCACACGAGGATTATCGAGGCTCATAAATAATAACGAGGGATTAAGCACAGAGGAAGTGCTTTGTGCAATATTGCTTCTGATTTACTACGAAGCGGTTGGTTGACACCTATAGCTGGAGAATTCTTGAAATACTGACCAATCTACAGCTCGTCCAACGAGACAGCTACAATATGGTCATCGGTCACTTAAAAGGCGCAATGACTGTGATGACAACCTATTCTCAGACATCAAGCCCTACAAGCATGTTTCTCCAACGCGTTAGTAGATTTCCAAACTCAAATAACTTCAATCTCACAAGCAGCAGGCTTTTCGATACTATGATGTTATCACAGCACTCTCTTTTGGCACACCGCCCATCTCGTCAGCTTCAACACCTCTTCTCCCATTAAACATCTTAGGAGCCACACGTCCTTCGCCCCACAACGACGTCGACTCCCTTCTAGGAATGACCACAAATTTTTGGCACATCATTCACCGCCTCTCTCTTCTCTGCGAACTAAAAGGAGAAATACAAAAGGCAGAAGCCCGCAGTGACGCTATGAAAGTCATGGTCCTCCGTACAGAACTCGAGTGTACATCTCATGCGATTGAAAATTTCCTTATACAATGGAAGCCTTCTATTCGATGGCCAAGCGGACCATCGAAATCGGCACCTGATGATACAACTGAAATATGTAACTGTCCCAGCCCTGCTACTACTTCATCCTCACAACAGGTCCATTCGCCACCTCTCGGGTCATCAGATTGGGACTTTGACTTATCGTCTCCAAGCAATACCGCTAGTTGTGATCTCACCGATCCCGATGCTCATATTTGGTCGATTATCAACAACGCGGAAGCATACCGCCAGGGTGCCCTCGTCTTTCTCTATCGCAACATTCACATGCTCGAGCGCTCTCACCCAAAAGTACAAAAGCACGGATCTCTCTCTCTGGCTGCTTGCGTGCGTGTCGTCGAATGGGCTGGTCCAATGCCCGCGCTGTTATGGCCAATGTTCATTAGTTCCGTTGAGGCAATAAGTGAAGAGGATCGTAGCATTGCGACGATGGCATTTTCTGGGACAGAGAGGAGACAGGGAATGCTGAATATTACTCGAGCGTGGGAGATCGTTAAAGAGGTGTGGCGGAGGGGCGACGAAGGCGAGGAGGTGGATTGGAGAACCGTTTGTAAAGAAAGGGGGGTCAATCTCGTCTTTGGATGATCTGTAATAAATGATGTTACCATCTTGGAGCTGGCCATCCTCATTACATAGAATTTGCCCGTCCCAAGTTGAACCCACCCACCACGATGCTCCCTCCACATGAGAGCTCTCCTATAGTGCCAGGAGGCACTGGCCTTGGAGTTGTCCAATGATGACCTTGGGCCTGCAGATAAAAACTAGATCTCTAGGCTGCGCCCAGTTCTCTTCTTCTTTCCTCCGTAGCTTTGGATATTTAATTAAACCACCTCTTGACTTCCTAGTTTAACACTACGCTCGTGCACTGCTACGGGTAAGACCAACCATTACAGGGCGAGCCCTTTCGGCCCGACCCCTATCCCTTCATGGAGGCTATCACAAGGCTGGGAGTTTCGTAGAGCAGAAATTCCCAACATCGAAAAGAATCACAGCCCCACTAAGCCACCCTCACATCGTAGAGCCCTGTTGGACCCACTCCTCCCGGAGCACCCGCATCACTGGCTCTAAACCCCAGCCACTAAATTTTAGCGGAGTTATGGTGGATTCCGAACAAATCAGGAGCGTCTTTACGCTTGGTGAGCATCTTCATCTTCATGGGGCTGTGCAAATTCGATATTGCAAGGCTGGACTTCTGATATTTGGTCGGGTACGATGCACATGATCCCTACGGCAGTATCTCCCTATCAGTCGGATGAAGATGGCGTGTACGGTCGGTCTATCCGTCTGCCTTCCCAGCGAGGTGAAAGTTGGCTATTCGTTTTGTCTGTTTTCCACAATTACAAGCTTTAAAAGCCATGTGGAAATACATATGCTCCGAGTCCCAAGCCTTTCCCATCATTAACACAAAGTCCTGGACCATATTGTCGATGCAGAATATCGTCCACCATGCATTCGACCAGCATAGGTGATGTACTGGCACTTCTTAGCTTAGTCAAGACGACCTACGACAACTACACCGATTCGAGGTCGGCATGTTTAGAAGTCAAGGCAGAGTTGGTTTTTCTCCCCGATAAATTTATAAATCTCTGACGTTTTATAGTCTCGACATCTTGCTGTCGACCTTGGAGAACGTCGACACAGCCATTCATCAAGCAGATGAGGGAAGCGTGCTGGCAGAAAAGGTATCTGCGGTCTTAACTAGGACGCATACAATCATCAAGGAATTACAAAACTATCTCGAGCGTTATATAAAACAGCCGGACAATATCTTTGAGAAGGCTTCTTTAGCAAGTCGTCGAATGTTATTTAACGAGGACAAAATACGACGATTTCACAGAAGGATCAAGCTGAACCTTCTAGAACTATCAGTCGTCACATCATCCTCCGCCCTAAGAGCGACAGAACGACTGGCGAAAGCACAAAAACATCATGAGATGCTAAATTGGCTCGACGATAGGTCCTGTCCACCTAGACCTTCTATTCCACACTTGGAACTCCAGGAAGGCATCGTCTCATGGTTTCACGATACTACTGAGTTTAAGGAATGGTTGGAAGAACCAGGGCGAACGCTGATATGCGATGGCAAACCAGGTGCTGGCAAAACTACACTATTGGCTGAAACATTGACTATGCTAGAGCGGAAAGCCGAAAAGGAATACGGCGCAAGGGCATTCGTATTCTTCCAGCAACATAACAGAGATCAACAAAGGCTCCAAGATGTTCTGCGCATTTTTGTTCTGCAGTTGTGCAAAGCGGCTGAATCACTCCCAGACCCAAGCGCCTCGGAGGAGCTCGAGAAGCTCTTTAAGAAATGCAGATCGGAATATTCTCCAAGCGCCGATGATTTGATGAAAGTACTCCAATCAATGGTCAAGAAGTTTCCAAGAATATACTTTGTCTTAGATGCTATTGATGAATGCTCCGACACTGATAACGTTCGGGACCATCTACTCAGATATCTCAGGACACTCCAACTAGAGGCTGGGGCTGGGGTATCCATTCTTATATCCTCTCGTCACGATCATCCACATCGAAACTTGTTTAATAAACTTGGAAAGCCGGCTTTCTTGAGAATAAGTGCAAGGGACGATGATATTCGATCTTACGTGAACAATGAGCTCGAAAGCTCATCTGAACCTATCGTTGAGAACATCTGCAAGGAAGGTAGTAGACTTCCCGAGGAGATTGTGCAACTTCTCATTACTTCGTCATCTGGGATGTGCGTATACCATTGATATATTATGCTTGTGTGTAGGCTAAATTGCTTCCAGGTTTCTGATTGCAAAATTGGGCATTCGAATGTTATTAGCGCAGCTTAAAATTTCTGAACTTAAGTCTGCAATGCACAAAGTGGAAGCAGGATTGGCAGATCCTTACGATCAGATGTACGACCTCAATATCCAGCGAATCCAAAATCATCGCGAGCGTGCATTGTCCATTCTCGCAAGACTCGTGGTTACAAAAAAGGCACTTTCTATTAGAGAGCTCCAGGAGAGTCTTGTGATGAATGATGAGCCGGAAGCTATGGATTTTGATGAGTCTGACTTCATTCCCGCCAAGAACATTCTCAACATATGCGTCGGCTTAATTGTGGTGGATGAAGCTTCGCAAAATGTCAGTCTTGTTCATTCCACTCTACGGGGGTATGTACAACGAAAGCACGCAGACCTAGTCGAAAGGGGTCATATTCAATTCGCAACTGCCAGTCTACGATACTTGTGTCTAGGGCGATTTGCCGATACACACAATCCAGCCGAGATCCAGTCGGGCGATATTGGTCAGATCATGCCAGCCAGAAATGAGAAGTACAAATTCTTGAGATACGCGGCAACGTACTGGGCTCCCCACTTCAGAAGTACTACCACCACTGGAAATACTAAAAGTCACAATGAAAGAGAGTCCGACCTTGAGCGACTTGCACTGGCTTTCCTCGGGAGCAGTACACTTGTTGCTAGTGCCAGCCGGGCAATGTTCTTCCCGGAGATCTTCTTTACCGAAAAGTCGAAGGAAAACATGACCGGTCTCCACTTAGCTTCACTTTTCGGTGTTGACAGTCTAGTTGAGAAAGTAATAGATTTAGGGCATTCAATTAATGCCGGAAACGGGCGCGGCCAGACTCCATTGCATATGGCAGCTATATCACGCCAGACGAGTGTTGCTAGAATGCTATTGGCATCTACTGGCATTCATCCTGATGCACGAGATGCGGAGGGCTACACGCCACTTCATGTTGCTACAGCATTAGGGGCTATAGGGATTGTCGGTCTACTAGCAGTTAGAACTGATGTTGATGTGAACGCCGTCGATGAGGTAATTCCGGGGCCTACTTTTACCATTATCCCAACTGGACTCCCAGGTCACTACATCGCTCTCGATCTAGTTGGGCTGTTAGAAAAATTTCATGCAGCGCGAGTTTCCGCTGATCCTGATGAAGGAAATGTTATGGACCCATCGACGACATCAAGCAACACGGCTGCTACAGGCTTGCAATTGCCTCCTGTTAATGAGGGACCCTCCTCCGGGAATGACTCTCTTGTTTCAGTACCGCCGAAAGTCATCGGATCTCGGGCTACTCTATCATACCAAGATCTACTTCCTACCTCTAACTTAACTCGTCCTCACGGTCGAACAGCTTTGCATTATGCAGCGAGGATTGGAAACACCGATATCGTTAAAATGTTGTTAGATAACCCATCCATCCCGATCGATATCAAGGATGGCCAGGGAATGACCCCATTGCACAAGGCTGCCAAATACGGCCACTTATCGATTGTCAAATTGCTAATGGAGCGAGCTGGAGTAACCGCCTGGGAGCATTCTACTGAGCAGACCGGTCGCTTGCCCATCCATCTAGCTGTAAAATATGGTCACATGCATGTGGTGGCTTTCTTTGTCTCTCAAGATAAGGATTTAGTCAATGCTGCAGACAAAGATGGGAGTACGATAGTGCATCATTCAATCTACCATGATACTACAACGGTCATTGAGGACATCCTGAAATACGACAATGTCATGCCTGATGTCAGAGACAAGCGCGGAAGGACGCCGCTATGGGAGGCCATAGAAATCAACAACATCCCTATGGTCTCAATACTGCAACAGCTCTCTGGTGTTAATCAAGACCCTACGGACAACGAAGGCCGTCGACCGAACAAGGCGAGAAGCGAAGAGAAGGAGCAAGTTCCACTAAGTAGTACCTTGCATTAATTAGTATATTATATTGTGGAATTCTCACTTGCGCACTCTCACTTAAACTCCCATTTCCCCTCGCACTCAGGCTCACGCTGAAGCTCCCACTAAAGCTGGTTCCTAGACTCGAACTCGGACTGAAACCTAGTTTCAGTCTCAAACCTAGAACTGGGTTCAAATCTAGGTTCGGGCTCGCTCTCGCTTTCATCAACTTATAAGTAGAGGATTAGATCCCGATCCTCGAGAGGAATTGGGTTGCTAGCTCAAAGAAAAGAAGAGCCTTTACTCTCTTCTTCTGGGGGCGCTCTTGTTTCTAGGCCTCGACCCCCAACCCTTGAAGTTGTCTACAGGTCCTGTACATGGCGATTCCGGGCGGAGCTCCTGGCTCGACAGTATCCCATATGCCTGCCTCCTCTTGGAAGTATGGGAGCAATACGGATGTGTTCAAAATTGGTTATGAATACAGATATACAGTTTGGTGGAGTATAAACGCCATTTCAATCTCTTCAAACTCAAAATAGGTGGTTTATTTCTCTTTGTATCATCTTCAGAACCCTCTTTTCGCCCTCTTTGTAATTTCCTAAAGATAGCTTTAGCCCCTAGCAACAATGTTCTAAATATCCCTACAACCTCGCCCTTCCCTCCTCGCCCATGAGCTCTTCCACCCTCGCAAAGCGCTCAAAAAACCCAAGACACCCAGCATTCGCCAGCGTCGCGCTGGCCACCACCCTCTTCTCGCTGATAATCGCCTTCACCGGCACCTCAACCTTCTTTCCATTAATCGTCATCGGAAGCTCCGGACACTCGAATATATACTTCGGCACGTGGCGCGCGCTCAGTGCCTTCCTGATCGCGGCCCTGATCTCAGCCTCGAGCTCCACCGTGAACTTCGCGCCGGAGCGCATCTGCACGAAGAGAAACACGCGCTCGTCGCTGTCGCGCGGCCGTCGCTGCCCCACGCAGATGCTATCCAGGATGGCGGGGAAGTGCTGGACGACAGAGTAGATCTCGGCCGAGCCGAAGCGCACGCCCGATGGGTTGAGGACTCCGTCGCTGCGCCCAAGGAACTCAACACCGCCGGTCGACGCAACGATGCGGATATAGTCGCCCTGCGTCCAGACGTCGGCTAGCTGCGAGAAGTATGCTGAGTGGTAGCGTTCGGCACCACCATCGCCCCAGAACATGACGGGCATACTGGGGAAGGACTTGCAAACGACGAGCTCGCCGGGTTGGCCTCGCGGGACGGGGACACCACTGGGAATTCCACTGCTATTTGTGGAGGAGGATGAAGGCTCGAAGACGCCGATATCCATGGCCAGTGCCGGGCGTTGTAGTTCGCCAGCGTAGACGGGGAGGGTGGGAACCTGGGCCGCGAAGCAGCATGCCGTGTCTGTACCACCGGCAGAGTTGGCAAGCTGGACGTGAGCTCCGAAGGCGGTGCCGTAGAACCAGGCGTACTGCTGTGGAAGGAGGGCCGCGCCGGTGCAGTTCACCATTTCCAAGGCGGAGAGATCGAATTGCTTCTTCGGCTCAACCCCGCGGCGCTCGAGTTCTTCAAGGTAGCGGGGGGAGATGCCGAGATGAGTGACCTTGTGCTGGGCGGCAATCTCTAGGAGGACGGTGGGGGCGGTATGGAAGGGCGAGCCGTCATAGGTGATGATATGGGCGCCGGTAAGGAGGGACGTGATGGATTTATTATACATGGCCCAGGAGGTTGTGGTGAAGATCATTTGCGTGGACGAGGGGCCGATGTTGTAGTGGAGGAGAAGTTCTTTCTTTTGAGAAATGAGAACGCCGCCTGCGCCATGGACGATGCATTTTGGCTGACCGGTTGTTCCGGAGGAGTAAGCAATTAGATAAGGTGTGTCGAAGGCGTGTTGGAAGAAAAGTTTCTCTCGTGTTATAGGCCTCGCCGTAGCTAAAAATGTAACAAGGGACTGGCTCTTGGAAATTTGCGAGATATCTCCCACATCTGCACCTCTCGGGCAAACGATGAACTTCTCAAATTCCGGCGTGCCCTTCAATGCATTCGCCACTTCGATGGCCTTTTGCTTGAGATTAGTTTTCTTTCCCGCATACACAGCGAGGTCCTCCATCAGCACGATTCGCGGCCGGACCTGTAGCAGCCGGTCAAGAATACCCTTCGTCCCCATGTCTGTGCTAGTGCTCGTAAAGATTGCACCGAGCGCCGTCACTGCGAGAAAGACGAGCATCGTATTGAGCGTATTCGATGCGACAATGGCGACGCGGTCCCCAGGGTTTACTCCCGCATTCCGGAACGCTGAGGCGTAGCGCGCGACAAGTGTGCGCAACTCGTCCCAGGTCACGGAGCGGACATCCGTGTTCCCTTCCCGGATGCTGGTTACGGCGAGCTTGTTAGGGTCCCGACCAGGGCCGTAGAGAATGTTTTCGGCGAGGTTGAGTCTCACACCGTCGAACCACTTCGGGATGCTGTGCATGGGAGCGGAAGTATCGACAACCTGGTTGCATCATTAGAAGATTTATCGTGAAATACGGGTCGGAAGAGTACTTTATTGTAAACGCCCGTGTAGATAATATCAGAATAATGGAAGACATCGTCCCAGAAATCGGCATAGCGAGATGTGGAATATTCATGAATATCATCGTATGTCTATCCTGAAGTATTAGACGTTCATCTCCTAAAATGATGCAACTTTTATCTCCTCATAACGAATGTTTGCTCACCTGTAGGCTCAAATTATGCCGCCTATTGACGTAGTGACGGAAGCGTTCGAGATATGTTGTTTCTGGATGCGGATGCTGCCAGAGCACCTTGGGAGGAACGATAGTGGCAGTTTGTGACATGATGAGGAAGCACGGAAATCAATGTAATCTGAGTTGGCAAATCTAGAGAAAGGATCGCTAAAGAGAGTATAATAGGTAGGAAAGTAATAGAGCCAAGGCAGACCAGGGCCTCGGCGGTACTACATACCGAACGACGCTACTCACGATGTTGACGATTGTCCATGTGCCTTATTCCCCAATCCTATGCCGAGGAGTATGGACTTGGTGTAGGAAGCTGCACGAACCCAGGAAGTGTGCTGTTAACGCTAAGCTGCCGTGGAAAGACATTACCGTGTGAAGACATTGCCGTGGGAAGCTGGTCCGGCGGTTGTAGAAAGTAGGAACTAGTTCCCACCTTGAGCTGGGGAGGAGCGGGGTACCGGACCGCTCCCTATTGGCACTCCTGTCCCTGTTATTGCCTTAGCGTTCTTTAATGTTACCCCGTTACCCCGCACATAAGGCCCCACTTCTCCAATATTTCCCCAAGCTTCCGTCCCGTGGAATTGACTCCGTGAAGCTTTTCGGCTTCTTCTCCACCCGTAACCAGCCGACTGTATAGAAATTTATGTGGAGATTCTTGCTTGGTTTGTTAAGTTCTGTGTAGGAACATGTTTGTGAATCTCTTTCCTTGACCTCGTCGCAGAAGCATACTACCAAAAAGGCTGCTCTTCTTACACTTTTCGCCCCTTCTTTTAATCCCATTGCCACATATTTTCTGCTTAGCTTCTCTGGTTTCTGTATTTCCATTGTTGAAATTAACTATTTGTCTAATAAGCCATTCATCATGCCTAAAGCAATAGTAATGGATGAGCAGCCTGGGAAACCAGGAAAAGTCTACTGGCCGTATGTCCCCTGTTGCTCCTGCCACTCACAAACTAACTTCCCTCAGGCTCAAATCCATCACCGTCCCCCTTCCAACCCCCGGACCCAACGAGGTAGTTGTTCGCATACTCTGCGCAGCTCTTAACCACCGTGACCTTTTCGCGCGGCAAAAGCTCTACCGCGGTGCAGCAGGAAACATCCCCATCCTCGCAGATGGCTGCGGCATCGTCGTGTCAGCCGGCTCATCCGACAATGAGAAAAAGTGGCAAGGGAAACGAGTGCTAATTGCACCGGCGAGAGGGTGGAACGCTGATCTTAGGGGCCCAGAGAGGGAATTTGCGATTCTGGGGGGCACGAAGCAGTATCCTGATGGTACTTGCCAAGAATTCATCTGTGTCCCCTCTTCCCAGGTCCTCGCCTGCCCACCGCATCTGTCCGATGCCGAAGCAGCTGCCATTCCTCTCGCAGCTCTAACTGCCTGGCGTGCAACAATGGTGAAGGCTGTTGTTTCTTCAGGGCAACGCGTGCTCGTCACTGGCATTGGTGGAGGCGTCGCGTTATTTGCTTTGCAATTTGCCGTTGCTGCTGGGGCAGAGGTGTGGGTTACGAGTGGCTCCGCAGAGAAGGTTGCCAGGGCCGTTGAGTTGGGGGCGAAGGGAGGAGTGAGTTATAAAGAGAAGGACTGGGCACAGAAGTTGTTAAAGCATACGAGTAAGGGGGGGAAAAGTGGGCTGTTCGATGCGGTAATTGATGGCGCAGGCGGAGATGTGATCACAGCGGCAGTCGTTTTGCTGCGAACCGGGGGGATTGTGGCGAGTTATGGAATGACTGTGGGTCCAAAGGTGGTTTTTCCTATGCCGGCGGTGATGAAGAATATTGAGGTGCGTTTATTTCTTTGTTTCCTTCTCCTTCTTCCATGTCGTATTTTTATAAAGACATTGCCAATGTTGACAACATTTCCACTCACAGATGCGTGGCTCCACAATGGGCTCACTCGCCGAACTGGCCGATGCCGTACGCTATATTTCTTCGAAACGTATCGTACCCGTGGTTGATTCTGTGCACTCGCTACCTAACATCGAGGATGCGTTTGATGTTATGAAAGTGGGCAGGAATTTTGGGAAGATTGTGGTGAGGGTGCAGCAGGAAAGCGCAAAAATCTGATGCGAATTGATAGATTGTGAGATATTGTCTCAGAGGGCGGATGGCCCACAGGACAGCATAGGGAAGATCAAAGAAGCGATACAAGGCTTAATTAGTAGGAGTCGACTTTCCAGTAGCTAGTCATTTGCTATCCATTTTATATACTGCCAGATACTAAACAGAATACTCCATGAAAGTTCCATGAAAATTCTAAGAAGATTATAATGGAGACTTATCACCCTCGCATTGATTATATGCTAAATACTATACTAATGTGCTACAAGTCCGCCATCGATACACAAATCCGTACCCGTCGTGTACGCACTCGCCTCGCTCAGTAACAGGACCACCGCACCCTTCAGGTCCCGACGGTCGCCAAGTTTACGCATCGGCACGTTTTCTTCGATTTCAGCGATCACATTAGGACGCTGGTCGATGTTGCGGATGGTCATATCGGTTAGGATATATCTTTTCGGCGCCATGTATTAACTTCTGTGACTCATATTTCTGTTGTTGTCTCTTCTACCTTGAACAGCCAAGAAGGATTACCATTGTTACCAAAAAGAATGAAGAAAATGCAGAAGGAAGAAAGAAAATAAAAAAAGACAAACGAACCCAGGACTAATCGAGTTTACACGGATATTCCATGGGATCAACTCATCAGCCATTGCTCGCGTCATCGCCAGCACACCACCTTTCGTCGCGCAGTACCCAGCAATCAACTTCCCAGGCACAGCGCAGTGTGCTCCGACCGAAGCAACGGTCAGGATAGAGCCGCCGGTGCCTTGGGCTTTCATGTGTTTGGCTGCTATTTGCACGGTGAGAAATGTGCCGAGGACCTATTTGATATTAGAGGATGCTCGTGGGGTCTTGATATATTTCACTGAAGGATGAAAGAATAGACAAAGGATTGATCGGGTGCGATGTACATTAACCATAAGCAGAGATTTCAGTTCCTCCGTCGTCGTCTCGAGGAATGGCTTCTCCATACCAATTCCCGCTGCTGTGATACTTTCGCATTCGTTAGCACACCTCCATCAACTTTCTGGGAAACCTCTCACCAACAATCCACACTCCCGAAATCTCTCTTCACATTCTCAAACGCTGCCTCTAGCCCTGCCGCATCGGTGACATCAACATTGTACAACTTTGCCTTAGCACCGCACTCGGATTCTAGCAGCGCAAAGTCCGAGTGGGGTGTGTCCAGACGGTCGAAGGCGGCAATGTTGGCGCCTACTTCGGCACAGGCTCTGGCAAAGGAGAGGCCGAGGCCACGCGCACCGCCGGTGATGACTACGGTTTTGGAGGCGAGAGAGAGAAGCTGGGAGACATGCGTTTTGCGGTATGCGTCCATGTCCACAACAACTTTCGGGGAAGCGGGGGACGGCATTATGATGGATATGGCTAGAAGGGCCAGAGAATGGATTCGTTTGCTGAAATGAGTATAGAAGAGGGAGATGAGATATTGAAATCGAGATAGAACCGTACAGAGAAGATACCCACTTTACTACGTAAACCTTGGCTCAGGACTTACCCCGTAGTGCCGATGTCCCGCGCTAAGTTTTATCACATTTCCGTATGCTCTTGTGCTCGGCTATAAGTTGGGTAGTTGGTGGTTATCTGCGATGTTGTTTGGGGTTGAGATGCCGATTGCAACAGGGGATGACTGGAAGGACGGCCTACCAATCATTTAGAATGTGGAGAACCCCACCCACCATCCGACATAGTGTGGGGAAACGCAACCCCCCTTGCGACCTTACAGTAGCTGTATACAATCTTATAATCTTAACATAGCTATAGAACATGGCACTTTTGCAATCAAACATCCATACCAAAGATACTTTAAGGGATATCGCAAAGATATTGCTTCAGCTTGTCATTCTCTACAATGTCGTCTCTCTCACCAACCTCTCCCCCCCCGGCTCAGTCCCATGCTCTCCTCTCCTATCCCAGCCCCTCAATCCTCCTCGTCACTCTCAACCGACCCCTGGCCATGAATGCTCTTCCGTTCCAAGCACACTGGGACCTCTCTGAACTCTGGTCCTGGTTCGACGACTCCCCCACTCTCCTCGTCGCCATCCTCACCGGCGCCGGTTCCGCCTTCTGCGCCGGCCAAGACCTGAAAGAAGTCCAAGCTAACCGACTGCAACCACCCTCTCAGCCATATCTTAAAGGAAGGCCGCCGTCTGGATTTGGCGGAATGAGCCAGCGGAAGGGGAGGAAACCGATTATTGCCGCTGTGAACGGAGTTGCGTTTGGAGGAGGGTTCGAGATGTGTTTAAATTGGTGAGTTGAAATCGGATAGACAGAATCCAACTGTACAGTCTCTGTTGCTGTGGGATTGCTATATATTTGAAAGGGAGGCTGACACATCGTTTGGTATAGTGATATCGTCATCGCAAGCCCACGCGCACAATTCGCGCTGCCGGAAGCCCGACGCGGACTCTATGCCTCTGCAGGCGGTCTACCGCGCCTCGTGCACGGTGCTGGGATACAAATTGCATCAGAAATTGCCCTGACGGGGCGGTCAATCTCAGCCGAAGAAGGAATCCGATGGCTATTCGTGAACCGGATATCTAAAAGCCAAGAGACGCTATTGGAGGAGGCTATCACGCTGGGCCGGGAGATTGCGCGGTTGAGTCCGGATGCGGTGATTGCAACTCGTGGAGGGCTGAGAGATGCGCATGAGATGGCAGGATTAGAGGAGACATGGGCGAGAACAAAGGAGAGGTATGAGAAGAAGTTGTATGGTGCACCGAATATGCTAGAAGGGTTGGCTGCGTTTATGGGCAAGCGGGAGCCGAAGTGGGTTGTGTCTAATTTATAGTTAAGGGGAAGAAGTGCGTAGATGGGGAGCAAATTTGAGTTTAATTATATCCTGAACTTTGAATAAAATCAAGCGAGATTTTCTCTCAGTCAACCCTCAGGGGGACTAAAACAGTGTTGCCCGAGTACTACT